CACCATGGCCTTTATCATCATATACCAGACAAATATCAGACGCTCCTTTCAAATATCGCAAGATCCACTTTACAGCTCCCCAATGAGCTTTACCCGAATTAGCCATAAACCTGCTCACCACACTAACCGCATAAGCGAGATCCGGTCTCGTACATACCATCACATACATAAGACTTCCAACTGCACTTGAATATTGAACCGTCTTCATGTAGCTAACATCTTCATCTGTACCCAGTATAGTGCTTCAATCAAATTTAAAGTGTGCCGCCTAAGGGGTACTTACCGGTTTGGACTGATCAACAGAGAATGCCTGCAAAACTTTCTCAATATACTTTTCTTGAGAAACCCATAGCCGCCCTGGTTCTCTATCACGCCAGATCTCCATACCAAGTATTTTATTTGTCGCACCCAAATCCTTCATCTCAAATTCACCCTTTAGTAGAGCTTTCACGTCATTAATTACAGTCATGCTTTTAGCTGCAATTAACATATCATCCACATACAACAGCAGATACACAAAGGAATCAGTAGAAACTTTCTTCGAGTAAACACAGTTATCAAACTGATTACGAGTATAACCATTAGACACCATGAATGAGTCAAATCTCTTGTACCATTGCCTCGGAGACTGCTTCAAACCATACAGAGATTTCTTTAACAAGCATACCTGGTCCCCTTTAGAACTGTAGAACCCCTCCGGTTGAGATATGTAAATCTGTTCTTCTAGATTACCATAGAGGAATGTTATTTTTACATCAAGCTGCTCCAGCTCCAGATCAAAAGCACCCACCATTGCCAAAAGAATCCGAATGGTTTTGTGTTTCACCACATGAGAAAAAACTTTATGGTAATCGATTCCTTCCTTCTGTGAGAACCCTTTTGCCACCAGTCTCGCCTTGAACCTAGCAGGTTCAACACCAGGAATTCCCTTATTTCTTTTAAAGACCCACTTGCATCCCACTGGCTTTACTCCTTTTGGTAGTGCAACAAGATCCCTAGTCTTGTTCTTTTCAAGAGACTGCATCTCTTTATTCATTGTCATAATCCAGATTTCTGCATCTTTACTCGCCACAACTTCTTTATATGTTTTTGGCTCATCAGAGCCAAGATCATCACCAACCGCTAGTGCATAAGCAACAGAATTCATGTCACATGTATTGACACATCCTGCAAACCTTGCTGGTTTCTGAATATTTCGCTTTCCCTTTCTTGCTACCAGCGTCATCAGCTTCCCCCTCAACCGGTTTTCCTTGAGGTTTTGACTGATCTGGTTGATCGGATTGATCAATAGTATTATCCTGCTGCTCTTCTTTTAAAACAACTCTGTCAGGAGTCTCAAACTCCACCCTCTGGTCAGCACCACAATCTTTTGTACCTGCAATACTTTCACAACCTCTACTCTGATCAAGCATAGCAGATTCATCAAAGGTTACATCTCTGCTAATAAGAATTTTACCATTATTTTTACCTTCTGTACACCACAGTTGATAACCTTTTACTTCTGTTGCATACCCTAGAAATATGCATTTTACCGCCCTCGACTCCAGCTTACCATCATTCACATGAGCGTATGCAGGGCATCCAAATATTCTTAAATTAGAGTAATCAGAGGGTTTACCGGACCATACCTCTTGAGGAGTCTTTAAGTCAATTGCAGTTGATGGAGATCTATTAACCATATAGCTAGCAGTGTTAACTGCTTCAGCCTAGAATTGCTTAGATAAGCCAGCAAATATGCGCATACACCTAGCACGCGTCATGAGGGTTTGGTTCATTCGCTCTGCAACTCCATTTTTCTGTGGTGCGTGTCGTACAGTGCGGTGCCTCACTATACCTTCTTTCTTGCAGAAATCATCAAATGGAGCATTGCAGAACTCCAACCCATTATCAGTTCTTAGAGTATTGACCTGTTTACCCGTCCGTTTTTCAACCATTGTCTTTCACTCCTTGAACTTCCCAAACACCTCATCTTTAGTCTTCAGAAAGTACAACCATACTTTTCTCGAATAATCATCTACGAAAGTGAAAGTAAGAATACCCGCCCTGCGATTTCACCGGAGAAAGACCCCATAGATCTGAATGAACATACTCCAGAATTTCTTTTGAAGTGTGATGACCGGTACTAAACCTCACCCTGCGTTGCTTCCCTTTTACACAAGCCTCACAGAATTGAATTTTACCTATCACGTCCCCACCAAATAAACCCTGTTTGCTTAACACAGACAACCCTAGCTCACTCATGTGACCTAATCGATGGTGCCACAAATTTGTCTTGTCATCATGTTTATCCAAGGACTGGGATACCGCTGCCGTTCTTATCACTAAATTGCCATGTAGAAAATAAATTACATGTTGCAGTTTTTCCTTTATCATTACCAGAGCACCTTTCAAGACTTTCACCCACTCACTTTCACCATGATATTTTAAACCATTCTTGGCTAAGGTGCCAAGAGAAATCAAATTCTTTCTGAGTTCAGGAACATACCAACAGTCAAATTTTCTGACAGTACCATCATGCAATTTTATCTGCACTATCTCGCTCCCCTTTATGGCTACAATCCCATCATCACCTAACTTCACCGTTCCATTCCACTCCTTAAAAGAAGTGAGTAGATCACGAGAGAACATCATATGGTGAGAAACACCGGTATCCATAATCCAGGAATCAACAGTACTAGCACTACACGCTGTCAGAACTTCACCAAAGTCTCCATCATCATCAGAACTGTCTTGTACCACAGCAACACTGTTGCCACTGTTACTAGAGTCAACTTTTGTATTTCCCTTCTTCCGTGGACAATCCCTTTTAATGTGTCACTTCTCCTTGCAAAGATAACACTTAACTTTGCTAGAGGATTTTGATTTTGAACGCGACCTCTCATTCCCGTTACCCCTCTCTTGTGGTTTTCCTCTACCTGCAAACAGACCTGAACCAGAACCCTCTTCCATAGAAACCTTTCTTTTCAATTCTTTGGACATAAGGGCATCTTTCACATCATTAACAGAAATTGTAGTTCTACCATATAGCATAGTATTTACAAAATTCTCATATGAACCAGGTAGTGAACACAGTAAAATTAGGGCTTGATCTTCATCATCTACTTTAACCTCAACCCCTTGAAGATCAAGAATGATACGGTTAAAGGTATCAAGATGATCATTTACCTTAGTACTTTCGGACATCCGGAGGGTGTAAAGATGTTGCTTCTGATAGAGTCTGTTCATGAGAGAGTTGCTTTGGTATTTCTCACACAGTTTATTCCATAACCCAAAAGCCGTTGTCTGATCTACAACCTTCCGTAACACCTCATCAGTAATTGACAACAAAATTGCGGAATGAGCCCTTGCCAAAATCTTCTTATTTACCTCCTCCTTCGTGTCTTTAGGAAACTTGTATTTTCCCTCCAATGCAGCCGCACATCCTTGTTGAACCAGAAGTGCCCTCATCTTGACCTTCCAGAGCGTAAAGTCATTCGAGCCATTAAACTTCTCCAGATCAAACTTATACGAGGACATCTTCAATCAATGAGATATGACTCTGATACCACTTGTTATGAGAAAACGAGAAAGAAAGCAAACAAAGAACACAGAGATTTTATGTGGTTCGATGACGATGTGTCAACCTACGTCTACGGGCAGGAACCGGAGAGATTTTATTATACTCATTTAGAGATTTACAATTATATCATCCGACTAAGAACCATAGTTGTCTATTTATAAGCACCCCAAAACACCCTAAATCCTAAGCCTATTTGTTATTAATTAGGATAAGTCCAAAAGGAACCCTGCCAATTGAAACAGCCCTTTGATTTCGGATCGGATAGACCACTAAATCCAAGTCACGTTTCAACAAATATAAATATTATTTTATAAAAAAATAAAATGATATATAATATAAATATTTATTTATAATTAATATAAATTAATTTATAAAAATAATTAAATTTATATTACTATATTTTTTTATTAAATCATATAAAAATAAAAGATTTTGAATAAATATATTTGAGAAAAATAAAAATTGTAATATCAACTAAAGTTGGTATGACAAGCAAACACACTCTCAGGGGCTTTCACAGAAAAAAAATCCCATGCTGAGTAATAAAAGAAATTTAATACTTGATTAGTATTACGAAAATTCAATATATATAAATTCATACAAAATATATAATAATATATAATCTATACATTAAAAAAATAGTACAATAATTTAACATAAAATATTTTTTTTAATACTACTTACACGTTTTTCTTATCTAATATAAAAGAATATTTTAAACTAAAAATACAAAATTAATACATCGATCAAATAAATTTAAATTAATAATTTATGTAAAATATTATTAGTAATTAATTAAATATAAATAAAATTAATGATTATAAATAAATAGATGTATTTGTAAGAACAGTATCATAATTCATAGTATGTTTAGATAAAATATTATATTTTTATTATTACAATATAATATAATTTAAATATAAATATATATACATATAATATTTAAAAATGATTTTTTTTTTTGAATAAGAGACTACAATAGTAAAATGTTAAATGCATGGAAATAAAATTTTAAAGTAATAGTGGTATCCTATATTCCTATTACTCGAAAAATCATTCATTTGCAATATTTTAAAATCTAAAACTTTTTTAAAAAAAATAAATTAATAATAATAATATTTTATTAATCAATAAAAATATATAAAATAATTTTAATATTTTTACTCTCGAAATTACAAATACATGAATATATTTATAAAAATTAAAAACATGTTAGTATTTATATACATTCACTTTACTTATAATTAAAAATAAATAGTATTTTTTTAGTAAAACGGACAAAACTAATAAAAATAATACATTAAATTCAACAGAGAAACTATAGTTCATATCCTATAACACCATACTGAATAAATCATTCAGCGCCATGCCACAGAACCCATATACTTCTAACGACATTTCAAAAAATAAATAAATAAATAGATAAATAAATTCTAGAAAATAAAAATGATAATCTACCAATATATATATATATATATATAAAATTTATGCGCAATACATTTCAACAAGCATCATAGAATAGAACTGAGCCTCCGCGCTCGGCAAAGTCTGTCAGAATCGACTGAAAAACTTCAGACAAGCGGCGAAAACATTAAAAAATCACGAGAGAATCGACTCTTTTTCGGCACCTATAGAACGGGAAGCGCTACATTTTCGAGCATCACAAAGTTTTCTTACTACCTATTTACAACAAATTAAAATAGTTTGTTAAAAATTTATACATTCTACGGGGCTGGCGGGCACGCGGACAAGTTTAGCATGCAAGTAACAAAATTGCAACGATATCACACTTCCTATTTTTTCGCCAAGTATAACGAGAAATTAAGAGATAAAGGATACTTTACTTGCTAGATCAAATGTCGGGACTACCTGGGATTCAGACAATGTGAGGATCCTGACCGTTGATCCCATTTTGGTTGTTGTCCGAAGCGCCATTTCTCCTGCGCTTTGTCGGGGTTTTCTTCTTGGAAGGGCGGGTCGAAGGCCCGGGTACACTAAGCTGCAAATCTGTGTCCACTTGGGGGCTCATCCAAGATATGGGTTTAACTGAAACATCGTAAATTCTTGCAATATCAATATTCGAACATGACGTAAATATAATTCACTTTTTCGAGTGTATAACAGAATGCCGTATGTAATGCTCCGCCCTCATAATAAACTAGGTCGTGTTCGGTTCGGGTTTTCACCATGAATTTTACTATTCACAAATTTTATTTTCTCCAAAAACATCAAATTTATATTATACTAAAAATCAATTTTTTACGTACAAAATCTCACATTAATTTATATTTATATCACATGAAATAATTGTTCAAATTCAAAATTTGACTATTCGAACCAAATCACCTGAACAAACACACCCCAAATCAAACTCCTTTCTTTTAAGGGTGTGTTTGTTTATGGGATTTTGCCAAAATCCTATTATTCATCAAATTTTTTCCTCCTAAAAATATCAAATCAAACACCTATTTTTTTTTATATTATACTAAAAATTAATTTTACATTCAAAGCATCAACGCCTATTTATATCACATCATATAACTATTACAATTCAAAATTTTTGCTATTCAAATCTCAACTCAAAATCCAAACCCTCGTACAAACACACCCTTAAAAATATTGTACTAAGGGTTTGTTTCTTTAACAAAAATTTTCCAACAAATTTTCCCAAAAACATTTAATATACTGCACACTCATATTTTCTATATTATCCACATAATTTCCTATAACTCACTTTAACAAAAAATTTTCAACAAACACATCCTAAAAATCAATTTAAATTAAAAACATAGAATCAATACCTATTTTATATCACATCAAACATCTATTCAAATTCAAAACTATTACTATTCAAAATCTAAATTCGTAGGTACCTTGAGCAGGGTCAAAAGATTCCGGCGTTCCATGATGATTGCCGTCTTGTTCGGGTTGTTCGGATGTGGCGCGAGTTGGAATTGGAGTTTGGCGTTTACGAACATAGTCCTCCCGCAAAGGTCGAGGTATTTGAAACGAAAACTTCGACAAGCTAATCCCTTCTTCTTTGTAACCCGGGTTCTCATCAAGGTACCTTCACAAATAGCACCGTAAAAAAATCCCAAATTGAAACAATAAGCATTAGCATCGAGAGGACTATTTGCTTAGATTAGATGAGAGTTTTTAGAGGTTTTTGGAATTTTGGAAATTTGAAAAAAAAGTAAAAATTAATATTTGATTTGATGTTTTGTGAGAGAAAAAGTGTATTTGATGTGATGTTTGAAAAATGAATAGTGCCAAATGAGTGAAAATTTGTAATATAAACAAAGCCTAATACTTTCGCCGCAGTAATATCATGTTTTGGGCAGATTTTACCTTTGAACTTCAACCATGGAACGCAGTCGCTTGCCCGATGGCGAAGCGTAGTACCTGCAAAACCTCAGACAGTAAAATAAAAGCTGGTAAAAGGTAAAAACTTTTTATTTTTAAGTATAAAAGACGTACACATCGGCAAACTTGCTGCTTCCTTCACTTCTGATCCTCAAAAGCCGTTGCCAGCCGGGCGGCGGTTGCGCGATGCTCGGTTTGTCGATGGCCCAAAGCCGACTTCCGTCTTGCGTTATATCGGGCGGATCGTTACACGAAATGTCGGGACGCCATTCTCGGCCGGTTTCACAGTAGAAGGGATGCTCCAAAATATGTTCTCGAATTTCCTCGTACTTTTCTTTGGTTGGAATCAGCCTCCATTTGAAACAATTTGCGCACTGAACGGTGAACGCCCCTACTGACGGCAGAACTCGATTCGGAAACGGAAACAGTCTCGAAGATGGAGATTGATAATTAACGGGGTCCTGGACCGTTCCGTTGGCACCGTTTACTGACGGGTCATAAAGAACCAACTGGTACCCGGAATCTTCCGTCTGATTTTCTACAGCCTCGGGGCTGCGTTTTTCGGACCCTCCGGCGGAATTCTCGTTTACACGATTTGGAGAATTGGTATCGACGTTTTTCCCATTCAACTTGATCGTAACTTTCAGTGACTTCATTGCAGTCTCCTCCATCGAGCAAAATCCTAAAATACAAACATTAAACCAAACCGTACACACAAAAAAACTCTCAACTCACATATAAAAGGCATTTAAAGATAAGATTATCTTCAACAAAAGCTAATCAATAGTAAACACTTAGGTTGCGTTCTTTTGTGAGTTTTGCCAAACGTTTTTACTATTCAGATTTTTTTTTTCCCTCTGAAAATATCACATCAAACAATTACTTTTTCTTTATTTATATTATACTACAAATTTATTTTACGTTCAAAACATCACATTAACTTTTATTTATATCACATCAAACAACTATTCAAATTCAACTTTTTACTATTCAAAAATCCAAACCCAAAAACTAAAGTGTTTGGAGGATTCTCTCCAAATTCTAATATTCATCAATTTTTTTCCCCAAAAATATTAAATCTAACACTTATTTTTTATTTTCTTATTATACTAAAATTCAATTTTACATTCAAAACATTACATCAATACCTATTTATATCACACCGTACAACTATTCCAATTCAAAATAATATTCAAATCTCAACAAGGTGACACTCTACCGCTGGGTTATATCCCTTCCCTGCCCCATAGAACTGACTAATCCTAAGTCAAAGTCAAAGGACTCAACGCCACTATTCTTGAACTCAAAATCCAAACATCCAAACAAACACACCCTTAGAAAACATTTTCCCACCATCAAAACACACTACATAATTAATCGTACGAATCAGAACAAAAACAAACACTTTTGACGGAGAAGATCGAGGCATCCATTGTTTCACAATCCATACAAATCAACGTCTGAAAAAATTACATTTCCTAATACTACACAAACACGAAAACACAACATTCGGATAAGATCACTCATGCCTATATACCACAATAGATGCAAAAGCAAACAGTTGTTACATTCAAACAATATGCACAACAAAACCCTTCAATATTATCATTAAGTAAAGAACCTCAAATGAATCATCCTCCCAAGAAATAACATGCAAATCTGCAATTACATTAGAAAATTACCCAAAAACTATGTTACATTACATATCCTATGCTTACACACAAATATAATTCCTACTATGTTTACATACTTCATCTACTTTGGAACTCTTCAGATGCAACATAGTTATACTTCAAACAGTTCATATACCAAAAGAAATTTATGAAATACATTAAAATACATGTATATCTATTTACCGAAAGCTATAATGATAAGATTCAATCCATCTCAGAACATATCTCCCAAATTCTCGTGCGTAAACTAAACTACAAAATCCATGGAAAATGGAGGCGAGCCAGGCGTGAAAACTCGCTACGAAAACCCTAGAACAGATGAAAGAAAATGCTATAATACGCAAAAACGCGGCGGAAATGGAACGGAGTCGATTGATTGATTTTTCTAGGGTTTATATTTTGAATTTTTGGGGGAATTGAGCGGAAATATAGATGCATCTATTCGGCATAAACAAAAGCAGTAAAGAGAAATCGAGAGTGAAAGTGAAAGAGAAATTACAGCGGCGGAAGAGATCCGAGCAGGCGGAGGACGATCAAGAGCAGATCTGGTGATCGGAGGACGCGGCGGGCGGGGCGAGTAGAATCGGAGGCGTTCGGAGAGCTTTTGGTGGCGATTTTGGGTTCTCACCCCATTGCAGTTGCAGACCTCGGCTGGGGTTGAGGTCGAGGTTTTCGTCTCCTCGTGAAGAGCGATGGGGAGAGAGAAGAGAGAGAAAAATGAGGGTAATAAATTAAAAATATATATATATATGTAATAAAATTTATATTTGTCCGATTTAATTATTAGTAGTATAATTTTATTACAAATTTTATATAATTTCTCTGTTTGTTCAAAGACGTACGGTTTGTTTTTATTTTTTTTATTTTTCGAAAACAAACTTTGTAAAAAAAAATTATTACACGCTCTTTTATATTATCTACACAAATCTAGAAAATATTATTTTCAACTATTTTTATAAAACAAATACATTTATATTTATTTTATTATTTATTTATTTTATGATAGTAAAAATTTATAATCACTACTTTTCTGTGTGTCAAACCGCCCATCAAACATAATAATTTACAAACTAAGCCTGAGAAAGAATGTTGAATTAATTGGGAACTGATGAAATAGAAAGTATAAAAAAAGAAATGTCAAAATTTTCTTAGATATTTCTAATAGCTAATAAAATATTATTTTGTTCGTTTCAATTGAAAATATATTTTTATTATTTTCATTTATTTTAAGAAAAAATACTCTATTCGTTCACGGATAAAGTATACATTTACTTTTGGCGCGGAGTTTAAAAAGTAATAGTATTTTAAATATAGTGGGTAGGTAAAAGTAGTGAAATGACATTTTTGCCCTTGTTTTTTTTTTTGTATAAAAGTAATGATGTGATGTAAAGTAAGAGTATTTGTAGAAAAAAAATAGGGTATTTAATGAAATGATTATTTTGTAATTGGACGTCCCAAAATAGAAATATGTATACTTTATAGCTGGACGGAGGGAGTATTAATTTATTATTATATTAAAAATAATTATATATTAATATCGAAATATTCTTTAATTTTTTATATAAATTACAAATATATTATTACAATACAATTTATTTATATATAAAATATAAAAATATCAAAATTATTTTATATATTTTTAATAACTAATAAAATATTATTATTTTTTAAAATATTATAAAATTCTAAATAATTTATTTGAATTAGGGCAAAAGAAACATTATTTCTAAATATACTTAGAAAAAGTACAATTGGCCGGAAAGGAAAGAGTATATATTTAGTTTTTAATAAATATATACCTATTTATATATGATAAATATCTTCAAAGTATTGGTTTGTGTTTCAATAACGTTCAATTTGCACAAGTTTTTATAAAAATATATAATTTTTAAATAAATATTAAATTTAAATATAATTTAAACAAAAATTCAAATAAAAATTCAATTGTTGATCAAAACCAAATAAATTCATATTTTATGAAAATAAAAAAATATTTAGTGTATTTTATTGGTATTTTTTCAGTTTAAAAAGTTATTTACATGTAATAAATATTTTATTAGAATTATTTTTATACTTTTAAATAAAGTTATAATCATTAAATATGAAATTGAAAATAATTGTGATATGACCGTATTTAAATAATAATATTCCAACAAAAATGGTATGCTATTGTTTAGTGTTTATATATATACACGAATTTTAAAATTTATTATTAAAGATATAAGGCGTGTTTTGACAATTAGTTGTTAGCTGTTAACTGATTCAATTAGCTGATAGCTGTTAGCTGATTCAATTAGTTGGTTTGACTAGCTGATTCGATTAGCTGTTTATATTAAAATATTTGGTAAAACAACTGTTTGATATTAGATGTTTATACGTAAAATGACAATTGAGGACATTTCTATTTTATTTTTGTTTCTGATATATTCGATTATGTTATTTTAAGTTTAGAATGTTTATAATTTTTTGTTATTAGTTATTGAAAATTGTAAAAGTGTTATAAAAGTATTTATTTTTATTAGAGTTAGATTTAAAAAAATAATATATTTTTATTAAAATATATAAATAGTTTTTTTTTTTATTGAAAATGATATAAAATATAAAATAATAAATTTTTTGTGTATATATTTATTATGTTGGTTATCGATTAGTTTATTATATTTATAATTTTCAATAAATTTAATTTATTTAATTTATTTTTAGTATAAAATTTATATAATGTAATTTTAATATAAAAATAAATTATTAATATTTATATTTTATATTTTATGTTGATTTTAATAAATTTATATATTTTACCATTAAAATAATTTATATATATAAATTAATTATTTTAAATTTATAAAAGTAAAACTATATTATAATAAAATATTCTAATATAATCAAAAATATATTTATTTGTATAAAATGCATAATAAATTTTTAAAGGTATATAAGGAATAAATTTTCTTTTTTTATAGAAAAAGCTATTTCAAAACCCCGGGTAAGTTAGCTTTTTAGAAATTAGTTTTTTGGGTCCAAAAAACTATTCCAAAAAGCTAATTTACCAAACACTTAAATTAGCTTTTTTACTGGTGAAACAGCTAAAAGCTGTTCAATAAGCTAAAAACTTTTCAAAAAGCTATTTGTCAAACATCTCCATAATAAAATATATAAAGTATTATTTTCTATTCATAGTTTTCACAGTATTTTACAATAAAAATAAGGGGTAAACTGTTTTTTTAGTCCCGTAACTGGACCCCCTTATCATTTTAATCTCGTAAGTGGAGCATGTCGCAAACTAGTCCCATAAGTGAAGAATTTTCGCTGTTTTAGTCCTCTGGCGCCGGAAATGCCCGCGTGGCTCGCCGGAGGTGACGTGTCCGCCAGGTGTCGCTGACCTGGCGGACACGTGGATTTTTATTTTTTTCTTAATTTTTTTAAAACTTATTTTTAATTTATTTTAAATTTTATTTGTATTTTTTTTTATTTTTTTATTTGTTACAATTAAAAAAATTGAAAAAAATGAAAAATAAAAAATAAATCTATGTATCCGCCAGGTGTCGCTGACCTTGGCGGACACGTCACCTCCGGCGAGCCACGCGGGCGTCTCCGGCGCCGGAGGACTAAAACAACGAAAAATTTTCACTTATGAGACTAGTTTGCGACAGGCTCCACTTACGAGACAAAAATGGTAAAGGGTCCAGTTACGGACTAAAAAAACAGTTTACCCTAAAAATAAACATTCTCCCCGTATATGGGATGTTTTTTATGTGTACTTTTTAAGTAAAATAAATTATAGTTTATATATAAAAATATTTTTTTATTAAAAATAATAACATTATAAATAATAATAAGTTTTTTTTTTCATAAATTGTTAGTATTTAATTATTTTAAAAAAAATATTAAATGAAAAATACTTATTTTTTATATAATAATTAAAATAATTTTATATTTAAAATATTAAATTAATATATATTTATATTTCATTAAATAATTATTTAAATTTAAAATTTTATTATTAAAAAATTGAAATACAAAAAATAGGCTATGTCTTAGTGTTTTAATTTGAATTAGTTTTTATGTAAGATGAAAATGATAATATAAAAAATAATATTATTTTTGTCATTTATAAAATTTATATTTGCTTTATGAGTGTTAATTTTAAATATTAATTATTAATTGTTATAATAAAATATAATATAAATTAAGAGAAATGAGAATAATATTTTTACTAATGTTTTATAATACAAATATAATGATATTTATATAAAAAATTACATAAATATAAAAATATCTTTAATATTAAATATAATGATATAAAAAGTAAATATAAAATTATTAAATGAATGGAGATAAATATTTTATATTGAAACATTAATTTTTTATAAAAACAATAAAATACTTCATCTGTCTGTGGGTCATTTTACTTAATATTTAAAATATTCTTATATTTGTATAATTTTTTTTACAAATATTTTATTAATATTATAAGACAGTAATTGAAGTATTTTTGTAATTTTTTATTAACTTGTACTCAATTTTGATATAATAATTAAAATTCAAATATCAAATTAAAAAATAAATAAAATCATTAGGGGCGAAAGGAAATAGTATATATTATTGATATTATATAAATATATATAAATTTTTATAATATTCATCGAAAATAAATAATTTGTTGGGTCAACAAACAAACTCACCCAACGAAAACGACCCACCCATGTAATTACAAAGATCACCTACCGTGGTTTAGATGCCATTAGGTCAAAATTGAATGTTCATAAATGCTTAAACTTTAGTGTTACTATCCTTACAAGACCGGAGGACGGCGTTTTCGGTGTTATTTGGAATTATATCATATATTGTCAGAATATATATACTATATAAAATTACATTATGTGTTATAATATATCACATATGACTCGACTATTGGACCTAGTTTTCAGAGTATAAGATTCGATCGAAGGTTTACCCGATGCGTATTTTCAAATAGCGATTTTGGGTTCTCGTGTCATAAAAATATATATATATATATATACACATGTGGTTATTTGTTTTAATTAGACATAGTGACTAGATCACATCAATATTATACTGATTTGATTAAATCAACATTGAAATTGAAAAGAAGTTGAGAGTTTTGGATGAAATTTAAATTTAGCATCTTAAATTATGATATAATATATATATATATATATTTAATTAAAAGTAAATTAAATTTACGTTTTGAATATGAATGTCTATATAGTAACATAATAAATATTCTATTCTCTTATAAAAAATTAAGAATTCGAACACAAATATTATACTCTATCTGTTCCAATAGAATTATTTTGTTTTTTTATTTTTCGTCCGTTTCAAAACAATTGTCTTGTTTTCTTATTTAGTAATCGTGATTACACTTTATAACATAATTATTCATATTTTTCCAAACTATCCATAATTATTACTTTAACCTACTTTTTAAAACCATTCAAAAAAACAAAGGTATTTTAGTCTTTTACCTTCTACTTTATACCAACTTTGAATTATTCCTTAATTCTCGTGTCCACTCCCAATAAGACATCTTTTCCGGGACGGGGGAATATTTTTTTTATGTTATTAAAAATTTTTTTATACCTAATATAAAAAACACAAAAACAAAGTGGACAGATTCATTAGTTTTTTTTTGAGTATATAAAAAATACTATTTAAATCAAAATTTAAATCTACAGAAAATATGTATCTTCTTAGAAGGTTTATTGGGGTTGTTTTTTCGGTAATTCTCTTATAGCTAGGGACATTTTTTTCGTGTTGTTTTTTTTGTGCCGGGTAGAAGTTTGGTTGTCAATAGGATTTGAACTCATAATCCCTTAGGCGAGATCGATAACATGATTTGAATATATGATCTTACGGTCAAAATTCACAGGGTAGGCTATTGAGCTCGGCCAAATACATCTTCCCCAACCAAGAGAAATACTTTTTGAATGATGCATTTGAAAATAAAATGACCCATTATCAGTTAGTATTTCTTATACTACAAAAATTCTATTGAAATTAAACAAGATTTGTTCACTTATTTTTTGGCGACATTATTCTACATAAATATTATAAAAAATATAATATATACATTTTACTTTTTTAAATTTCTGACACATCTCTATATCTAACATAAAATACATATTCATCTAAAAATACAAAATGAAAGACACCCACAATAAGACCCTAATTGAACTAACAAAATAAATATCAGACCACAATAATCAATCCTAAAAAAAATAAAAAATAAAAAAATGAAGATTTTTAAAAAAAAAAAACTGAAGAAGGAACCAAACTATCGATCTGAAAATAGTAACCCTATGGTTACACTATTTCCTCTACAATTCCCAATAAAAATACACTATTTTATTTCTCACAAAATATCACTTCGAAATATTATTTAAACAAAAATTCAAATCTAACACTCTATTTCAAACCAAAATCAATAATAAGAATAAAAAATATATTTTATGCCATCAAATAAATATGAAATGTGCTAAGCCATAAGCCCCAATTTGGTTGAAAAAAATTGAGTTAAATGTATTTCAAATAACTTCATCAAATGTTTTGTTGAATTTTAGAACTCCATAGTTATTGTAGATTTTAAATTTATCTCCTTCAATATTTCAAATACTCTTTTTTCGTTTCAAATACTTTCCTATAACCAAAAGGGAGTTTAATCATGAAGTATACAAAACATATAATTTAAAAATCGATTCATTTAAAATCTAACCACAAAATCCATATCCATCCAACCAAACGAGACCTAAAATCCTTAAACATGATCAAGAAAAAGGGAATCTAGGCATAGAACAACATTGCATAATTCATGAACTTACTGAATTATATGTATGCATGTCTGTCCTATCACAAGCCAGCCTAAGATCAAATATCATGACCTGTATCAACAAAATAGCTTCCATCGATTCGCTGCATTGAGCAGAGCAACTTGTTAGCGAACACAAACACAACCTGCTATGAAAACTATATACATCTAGCCGAGATATACAATGAACAGAGAGGACTCGCGAAAGCCAACTTGGATAAACTTTTCGACTAAACAAAAAGTTCCATAATGTAGATGTTAACATAAAAGACATGCCCCGTAACATTAAGCTTGAAAACCCACTACATTATCGTCAACCAAAAAAGAAAGTTATCGATCTAAATGAACAATTATCAAAAAATAAACCGTTTATGAGAGCTCTACTTGCAAATTACAGGATCCCTTATAGGCAAGTTACTCAGAAATTCGATAATAAGCAGAATCAACCCTACAATTCCATGGAAACGCCGATGCAATCAATTAGATGGACTCAACATTAGTGTAAAATCTTAATGAAGGTAACAAATTGTAAACAAGATCAATACAAAGCGATGCAATTTTAAAAGGCTAAAACTCACTAGTCACCATTATACTAAACCTTAGCTTTCAAAAAAACATTCATATTCGAAGATGTCTATTCGAAAGCAACAACACAAGAAAAAAAGCAGCATTTACACACATAAATCCAGCTAATCCAACAATCAACTTACAAGAATGATTAACATTTACCTAACAACAAAATTTTGAAATCAAGAGATTGAATTTGGATTCATGATTCATCACAAAATAAAACACCTATAACCAAAATGCATATAATTTATCAAGCAAATGTCACATAATCAGAGCATATATCGAACACTAACAGACGGAAATTGAACCATCCTTACATAGATATATAAATAAAGGAGTTGCAGATCATTTTCCCTAACTGCAATTTCGACGCAGAGACATAAATAATGTAAAAGGACTAAACCAGAACGATCCGATATGAAATCCCCAATTTCTACACGGGGCTCAGCAGCTGCGAGAGAGAGGGCTTCGGCTCGGAATTCATGCCAATAATGATGATCATCGGTATGAAGCCATAGTGAGTGATGACCTTCGCCTTCTTCATCGTCCAGGTGCTCCACTCCTTGACGAACTTGGACGCGGCGGCCAGGGACCCCTCATCGTCGTCCGGCGCCTGCAACTTCTTCACCTTCCCTTTCCCCGGTTTCAGAGAAATTCTTGAAGACATATCTCCGCCGCTCCCGATCCGATCTGATTTTTGATCCGCCGCCGCGCTTCCCTCCGAGTTATTCCTGAGTTCACCACCGGAATTGAAATGAGAATCGAAGTTTGAATGCCCTAGAAGACGCAGAGGAGATTTTGTGCTCGGGGCAACATGTGAATAGACAGTAATGTCCTCACTCGTGTATTATTATTATTATTATTATTATTATTATGGAGTATATATATATTTTTTTTTCCGATAAAATTTGAATTTTTTTTTTTTTTTTTTTATTGAAATAGAAAATTATATGATGTTTTATGTGTGCATTTAATTTGAAAGTTTAAATTTTAATTGAAATAATATTTCGTTGAAAAATACTTCATCCATCCTACTTTTGTGTTTAATTGATTGTAGCTAAGAAAATTTAGGTAAAATAATTAATAAATAATTAAGATATGTATTAGTAAAAATAATTATTGTATAATAAAAATATTTATAAATTAATATAAAAATAACTAAATAGTATAATTAAAATTAAAAAATATAAATTATAAAAATTTAAAATGTGATTAAAGTGTAAATTATATTTCCAAATGACAAATAAGGTAAGACATAATAGAAATATAAACAGTGGACTAACACTGTGAGATAAAGAGAATATATGTTTTTAAATTCATTTGTTCCATCAATGTATCTTTTTGAAATTTTATAATAAATTAAAAAATTATACTCCCTTTGTTCCATAAATATAATTTTAATTAGATTGAACACGAGATTTAAGGAATATTGATATTACAAGGGCAGTGAGTAAAAAGGTATGAATAAAAGACTTTTTTGCCCTTGTAAGTATATTAGTGTAAAAAATAGTGGCAATTGTGTAATAAAAATGAAAAAATATGGATAGTTTTATGGTGATACAGTTATTTATTGAAATAAAACTATTGTTTTAAGATGAACAAAAATGATAAACAAGACTATTGTATTGGGACAGAAAAAATAATATTTTATTAGTTAGATAAAGTGTGTAAGATATTTTTAATATATCTGTAATTTAAATAATAATTAAAAATATTTTAATATTAATATATAATCATTTTTACTAAAATAAAATAAAATACTAAAAAAATAAGTAATAAAGACCTCTGACCTAGGTGAAGAAGCCTCTTCTACAAGGGCATTAGCGAGAAACCCCCGCGTCATTACTTATTATAAAAAACAAATTGAAAAATATGATGTGGAAATAAGGGCAGGAGAGCACCTAGCTCTACCCAGCAACTCTGGTATTGATTTGCTATCATTAATATTGTCACATTGGGGCACATGGCAAATTTTTTTTAATATATATATATTTTTATATTTTATTTAAATTATATGTAATAATATTTTTATATTATATAAAATTTTATTTTTTATAAAATAATATCAATATTAAATATATATATTTTAATTAAATATAATTTATTTATTATGATAAATAAATATTGACATATTTTTATTTAATAAATTTTTTATTAAATATAATTAATTAATAATATTATTAATAATAATTTAATTTTTAATAAATTAATTAAAATAAATATAATCACTAATTGTATTTTAGAAAGAAAATTTTAAAATAAGAACATAATAATAATAATAATCATATTAATAAATATTTGTTACAATTTATAAACTAATTATAAATAAATAAATATGTATATTAGATAAATTATTATTACTTAAATTATTTTAAAAATTGATAATTTAATAATATAGAGATAAGAGAAATGAAAATTTGTGAAAAAGGTAAAACAACAAAAAAATCCCCCGTAGTTTACCGAATGCTGAAAATCCCCCGTAGTCCTAAAATTCCAAAAAACCTACTCGTGGTTTGTAAAACGTTGCACACTCTTACCCCCTTTAAATCACACTGACGCCGTTAAATTTTAGCCTTATCAGACCGTTATGCCCTTGAGCATTTTCCTTCTTCTCTTCTCTGCAACTTCTTTCTTCTATCTTCTTTTCTTCCCCAAATTCTTCTTCACACATATTTTTTCTCAATTTTTCTCTTCTTCTTTTCCAATTCTTTTTCAGGCCATAGCAGTTCCACCCGCTTCTTTCTTTTTTTTTTTTCTTTTTCCTCAAATTTTATCTTCTTATTCTCCAATTTTTTTCAAGCCATAACAGTTCGACCTACTTTTTTCTTTTTTTCTTTTTTCCCCAAATTTTTTTTCTTCTTCTTTATCACCAATTGTTATTTGAAGAATGAAGAATTGGAAACGAATAAGAAAAGAAAGAAAATGACGGGCAAAAGCGGCTGGAGCAGGAAGAAGTAAGGAAAAAAAGAAAGAGAATAAAAAAGATACTGGAAAGAAGAAAGGAGAAAGAAGGGCTGGATATCATTTTTTTTTTCTCCAAGTTTTTTTTCTTTCTCTATCTCTTTTTCCTCAATTTTCTTTCTTTTTTTATTTTTCCTCCCCAATTCTTTCGTACACGATTGCAACAAGCAGCAAATTATTTCTTTTTTCTTAGATTAATTTCAAATTTTGATGTCAAATTGAAATTTTAGGTTTCTGAGTTTGGTAAAAACAGAAGAAGAAGTATTTATGGGTCTGGTAAAACAAGCATTCTCATCTCCATCTCCATGTCCGGTCAATTAATTGTGATAAATTTGGGATTGGTTTAAAATTTACGTTGTGTTTAGGGGATTTAAAATGAAAAAAAAAATGGATTGAGATAAAATTCTAGAAGTATGCAGAAGAATAAGAAAGAAAAAGAATAAGGAAGAAGAAGAACGAGGAAGAAGTGGTTGTAAAAAGTAGTCATTAGGGTATTTTGGTAATTTTATACAGAAATATATCACTCTATGGACCAAAAATCGCATTCCAGGCGTGTGATATACAACTTCCGTTAAATCCAAATGGAGGGGGGATTTTTCGCAACATTTTAGAAACCACAGGGGGGTTTTCAGCAATTTCGGGAAACCACAGGGGATTTTTTTGCTATTTTGCCTTGTGAAAATGAATTTCTTTGATGTGAGTATAAAATGAAATGTGTTTCTCCGATTACGTGTAAAAGAAGAGAGAGATGGAAGAAACACATGTTGGATTTTATTGATGCAGATGGCCTAAGCACTTTAAAGCTACCGATCTTTGATCCTGTGACATCATTATCTCCTTTTTACATTCAAGTTCCGATCCTCAAAAATGGGTATGACGTTGCCAATTTGTAGATCAATCTAAATTAAAAAAAGAAAGAAAAAATCTTTCTACAAAATAGATACGCTTTGGTAGTATCTTTGATTGTCAACATAATATTTTTAAACATAATACTCCATATATTCCATAAATATAGTTTTAATTGGGTTGAACACGAGATTTAAGAAATATTATTATTCTATTGGTAGTCGGTAAAAAATATGGATAAAAAGATTTTTTTGTCCTTGTAAGTGTATAAAAAGATTTTTTTGTCCTTGTAAGTGTATAAAAAGATTTTTTTGTCCTTGTAAGTGTATTAGTGTAAAAAGTAGTGGCAATTGTGTAATAAAAATGAAAAAGTAATAATAGTTTTATGGTGATATGGTTATTTATGGAAATAAGACTATTGTTTTGGGACGGACAAAAATAATTAATAAGATTATTGTATTGAAACGAAAGAAGTATGACGTTTTCGAAATAGGTGATACACTATTACTCGAAGTTCTATCAAACAAAATGAGAGAATGAGAGAAGAGATGATTGCATTGACGTAATTTAGAATGATGGTGTGCCTCTTTAGGCACCTCCACCTATGCGAGAGTAATTACCTAAAATTATATCATATACGGTTAAAATATGTAATGAATATTATATTTTCATGCACTGTCGTATAAATGTTACTGTCTGTTTTATATACATGTGTTGAATTGATTCAAATAAATACCATATTAATTTGATCTGATTTGACCTGATCAATATCCAGAACCGAAACAATATACTCTTTTCATCCCAAAAGAGTTATCTTGTTTTTCCATTTTTGTTTGTATCAAAACAATTGTCTTATTTTCTTATTTAGTAACAGTGGTCTATACTTTATAATAAAATTATTTATACTTTTCCAAACTACCCATAATCATTACTCTAACATATTTTAAAAATTTTTCAAAAAGCAAAAATATTATAGTCTTTTACATTGTATTTTATACCTACTTTTAATTAAGTATTATTATTTCTTAATTTTTGTAACAACTTTCCAACAAAAACATCTTTTTTGGAAGGACAAGTATAACATATATTCAAGTTTTAACCCACTTAAGCACTAACCAACATCAGTCACTAGAGAGCACAATCAATTAACTAATTTCTTCCATTCTTAGTACATCTCATACTATTATTATTATTACACCGTCACCGGCGGGTATCACTAACGAATTTCTGTCACAGTCGTGAGTTAAGGGGAAGGTCCTCATAAAATAATTTCTTAAAATCCTCCATGCATGCAACCTGAAGGCATAATCCTACCATCACTGACCCGTCACCGTCACCGTCACCGCCGGATATCACTAGCGAATTCCCATCACAGTCGTCGCCCCCGGGGCCCATGGAAATCTCCTTCCCCCACCCGAAATCGAGTCCATGGAGCGGGAGGCCCAGCCAGCTGGTCACCCGGAGATTCGGGTTCCCATAGAAGGTCCCGCCGTTAGTCCCGGGAGCTTTTATATCCTGAAGCTGCGAAAAGTCCTTCATACCCTTCAAATAATCAATCATTGACTCCACATAATCTTCAGTCACCATGTCAATTGCCTCCCTTACACGCGCCGCCGCATGCCCTAGCGGCGCCGCTGTGATCTCCCCCGACCGTCCCTTTGCGAAAACGTCCACAATCGCATTCCCGAAATACTTTCTCGGCGGCGGTGGCAGGCGGCGCACGTGCTTCCGTACGTTCACGCAGATCCTGACCGCCGTCGGCTGCGCCGCCGCGTGGCGGCGGGCCTTGCAGGCGCACTGCCACATATGGGCGACGATGGATTCATACTTTGTGTAAGGCCTTTTCACGGCGGCGCTGCCGCCGTCCACACGACTTCGATTCGCCTCCCGCTTAAGATCCTCCACCTGCGCCGCCGTCAGTTTCAGCAGCGCCACCGTCGTCTCCTTCCCCCGTTCTCCGGCGTCGTTAATTTCTCCGATCACCACCGGCTGCGGGTCGAACGTATCGTGCACGAACTCCGACCGCCGCCCAGACGCCGCCGGTCGCTCCCCGGCCCGCAAGAACCGCCGGTCGAGAACCGGCGGTGGACCGGTCGGCGCGCCGCGCGCCAGCGCCGCCCATTCAGATAGAAAATGAAGGTTGCTCGTGCCGTCGACCGCCACGTGTGAAACATTCCAGCTCAGGCTAACGCCGCCGCACCGGAATTTCGTGATCTGCACGAGGAGAATCGGAATTTCCGGCAATGGAGTCGAATAATTTACCTGAGGAACCAAATGGGAATATTCCGGCGGATCGGAATCTCGGATGTCGTCGAGGGTGGCGGCGCACTCCACCTCGGTCAGCTGCACGCCGACGCCGTTGCAGTCGAGCTCGAGCCGGGAGCCGGGCAGCCAGCGGAGGCGGCCGGCGAGCGGGTAGAATATCACGAGCGCCTTGCTGAGGGAGCTCCGGAGGGTTTCGAAGATCCGGCGCGGCGGCGCCGCCCAATCTTGAGGAGGTCTGTAATAGTATATCGTCGGAGTGTGGCCGAATACGCCGATCTGGTCTAATTCCGACAGCGGCATGGAGCCGCTCCATGTCGGCTCGGCTGGCTGAACTAAGCAAGAATTTCTCACGACAAATTTCATTCTTATTAATTACTATTATTAATTAATTTATTTATTTTGTATGATTATTTATTTTGTTATTTTATTAGGGTTTGGTGCAAAATCATATGTATTTATAGATCGTGTTTGTGAGGGGATTATAGTCCTTTTTTTCTTTTGCTGTTTTTAACATGTTTTTTATATTTAAAATTTGATTATATTAAAATGTTTTAGATATTTAGTTTATTATTTAAATATAATTTTTGTTATTTAGATTAGATCATTATAATTTGCTTATATATATCCGATTATATTATTATAATTTGATTATATGTACTAGATGATATTATTATATGAATTTATTACACGTATTTGTAGGTTTCATTATCAACAACAAACAATATCTATAGGGTAGATTATGTTCTTTTAGTATTTAACAATTTTAGTGTTTTTATTACTCTCTTTCTTTGTACTAAAATATTTATTTATTTTATATTAGTTACTATAAACTTTTAGATGCATTTTTTACTCAAAATTTTTCAAATTTTAATCATGCGGTTTCAAAAAAAAGAAATACTCCATCCGTCCCTTGCCAAATGGGTTATTTGGAATTTTGTAATAAATTAAAAAATAGTAGTATTTTATTGGTTAGCGAAAGTATATAAAAGATTTTTACATTTTTATCATTTGACTTTTTGTGTTAATTAATTGTATGTGTAATAATATTTTTGTAATTTAAATAAAAATTAAGGATATGATTACTTTTTCTAAAATAAAAAAATACTTTAAAATAAAATGAACAAAAATGGTAAACAAAAGTATTTTGAATTGGGACGGAGAGTGTACATTTATTTTTTTTCTCAAAGAACATCTATCAATATATTATTTAATATCGAATACAAATCAAATCACTCTCAAAGTTTTCACAAAAAAAAAAAAAAAAACACATCAAAATTTTGAACTTAAAGGTACTATGCTCTCAAGAACACTTTACCATACATATTCTAGCATCTTTTTAATTTCTCAAACAACATCTACTGCCAAATAAATAAAGAAAACAAAATCAGTGATCTTTTTGTCACCGCCGGGTATCACTAGCAAATCTCCGTCACAGTCGTGAGTTAAAAGGGAGGTCTTCGTAAAATACTTTCTTAAAATCCTCCATGCATGCAACCTGAAGGCACACTGCTACCGTCACTGACCCGTCACCGTCACTGCTGGGTATCACTAGTAAATCCCCGTCACAGTCGTGGGCCCCGGGGCCCATGAAAATCTCCTTCCCCCACCCGAAATCGAGTCCATGGAGCGGGAGGCCCAACCAGCTGATAAACCTAAGATTCGGGTTGCCATAGAAGGCCCCGTCATTAGTCCCAGGACCTTTTAAATCCTGAAGCTGTGAAAAGTCCTCTATACCCTTCCAATAGTCAATCATTGACTCCACATAATCTCCTGTCACGGAGTCGATTGCCTCCCTTATAAGCGCCGCCGCATGCCCCAGCGGCGCCGCCGTGATCTCCCCCGACCGGCCCCTTGCGAAAACGTCCATCACCCCGTTTCCGAAGAACTTCCGCGGCGGCGGTGGCAGGCGGTGGAAGTGCTTTCTCACGTCCATGCAAATCTCCAGCGTCGTCGGCTGCGCCGCCGCGTGGCGGCGGGCCTTGGAGGCGCACCGCCAGATATGGCCGCCGATGGATTCGAACTTTGTGTAAGGCCTTTTCACGGCGGCGCCGCCGCCGTCTGTACGAGTTCGATTCGCCTCCCGCTTAAGATTCTCCACCTGCGCCGCCGTCAGCTTCAGCCGCGCCACCGCCGTCTCCTTCCTCCGTTCTCCGGCGTCGCTCGTTTCTCCGATCAAAACCGGCGGCGGGTCGAACAATTCGCGCCCGAAATCCGACCGCCGCCCCGACGCCGCAGGCTCCCCGGCCCGCAAGAACCGCCGATCTAGAACCGGCGGCGGGCCGGCCGCCGCGCCGCGCGCCAGGGCCGCCCATTCAAATAGAAAATGAAGCATGCTCTGGCCGTCGGCCACCACGTGCGACGTGTTGCAGGTCAGGCTGACGCCGCCGCACCGGAATTTCGTAATCTGCACGAGGAGAATCGGAATTTCCGCCATTGGAGTGGAATAATTTACCTGAGGAATCAAATCGGCATATTCCGGCGACGGAGAGAAATCTCCGAGGTCGTCCAGCGTGGCGCCGGACTCCGCCTCGATCAGCCGCGCGCCGCCGGCGTTGCAGTCGAGCTCCAGCCGCGAGCCGGGCAGCCAGCGCAGGCGGCCGGCGAGCGGGTAGAATATCACCAGCGCCTTGCTGAGGGAGCTCCGGAGGGTTTCGAAGATCCGGCGCGGCGGCGCCGCCCAATCCTGAGGAGGTCTGTAGACGTATATTGACGGAGTGTGGCTGAGTACGCCGAGCTGGTCGATTTCCGACAGCGGCATTGAGCCGCTCCATGTCGGCTCGGCTGGCTGAACTAAGCAAGAATTTCTCACGGCGACTTTCATTTTTATGTATTTATTTACTATATTAATTATGTTGTGGTAATAAGATCAGGTGCAAAATCCTCGGTATTTATAGTCGTCTTTTGGGAATTAAATTTTTATTATCTATATTAGATTCCACTAATTTTATAATATCAATGGGATTATATTATTATAATTTAGTTACATGTATCGTATTATATTACTATATATTATAAAAATTTTATTCAACCACAATATATATATATTTCCACTTCCTTTCTTCCTTAATCATTTATCCATTTTTTTTTATTTTGATATGTTCCGTAAAAAATACTCCTCTCGTCCCATAACAAAATATCCATTTTTCCATTTTAATTCGTCACATAACAAAGTATTCATTTCATTTTTTAGTAACTGTTCTGTCTATCTAACATCACCCATACTAATAAGATTATTTTAGTCATTTTGACTTTATTCTTACTATATCCCAATATAATACTAATATTTCTAAAATTACTTGAAAAAACAAATGGATACTTAATTCTGGGATCAAGAGTATTTATTTTCTTTTTAGTAATGGTATTATTTACCTAACATTACAAATATCTTTCTAATTTAAATATATTACACAAATATCATTACTTTTATATTATACGATACTAATAAAATTAGTTTAGTTTTTTTCCTTTTATTTTTATCGCATCTCAATATAATATTAATATATTTAAAACTCCTTGAAAAAAAAACAAATTGATAGATAAAAATGGGACGGAGGGAATATTAAATAAATAATAGTCAATTTGTCACTATTATTTCTACTTATCACACCGTATTTTTATCAGTTCTTTACTAAATTTTCTATAATACCTTATTTTATTTTTTACTTACCTCATTTTTAAATTAAAATATCATTATATTTTAATTTTCATACCGAAATAAAATGGCATAATTAGTGCATGCAAGGAAGTATTATTTTAACCTCTTTATACTTTCTTTTCCACTAACATTATTTCTTTATGCATTTTTTGCCTATAAAATTATATCCAATTCATTTAGGGTGTGATTGTCTGGGAGTTTGAATTTTGAGTTGGGATTTGAATATTAAAAATTTTGAATTTAAATTTATTTCTTCGAACCCAAAAAAGTTACATAATTTTATCTACAAAGAATTACTCTCTGTCATTCAATTATGTACTTATTTGATCAATCATAAATTTTTAAAAATATGAACTTTTATTTTTCAAGAAAAAAATAAGTTAAAAAAATAATTTTTTTTAGTGAAAAAAAAATAAAAATAAATTTAGATGACAATAAATAAATAAATTAAATAACAGATAGAGTATTTTTGAAACTTCTGCAAATTGTAACATGATAGGAGACCATCTCTAATGTTGTGAATTTGTATTTAGATTGATAAGCTTTGACTAATAATAGCTCTTAAACAAAAATATAATAATTAATGAAAATAAAATTCAAATAAAAAAAAATAAAAATTAAAATAATATTCCATTCCTTTCATTTATCATATTTATTTTTCTATTTTTTGCTGCCTCACTTATTCTGTAATTTATTTTATTTAAAAATAAATTATACATTTTAATCTCATTTTATTTTTTAATTTATAATTTTTTTAATTTTAATTAAATTAATTATTTATTTTAATATTAATTTAAAATTATTTTTATTATACAATAATTATTTTTATTAATATATTTTTAATTATTTATTAATTATATTTTTTCTAAATTTTCATGACCGTAGTCTAAATGGAGGGAGTATATAGAAAACAAATGCATATACTAGAAACTGAAAATAAGAGTATCACCAACCCACTGTTTGATTTGATTTTGAGGGATCCCAACCCCATTTTATACTTAAAAAATGAAATATGCACAGTGTATTACTTCAATTTTTAAGTTAGAATTTTTGTAATTTTGTAATTTTTTATATATTATTTAATTTTAATTTTAAAAAAGTGATATATAATTTTATTTTATTTTATTTAAATAATAGTATGTAATTTTATTTTTAAAAAATTATATACTATTTTCGTCCGACTCTAAGGATCCCATTTAATTTTTTACGTGTTGATATTTGAATATTAATTATTACATGAAACTATAGCACATTAAGAAAAAATGACAAAAATATTCTTTTTAGCTTCTTATAATACTATTATAATAATGTTTGTGTAAAAAATTAAAGTTAAGTGTAATTTATAAATATATAAAGTTGGAGAAAATACTATTTCCGCCCGGTCTCATATCCATATTATTGTAGATAAAGAAATTTAGGAGAAGTATAATTAGTAAATTATTAAGAATGTATTCGTAAAATTATTTATTGTATTATAAAATAATTATATATTATGATTAAAATAATTAATTATTCTAATTAAAATTTTAAAAAATTATAGAATAGAAATTTGAAATAATGAAAAATCCTAAAAACAAACATACCCTTAGCATATTTTGTATTGCAATTATTATTATTTATTTTAATATATTTTATTTACTGAATTATAATATTATTTTTACAAATTTAAAATAATTAATTTTTATATGGAGTGCAATTTATTTTATTTGTAAATTATATTTTTTATATCATTCAAATTCATATTTATTTTTTATTATCATAAAATGTTTTTACCACTTTTTAAAAAATTGATGTTTGATTCTTTATTGAAAATTATAAGTATAACAAAATAATAAATTAATCTATAATTAATGGAGTATAATAAACATATATATATACATAATTTTTATTATTTTTTATAAAAAATATTTATATTTTTCATTAAAAATATATTAGGTATCTTCCCTTTGTATTTTTACATTCTAAAAAAGATAAATAAATACTCGTTAACTTAAAGACACAATGAAAATATATTGTTGATTTATACAATTACCATGCATAATCGAATAAATTATTGAAATTAGACACTAGTGTGAGTGTGTGACATCTCGTAATTTTATTATCATTATTATATTTATATTATTTTTATTATTAAATTGGAAGGTCTTCGTAAAATATTTTCTTAAAATCCTCCATGCATGAATCCTGAAGGCACACCGCTACCGTCACCGACCCGTCACCGTCACTGCTAGGTATCACTAGCGAATCTCCATCACAGTCGTGGGTCCCGGGACCCATGAAAATCTCCTTCCCCCAGCCGAAATCGAGTCCATGGAGCGGAAGGGCCAGCCAGCTGGTCACCCCGAGATTCGGGTTCCCATAGAAGGTCCCGTCATTAGTCCCGGGAGCTTTTATATCCTGAAGCCGTGAAAAGTCCTCCAAACCCTTCAAATAGTCAATCATTGACTCCACGTAATCTCCGGTCACGATGTCGATCGCCTCCCTTATACGCGCCGCCGCGTACCCTAGCGGCGCCGCCGTGATCTCCCCCGACCGCCCCCTCGCGATCACGTCCACCACCACGTTCCCGAAGAACTTCCGCGGCGGCGGTGGCAGGCGGCGGACGTGCTTCCGCACGTCCACACAAATCCCCAGCGCCGTCGGCTGCGCCGCCACGTGGCGGCGGGCCTTGCAGGCGCACCGCCACATATGGCCGGCGATGGATTCATACTTTGTGTAAGGCCTTTTCACGGAGGCGGCGCCACCGTCTGCACGAGTTCTATTCGCCTCCCGCTTAAGATCCTCCACCTGCGCCGCCGTCAGCTTCAGCAGTGCCACCGCCGTCTCCTTCCGTCGTTCGCCGTCGTTGCTCGTTTCTCCGATCATCAACGGCGGCGGGTCGAACTGTTCATGCCCGAACTCGGACCGCCGGTCCGATATCTCCCCGGCCCGCATCAGCCGCCGGTCGAGAACCGGCGGCGGGCCTGCCACCGCGCCCCGCGCCAGCGCCGCCCATTCAGATAGAAAATAAAGCGCGCTCTGGCCGTCGACCACCGCGTGCGACACGTTGCAGCTCAGGCTGACGCCGCCGCACCGGAATTTCGTAATCTGCACGCAGAGAATCGGAATTTCCGCCATTGGAGTGGAATAATTTACCTGAGGAATCAAATCGGCATATTCCGGCGACGGAGCGAAATCTCCGAGGTCGTCCAGCGTGGCGTCAGACTCCGCCTCCGTCAGCTGCGCGCCGGCGCCGTTGCAGTCGAGCTCGAGCCGGGAGCCGGGCAGCCAGCGCAGGCGGCCGGCGAGCGGGTAGAATATCACCAGCGCCTTGCTGAGAGAGCTTTGGAGGGTTTCGAACATCCGGCACGGCGGCGCCGCCCAATCTTGGGGAGGTCTGTAGAAATATATAGTCGGAACGTGGGTGACTACGCCGATCTGGTCGAATTCCGACAGCGGCATGGAGCCGCTCCATGTCGGCTCGGCTGGCTGAACTGAGCTGGAATTTCTCACGACAATTTTCATTTTGTTTATTTATTATGATTATTATAATTGTTATTGTTTTTATGTTATGCGAAATCCTGTGGTATATATATAGGTAGTGTTTCAGAGGTCATTATAGTCTTTTCGCTGTTGTAACAGATTGATACATATACAATATGTGTTCGTTTCGCAAACTTTTTCATATTTTTATTATTAATCAAATTTTTATCCCTATAAACATTTCAAATTAAATACTTCAATTATATTTTATATATTCTACTCGAAATTAATTTTAGATTTAAAATATTACATTAATTCCTATTTATATTGCAATATATAATTATTTTAATTCAAAATTTTTACTATTTACCTTTCAACTCAAAATTCTAATCCATATAAAGCAACATCCGAACTCCTCCTTGTTACAAATAAAAACATTCTTTTTTCTTTATTATTTTGATCCCTCCTTTAAAAATATTTATTTTTTATTATAATAAAAATAATTAAATATTAATATCAAAATATTATTAAATAGTAGTATTACATAAATTATAAATATATTATTATAATTATAATTTAATTTATACTATCCCTCTATCTGTCTTATTTATATTTTGATATTTGAATATTAAATATTATATCAAAATATATTACAAATTAAGAAAAAATTATAAATACTAATAAAAAAATATTCTTAAAAAAAATAAAATTATACAAATATAAGGATTTTTGTAATGTAAAATACAATGATGCAAAAAATTAAATATAACTCTTAGAGATGGACTATAAAATAGCCCATAAAGAGTGGCCTATTGTTGTGAGAAGTGAACCCAGTCACGGATTCAAAATCATCATAGGATTAAGTATACATTCATCTGAAAAATTTGAAACTAAATTTAATATGATGTAAATAAAAATATTATTTTGATTAATTTTATTACATAATATATTAAAATAAATTTTTGATTTCTAATTTAATGATTTAAGATAGAAGAAATTTGGAGATAGAAAAACCTCCAAACCATACCTATTCCAAACACACCCATTTTTATTTCTTTTAATAATATAGAGACTTAGCTGCCACTATTTAGAGTGCAGTGTTTATTGGGTCATTTCTTTTTTGTTTGGCTGTGGAATTTGATTTTGATTTTTCTTTTGAAAAGACAATTTAAATATAATATTTTGTACAATTTTTTTTTTATATTTTTTATTAAAAAATAAAATTTTCATAAAGAAAAAATATATATCGAACTCTAAACTAATAGTCATAATGATTTTCAAATTTTTATCAAAATATTATATTTAATAATTCCTTTTAATTTTTAAAATATAGGCTTTGTTCTTTCTATTATTTTTTCCTGTACAATTTTTTTTAAAAAAATTATACACTACACACATTCATTATTTTTATATTCTTTTCACAATTCTCTATACTTCACATAATATTTTTTTTTTCAACAATCTCACAAAACAAACACACTCATATAAACAATTAAAATAAAAAAAAAACATACTTAAATACACTCCTAACTTTAATTCGAATTAAATGCGTTCTTTCTATATTTTGTTCATGCACATTTTCCCAAAAAAATTAATACATTACGTATATTAATTATTTTTATATTTTCTACGCTATTCTGTATACTTCACATAAATTTTTTTTCTTTCCAACTATTTCACAAAACAAACACTTATATTTACTTATTTTTAAAATATCATATTTGATAAATATTTTTCATTCAAATAACGTCAAATAAACTATTTTCATCTAGATAATATAATATAAAAGCACATAAAAACAGTACACATATTTTACATTCAAATAATATATATATATATTTATTTAAAGTATTATTTAAAATTTATTTATAATTGTAATAATTCAGAACACATAAAAACAAACTGAATGGTCTCCCATTGAGAATGAACTTGAAATGAGCATTGTATGACCCTATTTTGATCCATAAATTTTGTGTTCTTAACAAATTCTACTACCATTCATTATCGGAGTTAGTGACGATCTAGCCCCCCGATTTTCCCGGGGGGAATGGGGGAAATATGATTTTGTTTATATTAATTTAATGTCATTTTTTTATGCAACGAAAAAAAAAAAAGGGAACAAAAATAATGTGTTTGAGCAAAAAATAAATCAATATAATTATATAAATTTATTATTTTTTTATTAAAAAAATTTCAATACTACATTAAAGAACAAATCAATAAAACTACATAAATTTTATTATTTTTTATACAAAAATAAAAATAAAATTAAAGAATATGGGGGAGCAAATTATTAAAAATACCTAAAGTTTTTATTTTTTAAATTTAAAAATAAATAAATAAATTATGGGGGCTGGGGGAATCAGGTGACCTCCCTAGCCTCTACATAATTCCTTGGCTGGGGAGTGTTTGATTTTTATTTCAGGTTGAAGCTATTACTTCCTCTCCGTTCCATATATTTTGGACATATTAAGGTAGATATGAAAATTTATGTAAAGTATAATTAGTAGGTAATTAAGAAGTATATTAGTAAAAATAATTATTATTATTTAGTAAAAATAATTATAGATTAAGATTAAGACAATTAAATAGTTTAATTAAGATTAAAAAAATTATAAAATTATAAAATTTAAAATGCTATTAAAGTGGATAATCAAATTTCCAAAAAATGAAAGGACAAGTTACATGGACAGGCGAAAATAGAAAATATTAACAAATTATGTGAGACAGAAGGAGTATTATTCAATGCAAATGGTTTTAAATAAAAATAAATTCCCTCAGTCATCACAATTGCGTGTTTATTTGATCGGATATAAGTTTTAAGAAAAATATATAAAAATAGAAAATTTTATTATTTTAAAAAATAAAGAAAAAATAGTAAAAAAAAAATTTACTAAAAAATAAAAACAAAAGTGAAAATAAATTTGGATAACAACATAATATTCCATCCGTTCATAAAAGGATATTATTTTCTATTTTTATTCGTCCCAAAATAAGATTACAATTTTCTAATTTAGTAAATGTACTATCTACATAACATAATAAATACTTTTATAATATGCAATATATTATACAAATGTCATCACTTTTATAACACACCATACTAATATGAACATTTTTGTCTTTTTACTACAAAGTAATATAATATTAATATTTAAAAATCTACGTGCAAAAAGCAAACGACGCGACGGTTTTATTGCAGGACAAAGGTTTTATTATTTTTTATAATAAAACATTAACTAATAAGGGTGTGTTTGTTTGGGGGATTGGATTTAATTTTCACTATTTATCCTATTTTTTTCTCAAAAAATATCAAATCAAACACTTATTTTTTATTTTTTATATTATACTAAAAATCAATTTTACATTCAAAACATCACATCAACACCTATTTATATCACATCATACGACTATTTAAATTCACAATTTTTATTATTCAAATCTCCACTCAAAATCCAAACCCCCAAACAAACACATCCTAAATACTATTTAAAAATCTCAAACTCAAATCAAAACCAAACAAACTAATGACCTTGAATTATCAACATTTTGTTTGGATGAAATTTATTTAACTTTTTCTTAAGAGTTTTATTTTTGAAATGAAAGTAAGAGAGCATATCTAATTAGAATTTTATTGATTTTTTTTTTTCTTTTAACTTTTAGAAATATATGAATTTTTATGTATTTTAAAAGAAAAATTATAGACAGAATTTACTTCAATTGATTTCAAATATTGATTTATATATATTTTCATAAATTTAACTAGATTATTTATTGATTTATATATATTTATAGGATATATAAAATTGTAGAATTTTTTTATTATTATTTATATAATTTTTTTACACATAAAAGTAACACGTATATCTAAATAAAGTCATAATCAGAATTGACAATTTTTTAATAAAATTAAACTTACAAAAATTAGAAAATATAAAAATTTAAAAAATGATAAATACAAAACAATTGTAAAAATTGGAACCGGAAAATTTTAAACTGAAATCGTTAAAATCGAAATTTAAATTAGCAATTTCAATTGAAAACGTTGACTTAGAAGCTTTGGTTTCGGTTTAACCTTTTGGACAAATCAAAACCAACTATTCGAATCGTTTGGATAAGTATAATCATGAATCGCCCGATTTTTAATATGAACCGGTTATTTAATGTTTTGTTTTTTATGAAAAAATATAAATGCGCCCACATCTACTTCTACCGGCTGTTTAATGTTTTGTTTTTTTATGTGTTCATCGATTTTATTTTTTATTTTTATTTTTATTATTTTTTTTAAGTTTGTAAAACTTATTACTTTTACGGAGGAAAAAAGAAGAATGAAAAAATATATATATTAAAGAAGAAATGATAATATATATATATATTTAAAGAAAACTGCTATAATGTACTAATTAGGATAATTGATGATAATTTTTAAATATGTGTTCACTTAAATTGTTTTTTTGTTGGTATGATTCATAATATATATAATTTAATTATATTATATACATATATTTTTTTTATAAAATCAACCATTCAAATACGTCAAGATTATTTACATTTTACATAAGAAAATATTTCAAACTAAACAAACATTTATATTTATAATTATAATTATTATTTTTTACAAAGATAATTGTATAATTGTATTAATAAATATTATCCTAATATTTATCAGCTATATAGATCACTTTTTAAAGTTCGCATTTAGCATCTCAAAATTTGACATAATTTTTAAATTTTTGCATTGAATATCCAAATTTGATTTTAAGAAAGAAAATAATCTTATATAGTCTAAGATTGAATGCATATTTCAATAAATTTGATTATAATTTGAAATTGATTTGAAATAAAATTTTAATTTAAATCTATTTAAATAATATTTTGATATTTTATTTTATTAAAAAAAATATTATATTTTTATTAAAATTTATGTTTGATGAATAGTGTTAAATTAGTTTTTTATTAGAAGATGGTTGAATAAGTTTTGAAATATAAATGTAATTATAATTTTTTTACAGGGCTAAATTAATATATAATTAAGTATAGTGCTGAATACATATTACATTCTAGTAAACAACACATGAAATAATGATAAAAAAAACATATACCCCCTCTGTTCTAGTGTCTTGTTAGAAGTTGACACAGTAATTAAAAAATAATAGTATTTAATTGAAAGTTGACGTAAAGTAGAATGTAAAAATTTAAAATGCCAAAGATTTTAAAAAGTAGGTTAGAGTCATAGTTAGAGGTAATTTGAAAAATTAAGAATAATTTTGTTATAAAGTCAGAATACAGTTACTAAATAAGGAAATATATCAATTGCTGTGAGACAGACGAAAATAAAAAAATAAAATAACTCTTTTGATACGAAATGAATATTAATTTTTAATATATAACTTCTATTCTTACAACACATGTTAAACATAATATGCTGTCCCCTTGTACATACAAAGTAGTCGTTGATCTTGAAAAATAACATAATAATAATTTTTTTGGGAAAAAAAAAAAAAAAACACAGAAACAATCCAAACAAGTCCTAAATAGTAAGCAACTAGGGTTTCCCCAAAATGATGCCAGCAGTAACGGCAGCGGAGATGGTTTCATTAATGACTCGAACGACGTCGTTTATGTTGCAAGAGTTACCTTTAAAAGGATTCGCATGTGATTTCCTGAACGCCGCCAAGCATTGCAGTAGCGCCTTGTTGCATTTCTGGCTCAAGTACTCATCTGGATGCACATACCAAAATATAAGATTGTGTTCTACTTGGATTTTACCGCAACTTTTTACTATTGAGATTTTTTTTAAAAAAAAAATAAAATTATCACATCAAATAATTATTTTTTTAATATTATATTATAAATTTATTTTATATTCAAGACACCACATCAACATCTATTTATATGATATTACAATTATTCAAATTCAAATTTTTACTATTAAAAAATCCAAATCCAAAACTAAAATCCACAAACACACCACCCTATTTTTTTGAAAAAATCAACTGGAATCGAATCGAAATAATAAAAATTCAAAATTTGAAAATCCGAATTAAAACATTCGAACCAAATCGAAAATTCTGAAAATTTAATTTTCTTTTTATGATTTTTTAAATTTTCTTTTAATTTTTATAATTGTTTTATAATATTAAAAGTATACTCCGTTCGTCCCAAAATTACAATTTTATTTGGATTGAACACGAGATTTAAGGAATATTGATATTATATTGACGGTTGATTAAAAAGTTATATCTAAAAGACTTTTTTGCCATTGTAAGTGTATTAGTGTAAAAAGCAGTGACATTTGTGTAATAGTAATAAAAAAATATGAATAATTTCATGATAATATGAATATTTATGGAAATGATAAATAAGACTATTATATTGATAGTATATAATATATAAAATTAAGTATATAAAAATATAATTAATAATTTCGAATTTTTATTTTTATTTTTATTAAAATATATTTTTAATAAAATATTAAATATGTAAAATGAGATGATAAAAGTCGGAAAACTTACTACCCATGTTGGTAATACAGTCGTCGTGTTTCATGCAGCAATCGTCGAGCTCATCGCACGGCTCCTCGCCGGGGCACCCGGTGTACATTAGTCCACAATACTTTCCATATCTCAAGAATGGAGCAGCTGAACAATACCCAATTTAATTCGTTTATTTCAAATATATTTCAAAATTTTATTTAAATTAATATATATATATATATATAAAGTTTAATTACCATCACAAAACATTGATTCGCAATATGAACTGCATTTACTGGTCTGCAGAGCAAATGAAATAATTGAAGATAAAATATATTAAGAGCATAAATTTAAAATAATGATTCTTGTAATTTTGTTGTTGCAATAATATTTTGTAATGGGAGAAATATATTTGATTTTTTTTTTTTTTTTTTTTTTTTTTTTTTTTTTTATAATTTAAAGGAAGTATGATTTCAATTTCTTATGTGGTATTTATTACTCCCCCGTTTCAGAACTATAGTACGGATTGTGTTCGAGACGAGATTTAAGAAATATTGATATTATATTGACAGTGGGTAAAAAGTATAGGTAAAAGACTTTTTTGTCTTGCGAGTGTATTAGTGTAAAAAGTAGTGACAGTTGTGTAATAATAATGAAAAAATAAAAGTAGTTTCATAGTGATATGGTTATTTATGAAAATGAGACTATTATTTTGGAACGAACAAAAATGATAAACATGACTATTGTATTGGGACGAAGGGAGTATTTTGTTTTGTTTTGTTTTGTTTGTTTATTTTTTAAAGTAGACTATGTAATTTGTAACCACTTAATTAAAAGTGTTCTTGTATCGAAATATTACTATGAGCACTAACATGGTACCTTCAAAATTGACATGGAATTGTCAAATACTATTTTCGTTCGGCTCTAAGGTTCTCATTTATTTTTTGCGTGTGATATTTGAATATTCATTATTATATTAAAATATAGTACAAATTAAGAAAAAATGGCAAAAATACTTCCACCAGTATCTTATAATACTATTAGAAAAAAATTTGTATAAAAAATTATACAAATATTTTTAATGTTAAGTACAATGATGCAAAATATAAATGTAACCATTACACGCGGACGGAGATAAGATAAATACAAATTTTAGTATTACATGCTTTAATGTATGTAGCTAGTCTATATTAGCTATGGAGGTACACATATAGCAATATCTTAGTATCACATAAATATATATTTTTTTTCTTATTTAAAATTATTTTTATACAAATTTATTTAAATGACTAAAATAATAATGATATTACTACGAGATCGATGATACATTTGAAGGTACGTAGATACTATTTCAAATATAATAATTCAATATAATTAAGATACATTTTTTTTTATTAATAACTTACGAAATCAAGGTTATCGTCATGTGCACGAATCCCAACATTAAGGGCGGATATGGGAGCGCCGCAGAAGCCTAGGACGAGGGCCGTGACAATAAATGAAAAATTCAATAATTGTGTCGGAGAAGCCATTGGAGAAGAAAGGTCGGAGAAGAAGAAACAAATGGCTAAGTTGGCTAAGTTATGATTATAGTATATTTTGTATGAATGAAAAAATAGCGAGGAATGAAGACCGATGATGTGCGAAAATTGTGAAGGTAGTGAGATAAACGAGGGTGGCTTATATGGCCATAATGAGAACTTCCTAAGTTTTCTCTAATGTTAGGTTCTTGAAATAATTAATTAATTATTATGTGTATTTATTTGTAAGATTCTAACTTTTGTTCTTAGAATTTGTTTATTTGACAATAAACTTAGGGTGTGTTTGTTTGAGGGTTTGGATTTTGAGTTGGGATTTGAATAGTAAAAATTTTGAATTTGAATAGTTCTATGATGCGATATAAATAAGTGTTGATGTGATGTTTTGAATGTAAAATTGATTTTTAGTATAATATAAAAAATAAAAAATAAGTGTTTGATTTGATGTTTTTTGGGGGAAAAAAATTGGATTAATAGTATAAATCCAATCAAATCCCCAAACAAACACACCCTTAGTATTTTACTATTTGGATTCTACGTTTATTTATTTATTCACAAAATATCTTATTATACATTATTTTAATACCATATTTAAATCAATTTTGAAAATTATACTCTCTCATTCCCATAAAGAAGTATCCATTTGATTTTTGCATATAGTTTTAAAAATATTAGTATTATATTGGGATATAGTAAGAATAAAGTAGAAATGACTAAAATAACCTTATTAGTATGTGTGATATAAATGTAATGACATTTGTTTAATATATTGTAAGTTGTAAGGATATTTGTAATGTTAGATAGATAGTACAATTACTTAAAAAAAATTGATACTTTGTTATGTGACAAACTAAAATGAAAAAATAAATATTTTGTTATGGGACAGAGAGAGATGACATTATTTTAATATTATATCCAAGCTAATTTTTTTTTTTTTTCAAACTAATAAAAAGAAACATAGCCTAAACTCAGATTGCATTAGATGATGAGATATCAATTAATATTTGTTGTTTTGTTTGTGCTAAGCACAAAATGAAATTATACTATTGTCTTTTAAAATTATATATTCATCATCAATTAATAAAAAGAAACATAGCCTAAACTATTTTTTTTTCTATTATCTAATGTAGACAAGACTATTGTTTTATTTTGCAATTAATATATGTCATCTAATTAAAACTACTAATAGTTTTACGATGATATAGTTATTTATGGAAACAAGAATATTGTTTTGAAACGAACAAAAATGATAAGTAAACTATTTATGATTTGTTAGTGAAATTCATTTTATTTACTAATTCTTTTTTCGAATTTTGCATTCGTTATTGAAAAAATTATTTCTAAAAATTATTATATCAAAAATATATTTTTCGTTTGTGTGTTCGTTTGTAAGATTTTGCCAAAATTTTACTATTCATCTCATTTTTTCTAAAAAAAAAATCAAATAAAACACTTATTTTTTATTTTTTATATTATATTAAAAATCAATTTTACGTATCGTATCGACACTCATTTATATCACATCATACAACTATTCATTTTTACTATTCATTTTTACTATTGAAATACAACTCAAAATCCAAATCTCTAAACAAACCCACCTAATTTCAATCAGAAGATATTTTCAAATGTAAGCCCACAAAGGGTCTATTTACACGTTTTGCTCGATCTTCAGTGCAGGAGAGCAGTCGATCAACAATTACGGCAAGTTACGTCAATTCAGTTTTCTTTTTGATCGGAACCATGTTACGTCAATTCAGTTTTGTCCAGGCATCATTTATCCCTGTTTTGTGTTTGTTGATCCAATGATTGATGTTTTCCTGCGCGTTCCTCATTATTAGGTTAATTGATTTGGGGGAGATTTTTCTTCAGAAGCTATTCGATTCGATTGGAATGCTGATGCGAGGTGAGGCGTAGCTGTAGCGATTTCCACTATCTGTGGTATGTTGCGTATGTTTGACTAAATTTATTCTGATTTTCAATCATTTTTCATAGTCCAGAGTCTGATATTTGCGCATTGATCTTCATTATATCCATGGAATTTGAATCTCTGAAAGTGGATTTCGCTGTACATACATACACATCGTGGATTTGGTACTTTTCATACCCTAATTTGATTAAGCACTGATTGCAAGTTAGGTCATAAACAGAGTGGGGAAGAACTTTCTGTATAATTGCATTAGTCGTAACTTAAGTTAATCCTGTTCAAAGTGGAAGAAAATTGCAGTGTCTTTACCTACACAATCCAAAACTATGTAACAACAAGCAGCATCAAGCCTCCTATTGGATGTTTAGTGATGATCGTCATAGTAGTATCCAAGCTTGACCCCAGTTCTTGCTGAACATCTTCAGTCTACCGAAAAACATGACAATGATTAGGAGTATCTTACCCTGGTCCCTCCATCTTCCCGAAAATCCATACCATTTGTTTACACAGCTTGAATCTGAACTTAGTCGACGCTCACAACTGTATCCTGTATTGAACCCCACATTCCCATAGGCACTGTAATAATCACAAAATCTGCTGTTAAAAACATTCACTTTGAGCTTGTAGTGTTTATCGATTTTGAGAATATTCTATTTACTCCATAAGTTATCTTGATTTTTTCAGTTAATTAGTGCTGTTAGAAAAGGGACATTTCTTAGGAATCTTGGCCATTGGAAAGGATTGAGTAGCTTTCAATGATTGTCATTTAGGTCTTATCATGGAAATTTGAAACATATCTAGGCTCATATTAGTGTTAAGAATTTTTACTTGATGTTATTGTTAGCCGGCTCGATATTCTTGTGGGTGATCAACACCATGTGTGGTGTTCATCATTTCTTGTAGCGGTTATGCTTAAGAGTAGAGACATTGCATTTTTGGCTTACCTTATCACCTCGAATGTGATATTCAAAACACTGAAGTTGATTGGATCCTCCTCGAGACTTCTCCTTTCTATAATGCATATTAGAATGACGGCAATAACCAGATAAGTAATCTGTGAAAAAACTAGATTCTCTAGTATACATGTTCTCCCCTTTTTTCCATGTCCCGCCTCTAGCGCAGGACTTCCATTGCCTCCCTTAATTGGTAGAAATGAAGTATATGGAGGAAGGTAACTGTTGAAGTTCATCAATTGTTGGTTGACTACAGTATTGTATCCGATCTTTTTTATTATTTCAAGATTTAAGTGGACTTTATTTGAAAATAATTCTATAAGTAGAAAATTTTCGCCAAAGTGATCCTCTTTACCGGACTCGCAGCACTGGCCTCCGTTGCTGACATGACATCGCCATAGATGCCATGTCAGCGACACGTGAACTTTTTTTATATAATGTTTTGGTAAATTATTTTTTAAGTTTCGTATGACTTATTTTATCATTTTTAAGACTTTAAATGAACTATGTGTGAAAATAGTCCTGCAAGTAGAAATTTTTCACTAAAATGATATTTCGACTTAGCATTTACGTGGCGATGACATGTCAATCGCCACCACGTCAACAACGACGGACCAGTGTGGCGAGCCCGGCACCGGATGACCATTTTAGCTAAAAGAAAAATTTCTTAATCTATTTAAAGTTATAAAATGATAAAAGAGGTCAAATACATGACAAAAATAGACATTTAGTTTAAGTCTTGAAGTGAGATAGTCACTTGGCAGTAATTTTTCTAAAGCATTAGAGTAGAGAGAGAGAGAGAGAGAGACTAACATCATGAAGGCGAAGAAAACCAGTATGGCCGGGGCGATGGCTGAAAGATCGACAGGGAATGCCGAGAACTCACAGATAAAAAAGTGCGGTGACGGCTTTCTCGTAAGAAGTCATTCCAGTTAAGGCTGATGAATGCTATTCCATGGAATAGAACATCGTAAACCCTATTAGGACAAACCCGGAGACTGTAATTGCCAGAAGTGCAGATTGCAGACAACGAAGCAAGTGAACGCACCCGATTTCTTTCGTATTCTGCAATAAATACTTCGCCTCCGTTATACCATCTCCAATCTATACATTCTATTTTTACAGTTTTAAGCAGCTAATTTTTTTAAATATTCTTCAAATATTTTATTTTGTCTATTATTTTAAACAATTTTTTATATTTATAATTTACAATAATTTTTTAAAAAACCTAAAAAATAAAAAATAAATTTAAAAATTAAAATTAAATAAATAAAAAATTCGAAAAAAAAAAAAAGCAGCTCCATTTTTTGGCGTTGCACTGTATTGGTTAGAGGGAGCCAATGCCAAATCCACCGATCCAAATGGCACTGGGTTTTAGATGCCTTCACTAGAAGATAACCTAGAAGTACAAATTTGAGAAATATGATCGAGCCGTCATTATGAATTGATTGCTCGTAGCAGAGCTATCTCGCGGCAACTCTAAGTAATTGGTGGGATGGAACGATGGGTTAGGACTGCTAGTTCGATTTCCTTACTAGCGTCCCGCGTTGTAATAATCTTCGGATTCCTTAAAAAAAGCCCCGCCATGGGTAAGAAAACGTTGCTGCCTAGAAACATCGAGAGGGTAAGAACGGCGAGCTGTGAGTTCTAATAGGCCTCCATTTCGACGGTCATGCTGGACACAATTGTTGCCGAGACAGAGGTGAAGAACAAGTCTATGTTCCTCGGCGCAAAGGTTGTCCTCAGGTTCAAAGATTCGAGGATTGCGAAACCCAAGAGGTACTTTGCCCTCAGGTTCAAAGATTTGAGGATCGCAAAATCCGAGAGGTAGAGCGAGACGTAGAATAAGATGGTGATCAAAATAGGGGGGAGATTTTGCAGTTGTTGACAGTAACTAGAGGTGAACAAGGAAGAGATTTCCGTGCCTTGTTTATGTAATAAGACAAGTCGGTCATTTTTGAGGTAGAGAGTCTTCTTGTAAGGATATTATGAATGATTATTGTTGTAAGTTGGCGTTCATAGATAAACCTTGTATAGAATGTGGTATATATATATATATATATATGTAAGGAAAAGGTACGGAGCAAATCAATATGGCACTGATTTATGGTATTGACTTTTTTAATTAGCACATAGTAAATAGACATTAGATAAAATTTTAATTAATAAATTATATATTTATGGTATTGATTTTTTTAATCAGCACATAATAAATAGACAGATTAGATATAATTTTAATTAATAAATTATAGGTTGTCTTGGTCGAAATTATGTGCTCATAATTTATTTATATGTTGATTTCTATAATATATATAGTTTCAATTAATACAAAATATTTTATTTATTTGTATATGAATATATATATATATATTTGTTGACTTGGAAAAATCAATATGTAGGGTTTTTGAATGGGTCTAGGGTTTTTGAATGGGCCTACAAATTGGACTAATGTATAGTCCAATTGGCCTGATAAATGTAGCAGGGTCTTAAATAAGTTCGGGCCGAGAGAAATTATAAATTAAGTAAGCGATGGATACAGAGATCGAACAAAATAAAGTCGGGCGAAGAAGGATAAAATGGTCTATACGAAGTCGGACAAAATGAAGTCGGAGGAAGAAATGGATGATACGGAGGTCGGACAAATGGAAGACGGGCAAGAGGAGACTGAGCGGCAGGTGTGCAGGTCGGACAAAAGGCAATTCTAAGACGGTTGAGAGAAGTTACAACCGACGGGCGGATATGAAAGCATGACCTGGTTGCGGCGGTTGACATAGGTTTTAAATAGGTCTTTTCACGATTAAAAAAAACTATATTCAATCAACATCAAATTCACTGAATTTTTTTTTTTTGAGAATCACCATTTACTTTTACTGTCTGTAGTAGTTATTTTTTCTATTTTATTTATGTATCGTACGGTGTCTAGAGATTCTTAATTATCATGCATTTATTTTAATCAAATTCGAAGATAATTTCTATTTTCGAGTTTTACTTTTTATTGTTGAAAATCGACATCAACAATATTTTTTTTATCTTGGCATAAATAGTATGTATGTTTCTGTTTATGTAAAGAAACAACTATATCACTATCTTTTTACTATTTGGTGAGAGTTTGAATTTTAATATCAAAATGTATATGATCATTTTGTTTTAGAAGTTTATGAGAGAATTATAATAGAATAGGATTTTTAATCACTTATAACGGAGAACAAAATGAGTGTGTTCAATTATATATTTTTTACACTATCGAACAATTGATTAGCTATTTTAAGAAGTCATAGAATCATTCGGAATATCGAAACTTATTATTTGAATTATGTATTTTTTAAAAACAAAAACAAAAAAAAATTCACAAAACATCTTGGAACAAATAGATTTTAATATCAAAATCAAATTAATTTTTTTCTAACTCAAAAGGAGAACAAAAATATATAATTTTTTTTTATAATAATCATATAAAAATATTATTTAAATTAAAATTTTAAAAAAATATATCTAATTTCAAATTAATTTTAAAACAATTTACATATACACGACGTACACAGTACATACTTACATACGGATCGGTGAGCGGAGGTTCCTGCCGTTTCTGGAGAATTCTGGAAACAATCATCTACAATAATCCGCCATTGCTGCCTATGCAGCTTCTACAACTTTCTATCACAACCTTCTCTCCCATCCCATCCATCACCACACTGCTTCCCACTTTCTCGTTTCCGCCTTCCAATTTCTCCCTTCCCTCGATCCCCATCTCCGGTGCCGACAACTGGATTGGATTCGACTTATTCCGACTGCCTGGCCCCCGTTTTCATCCACCTCGAGGTTTGCAGTTTGCGGAATTGAAGAATCTCCAGCATGAAGGATTGTTTCCCGGCGAGATTGAAAAGGAAAGACCTAGAAGATGTCAGCGATGATTTCTCCGACTTCTCCCTTTCTTCTCCGGCCAGAAAAATCCGACGACTGGTGACGTTTCACTAAATCTCATGAGTTTGTACATATTTGTGTTCACCTACTCTGCTTCTGATTATTTGAATTTTTCGAAATTTTGAATCTGATCAAATTTTGCTCCAACGCAGCTAGAATGCTCTTAATTTTAGGGTTTTGTTTTTCACACATTTACTGTGTACTCATAACGCAATCTGCAATTTAAGTATCTGAGTTGGAGTAAATTTTCTTGTGTTATAAATTTAGGATGCTGAGCAGCTTCCGCCTATAATCGAGGAGGAAGAATGTGAGATTCCTATTGAGATTGAAGAACCTCTCCCCGATGAACAGAGTTATGTCAGTAATTATTCCTGCGGTATAAGGATTGAGGAGTTACCAAACGAGCCAAGTAATGAAGAGAGGGCAATCGTATTATTTAAGCCAATGTCTGCGAATCCGCTTGTCCAATCTCCGTCCAATTTCTCTGTCTCGCCTAATCTGATTTTGGGGTTCAAAAGTAAGTGTTCATCGTGATTGCAATCCTTTTGAAGGATTAATCCGTTGCTATGCATGAATGAGGACCTGTTGATTTTTTATGTGTGTCTTTGTGGATTGAAGTTGTTTTTTATGCTTTTTTCCCCTTTTTTTGGTAGTTTCCGAGTTTGATTTTGCATATTGCCAGCTGCGTTTCATTGATTTCTGGCTTTAGGTAGAAGAAAGATGTTTTGCCTCAGGAAATTTCGATCAACTTGTTTAGAAAGTATATGTTTCGATAGTCTTTAATGTGATCTGATAGCCGAACTGAAAACTAGTTAAGGACTCTGTTTCCCCCTTTATGTGTAGGGATGATAATTAAGTCCTAAGCTTGAATATGCATAAATTTTAAGTTCATATACAAGCATGCTCGACTGTAGGGAGTATTTTGAATTTGAATGTAGGGAATGATGGTAGAGGATAGTTTTCGATGTGCAAATGTTGGAACAAGGAACTGTAAAGAATTTTTAAATCCATTCTACCGGTTAGAGGATAGCTTTCTTGCAAGTCTGACTGTCGAAAGTTCTCATTACCAAATAACCTGTTTTTGCACGTCATTTAGATCAAATGATGTTGTCTAGCAAGTCAGACGGCTGGAAACCAACGGGTGGGGACGAGGAAGAAAACGATAGCTCCGGCGCAGACAACGGATGTCGTGCTGTTGTCCCATGGGTTGCACCGCAGCACAGACCCACTCCTGGAGCAGAAGAATTGCTTCCTCAACAAGTTGATAGTTCTGAAATGATGGATACTCAAGAAGTGGCAGGAGAAACAGCCATGGATGTCGAGGACAGTCCTGGCTTGGATCAAGGGAACGTTAATGGCGGAACCGGAGCAGGGTTAGAGCAGCAATTTCATCAATGGCAGAAACAGCACTGCTTGATTCCATCACCTCCTCAAAACTCTACAACGCCCATCACCTGGTACAGGTGAGCTTGGCTTGGCTTACATCTTTGGAATTGTTTGTTGTTATAGATTCAGGTATGTTATGTTATGCACCTAGATTTCGTCGACTACATAGGCATGAAGATATATAGGTTTCTTAAAATCAAAATGCCACTTTTGTCTAATCCATGCCTATGTTAAGCCCCAACTTATAGGGAATCTCTCTAGTAAAAGGCATTTTTTGTAACTATGTATCTTGGTATGCTAATTTAGAATTAGAATTGGAAGCTATTCGGTAGAATATTTGTAAAAGTAGAATTAGATACTTGTGTTTCTTAACAACTTGGATCTTATGATTGTTGAATATATATATTTTTTTATAGTTTGTTGTCATTTAACATAAGTATTCTCAAGAGATTTACGTACAATGGTTACATAGTATTTTTGTTGTTCTTCGATATATAAAAGCTATTGGTAGAATATTCCCGAATCACAAGTAGAGTATTAGATACTTGTGTTTCATAGCAACTCGGATCTTGTGATCGTTGAATGTATTTTGCACTATATTCAACATATTTTATTTAGGTTTTTGTCATTTAACATAATTGTTCTCAAGAGAGTTACATAAAAGAGTTCACCGTAATAGATTTCTTTATGTGGTTTGGCATATTCTTTATTTCTTCAATCAATCTAACAGTAGATTTCTAGTGTAGAAAGCATGTGATTCAAACCTATTGCATAATAAGATTCGGCGACCATATCAATAGTCGTACAGCAATTTGAAAGTTGTATAGATTAATGGATAAATAAGAAGATAAGATTTCTATGTTCCCATAGATTACTCTCTATTCGGTTCTATTGATACCGCAAACTAAGGTGCTGATTTCATCTAGTGAAAAAAACCGATACTAGTATTGAGATACATTATGCAAAATGGATTGATACAGGAACTTACAAAATTTGCAGCGATCTAAGTGTACGCCGACTTGAATCCTTCTGTTAAACCAATTACTTTAGCGGAAACCTTAGACTGCAGCTTCGAAACTGCTTGCCGAATGTCCTATGAATATGCATTTAGAGTAGTACTATGGCATTAGACTGAGAATTGCAAGTATTATAAAATACAGCTAACAAAAACAGCAGCATTTACGAAACTAGCTTTTAGGCAATTACCTCAACATGGTAGCGAGATGAAAAATGAGTCAACACTAGGGCTTTGTTGCGAATCCATTGTGCGTGTTCCATGATCTGAGTTTCCATACAATAATTAAAGACTTGATTAGATGCCGGCCCGCGTCGAAGATTGAATATATACTAGCCATTCTTTTCAGGATAAACGAATAATTGATAAACAGCCTGTGATGATACATTCACACACTTGATAAGATCGAACAAACGGTTACATTCAAATACCTCAGAAAGATGGGTGTGGCCGTGTTCTCTTGCGTGCTCGACACTGACCATTTCATCTAGAAACGTTGCCTGTTGATGGATAAGATATTAACTTTCAAGCTAGATTAAGAATATTATTACATTCACAAGCATAGTTGTAAAACAGCATTGTGTCGCACATGCTAATTATCAATATATTTTTAATAGACATAATTACGCGCGTGTGTGTATACACAATTGATATATAACACATTTTCAACAAACTAACAAAAAAAGGATTGCCCAAGTTCCTTTAACAAAAACACGAAACAAACAATTAATCCTAATAGATAATACACTTCGTCCGTCAAATTTACTCTCATATTCCTTTTTAATCTGTTCATTAAATTTACTTCATTATTAATTTTAGCAAAGCCAACAGACTAATATTCAACTATTATCCTCTATTTACACTTATTTACAACAAATGTTATTGTCTTTATTAACTTCTCTCTTTCTCATTTCTTTAATTTCTAGCTAAATTTTAAAAATACCATAAACTACTTTTTTTACTTTATCAATAAAAAATTCATTTTTTTTAGTATCTTTATCAGATCCAAATATTCTAATTTTTGTGGACGGAGAAAGTAATAAATATGAATAAATCGCCGCCTTGCCATAGGAGAAGGTAAAAAGGCTGTGGGGCGCTGTTTATGACACTGTTCAAGAGGCTACGGAACACTTCAAAATTCCACACCATTGTAGCTTATTTCACTTTCCAATGAAGATGAGGAAATCCAATACTGTAAAAAGATGGAAGTAATATATTTAAAATACATTTGTGTTCTAAGATAAAACATATTACACCAAAGGGATCCAAATCTAGAATTGCAAGGTTGTAATGAGAAGGGTGATTGTCATAACTATGCTTAAATCACTAATCCTGAAATAGCTTTAACATATCACGAGACTTTCCGGCTTTGATACTATATTAGATTATGTTAATGACTGTCTCACTATAAGAAATTTTCCTAATCTACAATCAATGCCTATATTTCATTAAATAAAAAAAAAAAGAAAAGGAAAGGAAACAAATAATAATCGAAGTCCAAAACATAGAAAACAATCCAGAAGACAAGTAAAAAACAAAATTTGGGGAATAAATAATCAAATGCCTACTTAAATGCTTTTTACAAAGAAAGAGGCGTACCTCAGTTATGAGAATTTTGGCTCGCAATGCATCAGCGCTGTGTGGATCGAGGAAAAAGTCCGACATTGTGTCTCCCGTAAAGGCCACTTCAGGGTGTATTATAGTATCTGTGATCTGGAAAACGAGGAAACAACATAGAAGTGTTAGTTTGAAGTTCGAACAGCAACAATGTCGTAATGAATATTAGCTATACATATTCCCAAGAGCAGCTAACCTCACCTCAACTCCAGACTTCTTTAGTTTCTCAATTTGTTTTCCTTTTAAATGCACATATTGCTTTCTCAACTTCTTTCTAACAGAGTAAACGACATAACCCTGCAAAGAAATAGATAAATAAAATTGAATTCTCATATGCTGCTACTGTCATGAGAATTTGTTCTAATAATCGACTTCAGATTGCAGAATTTCACAAGCACCGAGCGTTAAAACCACAAAAAATATTCATTAGTTAATGACATCTAGCGTTCTATTGTCTATATAAATATTTTTGAAAATTTTGAAACTTTTGACACTAGATTTGTTAATTTCAAATACAACCTGCATGGTTTACGAGAAAAATATTACATTAAAATACCATTTAAATCAAAATTCAATTGCAAATCAAAACCAAACAAACCCACTATTTATCGATAGCAATTCTTTTTTTAAAAAATAAAATATCATTACATTACACCATATCTCTACTTTTTTACCATTTTCAAAATTTTCCGACACTTCTATTTATATGGAGCCATGCTAAGAACGAATGCACAAAAATGATCGATGCAATACATCTGTATATAAACATAGTACAATACAAGTCGAGGCGCACATCATAGTAGCTTCAGAAATAATACAGCTGCTGACAAACCATAAGTAACAACGAGACCGTACCTGACTAGGTATAACATGGTGTGTCTTGAACGGCCGAACAACAAGATCGTTCCGCATCTCATATGTTTCCCCTACAAATAATTGCCAAACTTGTATGATAGAACGAGATCTCTATATTGTTCACGAAAACATCATAGCAAAATAAACCGGTTTACCTACATCCAGGGCTACCAAATCAATGTTCAGATCGACGTGCCCCATTTTCCTATGAATCTCGATTAGCTGCTCAACATCCTCCTTAATGCACGGAGGCACAAAAACAGTAGGGGGCTTCAGGTTGTATAAACCCCGAGTAGCTATATACATCGGCAGCCCACCCTGAATCAATTGAATGCAAAGAATATTACGACACTTTGCAATGTGACAAATTAGTGCCTCGTAATACTATGCTTTTGTTGAGAAGTATAGCCAAAAGAAACAAATAATTCACAAGCCAATAAGTTCTCTAGCTATATAAGGACATTGATGGTTTTTTACAAGAGCAATGCACATAATTGTTCCTTCGAATGTACTTTTACAGTGAGTTGAATGTATTATATAATTGTGGATTAATCTCTCAGATTAATAGTCTTTTTACAAAGCTCTTTTGCAGTCACTTATAATCTACTATTTTTATATCTCTTCCAATAAATAAAATATATTTATATACATTTAAAATTTTCTATAGTTTATAAACTAATTTATATTAATTATATATAAATATATAATTTTTATTTGTATTTTATAAAAATTAAATAATTGCAAAATGACATCCATATTTAATATTTCATTCGTTCGGAAAATTTAATCCCATTTCTTTGTAAAAATACAAAGAAAATGAGCTAAATTTTTCGGACGGAGAGAATATATTTTAATAAAGTATGATTTTTAAAATATTAAAAACATATTTTTATTTTACTTTTAATAGAATATATATTATATAACGAGTTAACTTACAACTTGACAACATTTCATTAATCAAAGGTGTAAAACCGAACTTCTAACTATACCACCCAACCTACAACCAAACAAAATATCCCTAATCAGTCTCGGTCATGGGTTTATACCCTCGACGCCTTCGGGTCCACTTGCCGCATATGGTTCACGACTAAACTTGTCGAGCCTGGAGGTTTATTTACAGGATATTAGGTTCGGCGGGGTCTATTCAGAGCCCATTCGACGAGTAGGGACTATGGGTTATCGCGATATGAAAACAAAAAAAGAACAATATATTCCTAGTTGATGTGAAAATCGAACTCCCGACTACGCCACACAATTTGCAACTAAACGCACCTAACAAAAAGTGTTCCTGTCTTGAAACTATCCTTAGAGTTATGCATAACAACAACTGCAACTAAGGGAGATGCTTATTGTAGGCTCCTAAATAAGATGTCCACAACTAATTTAGTTTCACTACACTTAACCGAAAAAATGAAAAAAAAAAGACGCAAGCAAAGAAACATTACTACGAATCCTATAGAGCCTTAAGCTCTAACTACGTAGCAACATAAGCAAAGTTAACAAACAATATGCACCAAAACAACTGTAACGTTTCAGCATAGAAATCGAAGCATCACTAACAGAAAATAAATAAATAACTAAAATAAACAAAACGAGAAATGAATGAATGAAGTGAAGAAAAACCATACGATGTGGTCGAGATGAGCGTGCGTGATGAAGACGAAGTTCTGGTGCACAGCCCTAGCAGGACACCTCCCAATGTCGAAAGCGCACTTCAATTCCGGAACAATAACACACGTTTCGTGACCGCCAATCGAAACGCCTTCGATTGAGTATCCTTCCAAATCAAATCCCCTCCGCTGCACCTCCGCCCTAGCCTTCCTGTATTCCTCCTCCTCAATTGCCCGCCCAATCGCCGACAGGAAGCCTGTCTTAACACCGCCTCCGCCTCCTCCCACCGCCTCCGCCTTCACGCTTCGGAATTGGAGGCAACGCCGGCGGTCGTGCGGCGGCAGAGGACGTCGGGAACTTAGCAGGTTTGGAGGCGCGGGAATCAGTGTTGCCGTTGGCATAATGCGCGTTTGAGAGGCGGTGCAGCTCAACAGATTTTATCCGGCTATAATTTCATACTTATTTTATTTTGGTGCCAGAATATTTACTTGTTTATTTGTTTGTTTTTCTAAATAATGAGATTTGGGCCCATATTTATGCTGGGCCCAAAATTATAATAAACCGACTAAGGGGTCGTAGTATCCTTAGGGGTGAGATTAGAGGCTGAAATTAAGCATCAGTATTATGATTATGCTGATTGCATATTAGGTATTGGATTAAAAATTTTAATTTAATAAATAATATTAAATTAAGGGTATAATTATAATTTTAATTTATGTAACTATGTCAAACCTCGTCTTTCTTTTTATATCACGCAACAATCGATAGGGGAGAAATGTTATCCTTCATTCTTCACTCTCCTTCATTCTTTAATGGCGGATATCGACGAAGGTGAGCAGAATCAATAATCCATTATTTCAACCACATTCAATCAATCAGCAAGCAATGGAGACATCGAAGAGTTTGCAATTTCAGATGAACCAACGTCTTGGCCAATATCAGACGCGTCGGAATGAGAAATCGCTCAATCGCGTAAGTTATCCATCGACAATTGACTTTGAAATCGTGAACATCGCAACCTTTTGTGATCGATTTCATTAAAATTATACGACTTTGTTTAGCGATTTGGAATTTTGTAAATAATCTTTGGCATTCGCAATTCAATCAGAGCCTTCAAACTACTACTAAAAATAAGATGTAGCACACCATTCAAGTAATATCAGTATTTCCATATGAAGAGAACAATATCTCATTTTAATTAATTACTGATATGTGATTGTATTTGATACAGATATTATATTATATTAAAAATAAATTTAATATTGAAAATATCATATGTATTCCAATAAATATTACTACCTCCATCCACCGCCAATTTATCCATTTAGTTTTTGCATGTTAATATTTGAATATTAATTATTATAACAAAATGGATAAATATTTCTATAGAGGTCTTATAATACTAATGTAATGAAAATTGTAAAAAAAATTATACAAATATAAAAATATTTTTAATTTTAAAAATAATGACGCAAAATGCAAATGAATAGATTGGACGTGCACGGAGGTATAATAAAATTTTAAACATTTTACTCTTCAATTTATAAATTTAATATTCAAACATTGGACAACCATGCATTCTATCGGGGTGTTTAAAGTTTGTTTGTTTTTATTTTAAGATAATTTTAAAATGAATTTTTGATATATTAACATTTTTTTATAAAAAATTATGTAAAAAATTTAAAAATAATAAATATATATGTGATATATTAATGTTTTGGAAAAACTAGTGTTACAATCCTACATAATTTACTATTTAGGCCATTAGGTTACTAAAAGAAATACAACTATTTTTTTCACAAATATCACATTAAAAAATTAAAATTAAAATCAAACAAAATTATTATTTTTTAAAAAATATTAAACTAAAATACTTATTTTATATTTTTTATATTATACAAAAATAAATATTATTTTCAAAATTATACAATAATATAATACTTATTTATATCATATCAAATAATTATTATGGACAATTTAAAAGTTTTACTATTTAAAATGAAAATTCCAAACAAACACTTTTTTTTTTACAAATTGACTTTTCTAAATTTCAATTGCTAAAACGGGTAGGGTTACATTCAACCCGACCCATAGGATCCCTAAAGCCCTTGGCGGCCTGGCCCGGTTTTATAAACGCTTTCTCGGACAACAGATTGACGACAATACTGCATATTTCTCGACTCGTTTAAGCCGCCACCGCCGTTCGTCGTTTCACTCTCTTCTTTCTCTGCCACCGCGCCGCCGCCGCCGCCGCCGCTCGTAGTTACCTCTGCTGTTGCCACTTCCGCCGCCGAATTTTGTCCCCTTTTTTCTCCGAAGCTCCAGCATGAAAACTCTAAAACGACACAGGCCGCGGGAAGACGATGCACATCGGAAGAGCCTCGGCCGAACTGCTAAATGGAGTAAAAAAGGGGGAAGCGGTGAGTATCGTGATTGTGAAAAGATAAAAAAAAAGACCTGCACGGTTGCGCGTGTCGTATTTTTCTTGATTTTAATGAATTGGTTGTGTGCATTGCGGATTAGGATTTGAGAAAACGAGTAGATCAAGCGCAAATGCGAAAAAGAAGCTTCATGTGTATGAGGAGAAGGATGATATCTCAGGCATGTTGAATTAATAAATAAAGAAATATATATATATATATATATTGCTATGGCGGTTTGGTTTTGCTCCATTGAACTATGTAGTCATTATTTATTTTTAATTTTTTTCGTGTAAATACAGAGGATTTCAGTGAAGAGCAGAAGAATGAAGATTCCGAGGCGGAAGATGTTGCGAAAGCTGCATATAGAGAACCGTCAATGTATGATAACTTGTTGAAGAGGCTTGGGTCTGGTAATTTATCTGTTGCAAATGCGCTGCGCAGAAGGTAATTTAACAATGTAGTTTTTGTAAGAAGTTCTTCTTGAATGTGAAATCAATGTATTATTTAAAGGCAGTATGTTTATCCAATTTTCCATAAAGGCGATGAGTTCCATGAACTCCTCAAATGCATTGCTTGAAATTACTGGTGGTGTTTTGACTTAGAAAAGCCTCTTTGTTCTTCACTTTTATTAGATGATCTTGATATTCTTATGGATAGGGTGGATTACATTACACACACACATGCTTGTGCATTTGCATACCTCTTATTAGATGATTTTGTGCTGTTAGGCAAAGAGAAGAGCAAGGGCAAAGTGACACGGATGAAGATGTGGGCGATGATTCAGACCCATTAAGCGATTCCGAGGAAATTGATGGCCACGAGGATGGTAAGAGATGGGTTTTGTGTTTTATTCTGTGTTCGATTTACATTCTTCTGACATGTTTTTTGTTCATTGTTTTCCCCTTTAATACAGGAGAGGGTAACAAGTCTCCTATGAATTACAATGCTGGAAGTGGCTCAATAACTGGCTTGGGGCTGAGGGAAGATGTGGAAACCAATGGTGATGAAGATGATCTCACTGCTAGTGATGATGCGCTCTCTGACACAGATGAGGAAGGTGACTTGGGAGTAAATAATCAGCACCTTTCTGAAGCATCTGCAACAATTAGGTTTTGTTTTATTCTCTTGTTAATTCGGCCCTTTTTACTATTTTAGCTTTTTGGCAAAAGAAACCTTTCACATTCTTGTTTTGCTAGAGTTGTTATTAACTGAAACAGAAGTGAAAATATTTTTATTTGATCTGTGCTCTTTCATTTTTGGAAAACCTGAATCTTTCTTGTTTTTCTTTCAGTAACTTTGACAGTCATTTGACTTACAAATTAGAATCTGTGGAGGTTGACAATATATTGAAAAGAAAATGGAGATACACCTGGACGATGCCTGCTCTTAACATGCCTAATTGCAATTGGAAGGGAACAGGATCATGCTTCATGAAGGTCTGAACTCATGTTTAGCCTTTTTATCGTTGCATTTGGCTTTAGTGTAATCAGTTTATTTTGAGTTAGTTGTCTCTATGTTGTGTGTTTCTTGACATTGATAGTGATTTGTGTGTTCCGCTACATATTATGCAAGGATGACATTGATTTCGATTTCTTTGAGGATTTCAGTTCATTTAAATCCATTCCAGATATCTGATCAAATTGTGATTCTAATTGTAAATATGTAAATGGACGTTTGGGATTGGAAAAGAAGTTATATATCACCTTTGAAACTATAGCTGAGTTCTAATGCCTTGGCTTCCTTGCTGACAATTTGGTGTCATCAAGTGGATTTTACGACGTGAATGGTTGATTCCATATAGAAACCCCATTCATAACTTGTTTATAGGCTTTAACTAGAACCAGACAAACTAAGTTAATTTCTCCCAGTTATATACGCCTATTTCCACTTCCAGGGGAGTTTATTATATTGATGCATCTGGATTTGAATGACATGGTCTTTATATATTCTTTTAATAAATTTATATGCCTGTAACTATGAAAATTATATGTAGGATATGGACACAAGTCTTAATTATGGCCTCAAGACAAAGTTGTACAAACATTGGTTGGAAAGCTACAAGGAATCTGGAGGCAGTGAATTTCATCAATCGAGGCAGAGATTGTTTTTCTCTATTTGTAAGTTAACTTAGCTGTCCTTTAGCAGACATGTTAAAGCCCTCTTATTTGGCCTCTAGACCATGCTCGTACGTGTAATCCTGACCTTGTACTTGTAATTGTGGAAGTTTGGATAGCAAACTTGGCAAAATGCATTTCTTTATATAGGTGTCCCTGAATTTATTTTTTTTTTTCCTGCTAAATGTTCATAATTTATGATTTATCTGGTAGCTGTCATGTGTACTTTATCCTATTATTGATTATATGGTGTTTTTTTTTTAGGTAACAGTTATTATGATATATTACACCATAACAAAAAACCCTTCTATCTCAGAGGATTGGAAGAAGAATCGAGTATCATGGATGCATATGTGATGCATTGTGTACGTATCCTTTATTTTCGAGCCTTGGCAGAACACCGATAAATTATCAACTGTACTGTTGTGCTTTTTGGGGGGCATTTGCTTGTTATAGACTTATAGTTACAAATTTGTAGTAGCTCCATAATTTATATATATATGAATGATATGTTTGTGTGCAGTTGAACCATATCTTTATAAGTAGAGATCTTATGGTGAAAAATGAAAGAAAATTGGCAAAACAGCAGGAGAGTGCAGAGGAAAAAAGTGTTGATTGCGATGCTTATCTTGATCGTGGATTTACTCGTCCTAAGGTATGCTCTGAATTAATTGTGCTTTCACAGTATTACAATATCAGACTATAGTGTATAAACCACATAAATGACATGTGCATGATCTGATCCGGAGATGCTCTCTTTTCTGCGGAAGATAATGTTGAACTTTGCTTTCGACTGGAAACTCTTTTTCCTACCATATCATTGTTTGCTATAATAATAATGCTATTGAATTATTTTATTTTTATTTTTATTTTATTTTATTTTTTTATATTTTGTGTCCAGGTTTTGATTCTTTTGCCACTGGCTGGAATTGCCCGTCGTGTTGTAAAGAAATTGATCCAGTTAACTCCACCCAAGTATAATGTAAGTCTCTTGTTGTTTTGCATTACTTTTGGTAGGTAGCTTATGGGCCATAAATGCTATGTAGCACCATGATGAAGTTAAATTATATGAATAATATATGCTTAAGTGAAAAAAGGATATTGAGTTATATTCTTAAACTAAATAAAGGCTGTTAGTAATATATTTATCTGAATTTCTTTCTTAAACTAAATAAATGTTGTTACTAATATATTCTGAACCTCTGATTTTACTCAAATATTCTAGAATTTAGCTAGCCTGCTAAGTTACAACCACTCTGCTGTATTTTTACCATACACAAGTTTAATTTTTTGTCAAGAAATTTTTTGTAAGAGTATGGTTACTCTTCATAGAGTGGCTATACTATTATATTTGGTTGTATCAGCACCTACTGCTTCTGCATAGGTGATGATGCTTTGGGAATGATTGCTAAGATTTGACATTTTATTCAATCTAAATAGGCTAATGTGGAAAATTTGGAGCGCTTTCATGAAGAGTTTGGTTCTGGTAGGGAGAGCAAGGATGATGGCAATGATGCAAAAATTCCTAATTCAAAGAAGTCTGCAAAACCTCCTGATTTTCAAGCATTGCTTGGTAATGACAATGACAACGATCACTTTATGTTAGGCATAAAGTTTACCAGTAGGTATGACACTTAATGTTTGCATTGGTTCCTAATTCATTTTTTTTTTCTTGGAATGACCTTCTTGACTATTGTAGTGATCTCATTTCATTTTCTCTTTGGCACTCTGTTTTACGAAGAGTTAAAAGCACATAAACCTTATCCTGTCACATCTGAAATTTGTGATTGTCAAGTTGAAGCACCAATGTTGGGAATAAAATATGCTTATGAAATTTATGATGTTGACAAAATTTTCATATAATGGTATTAGAACATTCTTATAACTTCTTTTCAAGGAAGAATGCATTTGCTTTGATCATTTGAAATTATTAAGTAATTATTATAGGCTATTTTCTGTTATATTTGGAAATTCAATTTAAGAAATTAAGAATGATTTATTTACTTCTACATCTTGGAATTATTCCTGCAAGTTGAATCGGTAACTCGCCATAGTCCCTTAATCTATTTCAAACTAGCCTAATATAGCGCCTGCTTGGACTCTTGTTTCCATAGACAAGTTACTTTCTTTAATTTATAAATGAAAGGATCCTGTTGTTTTTTGGTGTGGTGCACACATGTTCTTATATCACATGATAGTACATAGTGACATTGTGTTTGAGAAGTGCCAGTTGACACAGTGGTTAACCAAATCATTTCCTTTGGCCTTCATGTAGCACATGCCAATTATATGATTTGATCCCATAAAACTTCAATTAGAAAATTAGAAGCACTTAAGTCAAAGGATTTTGAGTTTTTTTTCTTCTTTCTGTAGGGGAATAAAGTTGTATGGAGATTTCTATACATCGGATGTGATTGTTTCTTCTCCGCTGGGTTTGATCACAGTAAGACTTTTTCCATCAACATTTTCACTGCAGATGTTATTGAGCTTTATATCATCTCATGATGGTTAAGTGTTGCAAGATATCCTGGTGTGTAACTAATCAAAGTGTGGGTGTAGATATAAGATAACTGAAGTATTTATTGGGGTTGTATGAACTTTATTGTTCTGTCTCCACTCTCTGGATGGTGTCTTTTAAAATTCTCAATCTTACATTTGTCCCTTGAATCATGCATTTGTGGTGATCTCTTGTGATTGAGTTTCACTTTTATTGTTGCAGAAAATTGGGGAGGCAGAAGTTGATAAAGAAAAAGATGTTGATTATCTTTCTTCAATAGAAGTATGCACATTAATATTTATATGACACCAACGTATTTTCTTAGGGATTTCCTTTAGCTTCATAAATTCATTGATAACAACATTATCTGGCAGGTCTTAGTCGTTGACCATGCAGATGTCATGCTAATGCAGGTCTGTATATAATCTGTACAGCAAAGTTTTCACTGTTTGTGTTACTGATTATATAATTTTCTTTTTTGCCCCTTTTTTTTAATCACTAAAATTTTATGTGATCCTCCAGAACTGGTCTCACGTAAATACAGTGATTGAACTATTAAATCGACTTCCATCAAAACAACATGGAGCTGACATAATGCGCATAAGGCAATGGTGTGCTATTGCTCTCATCTTTTAACTTCATGACAGTTGATAGAGCCATACTTTAAGAGAGATAAATTTGGGTAATTCATCATCCTATGGCTTCTCTTTCAGGTATCTAGATGGGCAAGCTCGTTTTTATCGGCAAACAGTGATTTTAAGTTCTCATCCAAATCCAGGTGATAAAATATCATATTTCTTAAGTTTCAGCTCATAGTAATGCTATATGGATATGCATGTTAGACTTTACAAGCTTGATGACGACAACTAGGACTTCTAGCAATACTATTAAGTTTGGTGATAACTGCCATCATGGTTTATTCTTTACTGTTTTTTGTTTTACTCCCCATCTTTCTGAATTAATTGAATAAACTTCCTTTGCCTTGTTATTGAGCATTTAAGCATGCTTTATTTCATTGAGTCAAACTTTGACGATATGCTTCTCACTTATGCTCTTTTACGTAATATTATTTTGGCTGACATCTTTGTTTCCCTTTGGTGTTCCTTTTGCAGATATTAATGCCTTGTTCAATAAGCACTGCCTTAATTATCGAGGAAAGGTCTGTTGTTGTCTTGTAGTTGCATTCAATGTCATATTACATTCTGCTTCGACCATTTGTTCTTTTTCCCATTTGTCTGTAGTGAACTTGTTTTAACAAAATCAATATATGAATTTCAGTATCAATTATACTTTTTATTAAATAAGTTGAGCAACTGATACCTCACAGAAGGTGTTATTTAATTGATAATCTTTTAATCTCTTTATTTATTTTTTTTGTAAGGTCAAATTGGAGTGCAAGTATAAAGGTGTCCTCCCAAAGATATTAATTCAAGCACGACAAGTGAGTAACTTTTACTGCATCTCTATTAGCTCTGACAAAAGTCGTGTCTTATTCTAAGGGTGTGTTTGTTTGGGGGCTTTGGATTTTGAGTTGGGATTTGAATAGTAAAAATTTTGAATTTGAATAGTTGTATGATGTGATATAAATAAGTGTTGATGTGATGTTTTGAATGTAAAATTGATTTTTAGTATAATATAAAAAAATAAAAAATAGGTGTTTGATTTGATGTTTTTTGGGGGAAAAAATGGGATAAATAGTGGAAATCTAATCCAATCTTCCAAACAAACACATCCTAAATTTATCATGAGAGTTATAAAAACTAAATATGATATGCCTAGCCTTTCTAATGAGAGACATATTATTTGCAGATCTATGAGCGTCTTGATATATCCTCCATAGAAGAAGCTGATGAAGCTCGTTTTAAATATTTCTGTGATAAGGTTTGTCCTGAAGTCATCTCTTTGGTTCTTTTTTTATGCTGTTGGACTTCATTTTCTTTCATATTTTTGAAACCTCGAGGTTTTTTCTTCTAATGTGTTGCGTGTTGACTGTAATGATTTTAGTAGTTTAACTTTTGGTTTATAGTAAATGTTTGTTACTTATTTCTGGTCAAGATAGAGTCGCACAGACAGATGGGGGTGGAAGTGAAAATTTTATTTGCTGAGGTCCTTGTACAGATGTTTTTCAAGTTAATTGACTGAATGCTTCTCCAAATTTTCCTTAAAAAACTTCAAAACTAGTATAAGTACATCTTGTGGTGAGGGTATATGTTGTCATCGGTTGAACCTATCAATTAAGAACATCAATATGACGAGTGCAATTTTCAATTTTGCAGGTGTTCCCCAAAATAAAAGATTCTGTTCAGGTTAAGTGAGACTCAATTTCATGTTTGTCTTCCATTGTTTAGTGGGTGAACTCGCAATTTATTTTATATGACTCAATGCAGGATGGGATGATGATTTTTATTAGTTCATATTTCGAGTTTGTCCGCATTCGGAATTATTTGAAATCACAAGCTGCTTCTGTATGCCTGTTTGGAGAGTAAGTAAATACTTTATTTTTCTTGTTTTCTTCCTCCGGCTTTTGTCCCTTTTGACTGTTTCATGTGTCATCTGCATAACATCTTTACTGAAGTATTATTAATTTTTTATTATGGTTACTTAGGTATATTCAAAGGAATGATATATCGCGCGTGCGAGGCGAGTTTTTCAGAGGCGAGAAGAAAATTATCCTGTACACTGAGAGAGCCCATTTCTACTACAGATACAAGGTTCTAATTTTCCCTGCTTATCATTATGTGCATTCCTTTCATCCCCGTTGAAGATTTCATACAGATCATGCTCATCTGCGCGGCTAAGAACTTTTGATGAAAAATCAATTAGATGGATACTTTTTAGCAAGCTGAAATGAATCCATTTATAAACTTCACCATAGTGTTATTTTTCCTACTGTTCTTGATTTATGTTTCTCACACATTCTTCTTTCAAATAGATCCGTGGTGTAAAGAATTTAATTTTCTACTCCCTACCCGAGAGAAAAGAATTCTACCCCGAGGTAAACCTGTTCTTTTATAGATATTCATTGTTTTCTTCAACAATATGTGCGTATATATATTTTCCATATTCGACAATGTGGTTTATTTGTTACCAACAGATTGTAAACCTTCTCGAAGAGTCAGATAGCATGAATTGCAGAGTCTTGTTTTCTCGTCTTGATCATCTCCGGGTAGGTATCCTTCCGGTTCCGCATCAGTTTACCAATGCATGAATTCAATTCTCTATACACTTTCTCATCTCAACGTACTCGATCCTGATGAAATCCAGCTCGAGAGGATCGTTGGTTCTGCTGCAGCCAAACGGATGATCGACTCAGATAAAGGTGTCTTCGTGTTCGCTTAAAGAAAATTTCAGTCAGACTTATACACAAAGTTACTTTCAGAGATCATCGCCAGGTACCTACATTTCAAGAATTTTTACTAGGAGAGATTATACACAAAACAATACACAGGCAAAATGCTATGCATGAGGACAAGAGAGTCGAGCATAACCAGGAATGACTTGTCGGAAGCAGCAACAGGGCCACTAACCCAATCTCCGGCAAATCATCCCTGGCTAGATCCCACTCCCTACATCTTCATGCACAAGATCAAATGCCTTGTTTCTCGATGCGCCGTTGCTGCTGCAAGAAAGCTCTCTATATATAGAGGTATGCAAGGTAAATGAGTTTTTAAGTGTAAAAATGCAGCTTATAGTGTTTTCTTAGCTACTATAATCTTATGCATATATTCCAGTATTCTCTACTTGAATTTTTATTTACTAGTTTGTTTGGTTTTGATTTGGAATGGAGTTTTTTTATTTGAATTTTGGTTTAAATAGTATTTTGATGTGATATTTTTAGATTGTATAATTTTGAATTTTATTACTCTGTTTCCTTGAGTAGGTTTTCGTTTTGCTTTTTGCACGAAGTTTAAGGTATATTAATATTATATTGATACCGAAGGAATAATGACTAAAATAATATTAATGTTAGTAGATAGTACAGGTATTAAAAAAACAAATTAAATAGACGGATCAAAATAGAAAAATAGATAGTTTGTAAATGGGCCGGAAGGATTATTATTTTACTATTTTATCCTTTTTTTTTTTTTTTTTTTTAAGAATGATTTTATAAATTGTAGTGATTGGTGATGGATGAAATTCTGATTTTGGTATCTCATTGTTGGATTAGAAAAGAGGCTTGTGATTGGTTCCAAAGCCAGCAAAATTTTAGTGTTGTGGGAATGGAATATTTCCCAACATACTTGTCTGAAGATTAGATGGAGCAGGGATCATGATTGACCATAAATGGACACGTGTCCTCCATTTTTAGCCTTTGACATTTGACTATCCTTTCTATTTTTATTCTTCTCTTGATTTCTTCTTTTGGACCAATTGCCATCTGCCACAGGAATTTTAGAGATTCCGACATGCCTGTCAGTTATTCGAATCGAATTTAGTTGATTGCTATTAGTGGCAAATGGCACATGTTTTGGAAGTATTTTATGATTTAGAAATTGTTTTTAGATTTTTAAATCTTTTTGGGTTTGATGGTTTTGTTAAAACAAACAAACACATTTTCTAAAATAAATTAAATATATTATACATTAATTATTTTTATATTATGTTTCAAATATTTTCCAATATTTTTTGTTCTAAGTAATATTTTTAAAATAGTAAATAATTAAATATATTTAATTTTCATATTATATTTTATTCCCTATTATTCAGATAAAGTTAAAAAAAAAATCTACACTTGTTTTCTCCTCTCTTTGATTTTCAAATTATTCTATTTAATATGATTTGTCTAAATTTTTATTTTGTAAATAAATATTGGAGTATTATAATATTTTAAAAGATATTATATCAAAATAAATTTTTAATTAAAATTTAAATCAATATTTTAGTTCAGAACAAATAACTAAACATATCTATTTCATTTAGAAAATATATTTTTTTTATAAAATTTCATAAAAAAAATAAAATTGTGAGATTTTATTATGTTTTTTGAAAATGTTTCACATATAAATTATAAATTATAAACGGATTACAAGCAAATTTGACATTAGATTTGAGCCTCACTGGTTTGTTTGGACTTTGGATGGAAGTTTGAATTTGAAAATAGTTTAGGTTTGACCTAATTTATGTTTTTAATGTGATATCTTTTTAATCAAATAATTTTTATTATACTCTTCTCCGTTTCATATTTTCTAAAATATTTTATTTAATTTGTCTCACATGTTTTGTAATATTTTTGAAATAAAAAATATTTAATTACTTTTTCAATCTCACTAGAAAGTTTTTTTTTTTAAAGTTTTTATAGTAGATTAAGAAATAAATGTATTATATTGGTTAATGAAATTAACTCTGTAAGATTTTGACATTTTTGTTCTTTTGACTTTATATACAAAGAAATGACATGTTTGTAATTTAAGTAAAAATAAAAGTATTTTGGTATTATATATAAGGTTTTTTTTACTAAATAAAAAAAAAAAATTTTCCTCATCACATCATATAATTATCAATTTTTTTTTTTTTTTTTTTTTTGTTTCGAAAATTAAATATTTCACAGTTCAAAGAAAAAAATTCTTTGGGACAAGAATTAATTTGTTATTTTGATCATTTTGAAATTAATTAGATATCAAAGGGAGTGAGGATATGAGACCTCCAAATAAACAAAACTTAAATGTAGCCGGTTCAAGTTTATTGGAGTGAAAATTATTTGAGCTTGGCCTAAATTTCAGTATGATGTTACATGTATGTACATTAAAAATGTAAATTTATTTCACCATCGAGTTGAGCTTATTCTATATAATAGAAAGAAAAAAAAAAAAAAAAAAAAAAACATTATGTTTTTTTGTTTCTTTTTTATTTTTATTTTTATTATTATTATTTTTTTTTCAGCCTTGTTTGACTAGTTGGAAGGGAATGTGAAATGGGCCTTTTCGAGTAGGACAATTCTTTCAATATTCTTATCTGATGTAGTTGTCAGGTCATTGGGGAAATTGACTTGTATTTAATTGTATTCTAGAAGTAATTTGATAATAATAATTGTCAATCAAAGATGGACTTTTTTTTTTTTTTAATTGTTTTTTTTGTCCCGTAACTGGACCGCTGTCGCAAACTAGTTTTATAAGTGAAAATTTTTTTGCTGTTTTAGTCCTCCGGCGCCGAAGACATCCGTGGCTCGCCAGAGGTGACGTGTCCGCCAGGTGCCCCGCCAGGTCAGCTACACCTGGCGGGCACGTGAATTTATTTATTTTTTATTTTTTTTAATTGGACCAAATAAAAAAAAATAAAAAAATACAAATAAAATTTAAAATAAATTAAAAATAAGTTTTAAAAAAATTAAAAAATTAAAAAAAAATAAAAATAATCCACGTGTCCGCCAGGTCAGTAACACCTGGCGGACACGTCACCTACGGCGAGCCACGCGGGCATCTCCGGCACCGGAGGACTAAAACAGCGAAAAGTTTTTACTTATGAGATTAATTTGCGACATGCTTCACTTACGGGACTAAAATGATAAGAAGGTCCAGTTACGGAACTTTTTAGGATTTTGGTTTTAAATAATAAAATTTTAAATTGAAATTGTTGTTTTATGTAATATAAATTTAATGTTGATATAATATTTAAATATTAAAATCAATAAAAAAATAAATATTTGATTTAGAGGGTGTTTAAACATCTTTTAGCTATTTCATCAGTTAAAAAGCTAATTTATGTGTTTGGTAAATTAGCTTTTTGAAATAGATTTTTTACCAAAAAAAAAAAAAACTAATTTCTAAAAAGCTCATATACCCAGCTTTTTTAAAGAGTTTTTTCATTTTAATTTTGATTATTCTTTATTTACCCTTAAAACTTAATTATTTATTTTATACATATAAAAATATTTTTATAGCAGTATTTATTAATTATTTTTAATATTTTTAATCTATTAAATTAAATTTTTATTTTTGTAAATTTAAAATAATTACTATTATTAACGATTACATATAAATTATTTTATTTGTAAAATATATAAATTTTTAAAAGTAAGTCAAATAGAAAAAATAAAAGTTATTAATTTATTTTTATATAATAAAACAATAATTAATATAATAAAAATATATATACGAAAGATTTATTATTTTATATTTTACATAATTTCAATAACAAATTATTATTGTTTAGTAAAAACAATTTTTTTAGATCTAAATAATAAAAATAAAAATAAATATTTTATAATTTTTTATAATTTTCAATAATTAATAACAAAAATTTTCATAAATTTCAAACCAAAATGATCAAAATTAAATAGTTTAAAGTAAACATATCAATGTCTTTAATAGTCATTTTATATATAAATAGCTAATGTCAAACAATTGTTTTATCAAACACTTTAATACAAACCACTAATTGAATCAACTAACAACTAACAGATAAGAAACCATCAGCTAATCGTCAAATGCACCTTTAATATTTTGAAAAAATAAATAAATAAATAAAATTTGAGGATAGTAAAGCACTCTTAAAATCTTACAAGTAAATAAAACTAAAGAATTAGAAACTTTAGAATATACTTTGTTTCGATTTAAAATTATAGTGTTGATTTGAGTTTTGTTTTAAATAGTATTTGTTGTGATATTTTATTGGTAAAAATAACATACTATTATTATTGAAAATTGTACGAATTAATAATAATTTTTTATTATTTAAAATAAAAAGAACACACTTTTAATGTTCCAAAAAAAAATAATAGGAAAAAAAAGAAAAGGATTTGATTGTTGGATTGTTTCAATTAAGTTATGCAATTTTTTTTTCATTTTTAACTCTGAATAAAAAATAAAAAATAAAAAATAAAAAAATAAAATAAGATGTTCCGTAAAAATAGTTATATATATCTATATTAATTTTTTTTTAATTTCTTTTTTATCTAAATTAGAATTATATCTTTGGCATAGAGCTGGCAAAAACTGATCACCCGATACGAAATAATTGTGTTTGGGTAAAAAATTTCAATCCAATTATGTATACAGGTTGACATGAACCCGACACGATAGCAAACGGGTCGGGTTAGGGTTGAGGCTCTAAACTCGAACCCGACACGACAATCCGATTATAATATATTAATATTGATTAATATATATTATATATGTAAAATAATCATAATTTAATAATTTCCTCTTAAATTAATTTTAACTTAAGTTCAATTTTAAATAATTCAACCTAATTTAAGCTCAAACTAATAAAAACTAACATAACACGACAACACAACCAAAAATTATTTAATTTAAATCAACACATTCGATTTAATTATGTATAGGGTCAACACGAGTTAACCTGAACCCGACACGATAATAAACGGATCAACCCAAATTCGACACGATAATAAATGAGTCGGATTAGATTTAAGTAATGTAATCTGTTTAAAATATTCAACCCGACACAAACCCGACACGAATCGACCAATTGTCAACTCTAATTAAACATAAACTTATTTATTAATAAAATCATTGATATTTTGGAGTGGGGCAAGGGAGTATAACTATAATATATACAAAGTAAAAATAACTAGAAACACCGCTAAATGGGATTTGATAATTTTTCACTATTACATAATTATTTTTAAAAAAAATCAAATTAAATATTTAATTTTATTTATTATATTAAATTAAATTTTAATTTTATATTTTAATTATTACATAAATATTTATTTATATCCTATTAAATAATTATTTATATTTAAAATTTAAACCTAAAGGCTAAAACTTAAAACTAACGAACACACACTTGATTAAAAAATATAAAAAATCGCCATTTTATATGGGCCAAAGCCCATAACTGAAAGCCCAATAAGTTAAAGCCTGTTTGTATTGTTCGTGGTTTATTTATAATAAAAAAACCCTAATTAGCCTCATCGGTAGTCCCCTGGTACGATCTTGCTTCGCTCCCTTCAGCGGCCGCCTCGAATTCATCAAGAGAAATGGGAGTCTTCACGTTCGTTTGCAAAAAATCCGGCGACGACTGGTCGGCAAAGCAGCTCAAGGGCGATCTCGAAGCGGAGGCCGACAATACTTTTAATCTCCAGCGCAAGCTCGTTCAAGCCGCGCTTTCCGCCGACTCGTCCGGCGCCGTTCAGTCCTCCTTCGCTCATGTTACTCCTTCGTCTGCTGTTTTTCAGGTTTGTGGTTCTGCGATTTGCGTTATTTTGAGGTTTATATGTGTTGGCTGTTTTACATTTTGATTAATCGTCTGTAATTTCTGATCGGTTTTTGCGTTTATCTTCAGAAGTTGTAGCTGCGTGAGATATTTGGGCTGTGTAGTTGTATTGATTCCATGTTTACTTTGTTGTGTGTGTTTGATTATTTTCCTACTTTTTGTGATATGGTATATATATATATATATTTATAAGTTTATCTCTATCGGATTTTTTGTCTTTTGTTTTGTTTGTATGCAATAGAGAATTTGTAGACTTGTATTGCATATAGGAAAATTTCTAATATAACTGTTTATTAATAAAACTAAATAAGATAGATTATTTCTACGCTGGTTTCTAACCTTGTTTAAAAAATTAAGGATCATGTTCATCTTCGAAAATCATTTGCGTAATAAGGTTTAGTACTTGTGAATTTTATGCCATAAATAAAATATAGCTGTGTTATGTGTGATATAATTTGTCAAAGCAAAAATTCTTTAAATAAATCACATTCAATGCACTTTTTTTTCACATACATATATTTTTTGTTACCAAAATAATCTGGAAAATCAAGGGTTTGTAAGGTTTAAATGTTAAAAAGATGGATGGAATCGGTTATTGATGTAGGGATGATCATCATATATAGTATTTTTATATATTTAATTGGTTCCCTATTTTTGTTAGAAGGGCATGCAGATTTCAATTAACATTTGGAGTATTGTATTGAGAATTTCAATTAACAGAATTTCAATTACCTAATTTATTATTGTTGATTGACTCCCTTATAAATAAATAGATGCTTATTTTTTAAGCTCAAGCTTTTAGGTGAGACAATTAATTAATAATTGTGAACACACAGGTGATTGTTGGTGGTGGACCTGCTGGTGCCTTTATTGGCGGAGGTGCGGCTGCTGCACCTGCCGCTTCTGGCGGTGGTGGTGCCGCCGCCGAAGCTCCAGCAGCTGAAAAGAAAGAAGAAAAGAAGGAAGAAGAGGAGAGCGATGATGATATGGGATTCTCACTTTTTGACTAGGTTTATCATCCGTAAATCTATACTTGGTTTTCCATCATACTTTTACCCCGGTAAAGCCTAGGTCGATATTTACTATAAAGCAATATTTCATCATGAGTTACTTGCGAAACTTCGCTGTATTATAGTATTCAGCTTCTACATCTAACATTTTTCAACAGCTATTGTGATTTATATGCATTTTTGTGCAGTAGGAAGAATAATCTTTGAATTTTGTCGGTTGTGAAATATAGTTTGGTTGTCCCTCTCCATGGATGCATTGCGAAAGTTTATATGGTGTTCTAGAAATATTCATTTGTTTGCCAAACCGATTAGTAAAGATACACAATGTGGATGATAGGATGGATCTATATTGTTTTGCATATAATTCAATGATGACTTTGCTAATTATCTTGTGTTGTTCTATATGGCGGTTTATTCTTTTGTTAGTAATGAAGAAATCACTATTCTTTTTAACTTGTGGGCTGGTTGTGTCCCTTCACATATAAGAGCAACCGCAATGGAAAATTGCAAAAATGTCTTTTTTGCTTATCTGGCTATGCTAAAGATCATCAAATTGTGATTCGAAATGTCGGATTTTGATATTTGCCTCTTTGACACACCTAAACAGGCAGTTAAAACCATATGGGGAAGTCTGTACCAATTATTATTTTCGAATTTTCCTTTGCATTAAGCTGTGAATCGGTTGACATGCTCGATAGTCATAGTCAGAGCGAAGATCCTCTCAAGAGAAAAGTGTGAATTTATGAATCATGACATTCCGAAGAAGTGGATGATCAAAAACGATCTGATCCGGGGAAAGACTTTTGATAGTAGAGAATCTCCTGAAGCCAAATTGGGTCGCTATAGAGATGACAGACTGCCTCCTCTATTGCCAAGGTATTGATAAGAAGGCATGGCATGGCATTGGCGCAATCTCGGTTTTCTCTCCTCCGGGCTGCTCGGTAGCTACATACGTAAGCTGCTGGGAATGAACTACCGGGATTATTTTGTGGGTGAGGTATTGGGATGTATTATTTGTGTTCGAATGGGAGATCTGTAGATCCTTGGCTGGTGCGAAGGAAGCCGTTGCACTGAAAATTGGATTCGTATGCCATTGTGGCATTAGAGGGGCACTCCCAATTCGGTGGTCTCCTAAAAAGCGCTTACCCCAAAGATTGTCCAGCTTCCATCGACCTTGGCATGTCATGCAGGGGACTTTCATATCGGATTCTTCTTCTTAACATAGTGACTTGGCCATGCAGAAGCTGTACAAGGGGAGGACCAACGGCCGAACCAGCCGATTGGGTTATGGGAAGATCTCGTTTTGGCCGACTGAAGTTGGTGCGCGATCATCTCCTTTCTAAGCTTCCTAATCTTTGGTTCATGCAAATTCATTTTGAATTATTGGCTCGAGGATTTCAACTAGATATTGAGAAAGCTCCGGAATTGACTCTTAGGGTGTGTTTGTTTGAAGGATATTATCCATAATTCACTATTTATTTAAAATTTTCTCTTAAAAATATCACGCTAAACCAAAGAGGGGCAAGGGGCTGCAACCCTTGACCCACCCACCCTACCTTATTTAGTTTTAATAATATGTATATATAATATATAAAAATATAGAAAATAAGCAAAAAATAATAGAAGTAGAAACATCTAACATTAATTTTTTTTTATTAATTTTTTTTTAAAAAATACAAAATTAATATGTATAATCATAATATAGTTATTGAGATTGCTTTAGTTTGTTATTTTGTAATAAAATAAAAATAAAAATATATTGTATTATTTTATGAATAAGTAATTATTTTGTAAATTAAAAAAAAAAAAAAATTCCCCTCCCCTCTAAAATATTGTTCCGCCACTGCATACAACTCAAATCCAAAAAACACCATTAATATTAAAAATTTGTACTCCTTTCCGGCATGTTACCATTTTCTATTTTCGTCCGTTCTAAAACAAGGTTACTATCTACCTAGCATAATAAATACCCTTTCAACTTACATTATATTACACAAATGTTATTACTTTTATATTACACCATACTAACAAGAGTATTTTTGTCTTTTTTACTACAATCCAATATAATATTAATATTAAAAAATCTACGTGCAAAAAGCAAATGTTACATAAATACTTTGGTGATATGATATAAAATTGATTTTTAATATAATATAAAAAAATAAATAATAACAATTCAATTTAAATTTTCTTTAAAAACATAGTAAAAATTTTGTAAAAACAAAAGATCACAAAATGATTGATAAAACTCTATTACCATAAATATTCAATCATATATAATTCTTCCACCATTCAATATCCATCCATTCCATTCCACACTGTGACAAAAATGATGCCCCAACACCCTTCTCCGGCGACCGTCCGGCTAGGCGGCGGCGGCGTCGGAGGGCGTCAACGATCCGCTCTGCTCGACTCCTATCTCCTCGATCATCCGGACAACCTCCGTCATGCTCGGTCTATTCTCCGGCAACGTTGCCACGCACGCGGTCGCGACGCGCATCATCGCCCTCATTTCCCCCTCGACATCGTTCTTGAACCTCCGCAACGCCGGGTCGAACGCCTCCGACTTCCGTTCTCCCGCCGCAGCCGCCGTTCTCCGAACCCACCCGGCGAAATTCGCCGCCGCCGCGTCGGGATCCACGCCGGTGAGCGCCTCGAGCAGCACGACGCCAAATGCGTAAACGTCCGCCTGCGTCGAGTGCTTCCCCGTCCTCGCCTGCTCCGGCGCCCGATACCCGCCGAGCTTCGATATCGCGACCCCCGGGCTGAGCAGGAACGACAGCGCGAAATCGGAGACGTGGGCCGACCCGTTCTTGTCGAGCAGCACGTTCGACGACTTCACGTTCGCGTGAGGGATTCCCGTCGCCGTATGTATCGCCGATAGCCCCCTCGCCGCCGCCGCTAATAGCCGCACCCTCGTTGTCCAGTCTAGGGGGCCTCTGCCCCACGCCGGCTCTGAACAATAAAAGAAATTAAGAAGCGCATTCCAAAGTAACGGCTGTAGATTCATGATTGTTATGTTTTAGGTATTCAATTTTGTATTTACCGTGTGTTTGTTTGGAAATATTCCGAAGATTTTCATTATTTAAGTTTTTTTTTTTTTTCAAAAAATATCAAATCAAATACTTATTTTTTATTTTTTAGATTATAGTAAAAATTAATTTTATATTCAAAATATTGTACGACTATTCCAATTCATAGATTTTACTATTCAAATTACAATCCAAAATCTAAACCTTTAAACAAACATACCCTTAGTAAATTTAAATTTAAATTAGAGTATATAATGTTAGACAAACTCTTATTTTGATAATCAATATAATGCAAATTTTTAATTTGCATAAATAATTTTTACATTAATATCTTGATCATCAAAACAAGTAGTTTATATAAAATAACTTTTTAATTTAAAAATAAATTTAAATTTAAATTTATTAAATTTAAAATTGAATATCCAAAATATATAAAATCACGTGTTGTCCTTTTATATATATATACACAAGTGACTATGTGTATACATACATACCCAATAACGATAGTAGGCTAAAATATTATTGATGTAAGAAATGATTCATTTATTTCATACCGTGAAGAAGGGAATGGAGGCTGCCATTGGGCATATAATCGTAGACGAGCAATTTCTCCTCTGTTGCATAGTAATAGCCTCTCAATCTTACCAGATTCGGGTGCCGAAGCTTCCCGATTACGTCCATGTAGAGCTCGAATTCGCGGCGCGAGCAAGGATCGGCGTCGCGGAGGCGTTTTACGGCGACGATGAGGCCTTGATCGGCGATAATCGCCTTGTAGACGATGCCTAAGCTGCCTTTTCCGATCACCTCTGCCGACGATTGCAGCAAATCCTCGACTCGGAAGAGGTTCCGGCGATCGAAAAAGACGATTTCGCCCTTGCCGGAGGAGTTGTTGTTGTCTGTGGATTGGACGGACACGATCCGCGCCATTGGACTGCTGTGGCTCTTAGCCGTTGGATTTGTTTTTTTAACGTTTCTGCAATGGTAGAACAGAGCAAACAGAGCTATGGTGATTAGGAGAAATGACACCACTACTGATATGGCGATTGCGTCCTCTTTGCTGAGAATGCTGCTGCTGCTGCTGCGGTGGTTGGGAGTTGGTGAGGAGGATGTCGAATTGGGGATCGACGGCGCCGGCACGGCGGAGGAGGATGAACAGATTGGGAAAGGAGGAGCTCCGCAGAGACCTTGATTGCCGGAAAAGCTACTCGATCCGAATCGCGACTGTAAGTTCTCCGGTAGGTTTCCGTTCATCTCGTTGTTTGATAGATTCAGAATTTTGAGATTCGCTAGCGAATCGAGAGAATTGGGGATTGTACCTGAGAGTTGATTGTTTTGGAGCTGAAGATCGCGCAGCAGCGACAGGTTGGAAAGTTCCGGCGGAATCGAGCCATGGAGGTTGTTGTCGGAGAGATCGAGGCTGCGGAGGCGGCTGAGGGAGGATATTTCCGGCGGAATTTCACCGGAGAAGTCGTTGCCGGAGAGGTTCACCTTCTCGAGATTTAGGCACTTTGTAATCGGAGCGACGGAGCCGTAGAGGCGGTTACCGGCGAGGTCGAGCTCGCGGAGCTGATCCAGCGACGCCAGGGCGTCGATCGGACCTCGGAGATCAAGAAACGCCAGGGACACGGCGGAGACGCGGTTGTTCGTGCAAGCGACGCCGCGCCAAGTGGCGGCGCACGGCGAGGCAGGGGCCGAATCCGGCCAGTTCTCGAGGAGCGCGCCGTGGATGTCGGTCTGGTTGCGGAAAAGGCTCAGCGCGGCGGTGTCGTCCTCGATTGCGGCGGCGGCGAGGATCAGCGCGGCGGAGAGGACGAGGCTGGAGGAGGCGGAGAAGGCGGCCATTAGAGGACGGTGGTGCGGAAGAGCGGGAAAAGCATGACCGAGTAAGGGACTGTTTGGCATTAAGTAGGAAATTGGGGTGGAAAAAGTTAAAGCAGAGATAAGATTTTGCGGACAAACAAACGAGGAATAGATAATTTTGCAATGAATAAAAAGCGAGCGCTTATTTAAATATTTTGACTAAGATAATTATTTCCTTTTATTTATTTATTTATTAAATATATATTATATCAAATAAAATAAAATTCACATAATCCATCTGAAATATTTTTGTAATATTAAATTTTTTTGAGCGTTACATATATCATCTTACCTAAACATTGAATGTATACCAACTTCACTGTTAAATGTAAACAACTAAATATATATATATATATTCAAATTATTTTATATTTATATTTATTGCTATCATATTTGCCATTTTCGAAATTTGCACTTCTTTAATTTTCATTTTTGGATATATATGGTATTTTTTAAGTAGTGAATAAAAAGTGTATGTTATAATAGATTAAATCAATGTTTAAATTATTTTATATTGTAGCTTTTTCTTTTTTCTTTTTAGTTTGTATTAATAATATGCTTTTCGATCGCAAAAACATTCTTACATAGATTCGAATGATTGATATATTTGTTAAAGTAATATTTTGTCATGTTACATTTCTCGTATATGTGACACTGGTATTAATCAATACGATCGAATCTAAGTAAAAGTAAAAATAATAAAATTACATGCAGTAATAGCAAAAAGTTCGATGAATTTAATGCGATCATTCTATGCCGAAATGGCTTTTTTTCTCTCATTTGTTAGATAGCATGAAAGTTCATTCCAATTTTATGGTTGCGGCTTATCGATCATTTTAGATCATTCCTTCAAACTATTGTTCTCACAAAGAATTTATTGAGTATGATTTTTTTTAGTTTGATTTTATTTTAATTTTTTAGTTTTTTATTTTGATAATAATTTGAATGTATTATTTTATTAAAAAATCACAACAATGATAATAATAATACAAGAAAAATAAATACAAACTCAAACAAACACACTCATAATATTAATATTTGTATGTTAACATTACCGTGTGTATAAGAACAGTTTTAAAAAAAAAAAAAAATTCAAAAAAACACACTAAAAATTATAGCGACATAATACAAAATATATCGTACAATATGTATATGGAAAATTTGCATTATTCATATATTAAATTTACAAGAATAAATCAAACTAAATATTTATTTTATCTAATAAACAATCAAATCAAATCAAATACTCAATTTTTTATATTTCAGAATTGTTTAAAACTCCAAAAAAAAAAAAAAAAAGGAAAAAAAAGAGGAAAAATATTATAAACAAAGCCTAATTAACAAGCATAAATACATTGTAATTGACCAAGGACGAATTTGTTGGGATGAGTCAACTCAACACTAGTATGATATTGTCCGCTTTGGGCTGAGTCCGCACGGATTTATTTTTGAATATCCTCCAAAAGGCCTCATTCTAGTGGAGTTCACCCGGGACTTATAAAGTGTGAAATTTTCTTCACAACTTCCGACGTGGGACTTGGGTTTGCACCCCAACAATCTTCCCTTCAAACCAAGGAGCCTGTTACAAAGTGACCCGTTACCTGACCACCTCAATCGGGACCGACCCAACACCGCCAGAAGACTTTCGACACAAGGCACATCTGCAGGTCACGAGGGCGAACCCACCACCACAACCAATATCCAATGCCACCCAGTCGCAAACCCAAGTCCCACATCGGAAGTTGTGAAGAAAATTTCACATTAAGTCCCGAGTGAACTCCGCTATAACGAGGCATTTTAAAGAATATCCAAAAAGAAATCCGTGCGGATTCAGCCCAAAGCGGACAATATCATACTAATGTTGAGCTGACCCAGTCCCAACAGAATTCAGTACCCAAAAAAAAAAAAAAAAAAACTTAATCTATTAATTTTGTTTTAAAGCATATAATTGCGTCTATTTACTATTCGTACGCATTTATGGCTTGAACTAAATCCTACACATTAATTAATTGTTTAATCTCTCTAGCCTACGGTTTGCTGTGTTCATTATTATCATTAGTTATTGTGCTCACAATACAATAAACAATATATGATTTATGCTAATAAATAATAATATATGGACTGACATTATATTGTATAGTCTTATTATATAATATACTATTATTAATATTTAGAATAAAAAATATACTTACATAGTAAACTTACAAATATAATAAGCTGACAACCTAGGTTGAAAAATTGATAATCTATATTTTGTTCATTCCATAGCATTGTATTGTGTTTTTTGCTTTTTAAGTTTGTTCACCCAAACTATTTTTAAATGATACGATTCTTTATGAATATTAAAAATAATAATAATAATATATATTTTTAATAAAATATATAATTTTACTTTTTTTATTAATTTACAAAAGGTATTGTTTTTATATTATTAATACAATTTTTCATTATTATTTTCGTTTTACATATATGCATATATAATATTTCCTTTGTTCACGTACAAAGTAAATAATTACTTTTGGTGCGGTGTTTAAAAAATAATAGTATTTTAATTATAATGGGTAATTGAAAGTAGTATAATGATATTTTTTTTCTTACTTTTTTGCATAAAAGTAATAATGTAATGTAAATTAAAGGTATTTGTGAAAAAAAGTAAAGTATTAATGAAATGTTTACTTTATACTTTCTAATTGACGAATGAAGTATAATAAAGGTAAAACCAAAATTTTTAAAAAAATGATGTAGTTTGCAAAATTTTTTGAAAAGACTTTTATTTTAATCATTTTAACTACTTGTAATTTTGATAATATTGCGAAAATTACTCCATTTATTAGTAATTAACACAAATTGTAGCACAATTGCTAATGTTATTACAAAATTATAAATAACATGAGAGAAAATTACAAAAATACACTCCCTGTGTATTAATAAAATTAATTTTCTTTCTATTTTACATTATGTTTGATTTTGTAATAATGCTTTTAGTTCAAGCATTTTTGCTACCATTTTAATTAGATAATAATACATTCGTTCGTCTCTAAAAATCTCATTTATTTTTTGCATATTAATATTTTATTATAAAATTATTATATCAAAATATAATATAAATTAAAAAATATACAAAAATACTTACATTATTGTCTTATAATTTGTACAAAAAATTATACAAATATAAAGACATTTTTAATATTAAGTATAATGACAGAAAATATAAATATGATTCTTAAAGACGGACAAATGGAGTAATAAATAAAATATTTTTTGCAATATTATACAAACCACAAGTAAATAAAACAAAATTTTAGGTCCGAAAGGATTGACCGGTAGTATGGGGAGTAACTTTGCGACAGTGAAGTTATGGATTCAAACCCGACGCCTCCAGGTCACCTGCCACATGATTCACTTAGTGTAACTTGCCTTGTCGGGCCTATTTTGCAAAGTATTATATTCAGCTGAGAGTTTATCCGGTTCGCACACTTTCGGGTAGCGGCTTATGTTTCCAAATTATAAAAATAAATAAATAAAATTTAGGATCGGACAATCTTTCGAGCCAATTTCATAAATAATTTTTTTATCTTACAAAATATCTCATTAATTATTATTTTAATACCAAATTCAAATCAGTTATTCTAAAACTCAAAAAAAGAAACATATCCTTAGTTTTTTTTTTTTTTTTTTGTTAAAAATAATAATAATAAATCTATTTTGCCTATAATATATATTCATAGTAGTTGCACAATTACCACGAGAAAATGGATTACGACATTGCAGTGTTCATTACAGCTTTCCTACTCTGGGCATTCTGCGCCGCCGCCACGGAGGCAAGGCGGCGGCAGCGGCGGAGCCAGAAGCCGCGGTTGCCGCCGGGACCTCAGCCGTGGCCGGTGGTCGGCAACATCTTCCACCTGATGAACACCTCCCAACCGCCGCATCAATCACTCGCCAAGCTCGCCGACACCTACGGCCCCGTCATGACTCTCCGGCTCGGCTCCCTGACGACGGCGGTGATCTCCTCCGGCGCGGCGGCCGACGCCGTCTTCCGCCAAAACGACGTCGCCCTGGCGGGGCGGATGATCTACGAATCCATGAAAGGCGACGTCGCCGGCGACGGCTCCCTCATCAGCGCGCAGTACGGCCCGCGTTGGCGGATGCTCCGGCGGCTCTGCACCTCGGAGTTCTTCTCCGCCGCCGCGATCGACGCCACGCGCGGCGCACGTGCCGCCTGCGTCGAGAAGATGACGCGGCGGATACACGACGGCGCGTCGCAGCCACTCGAACTCGGCGAATTGTTCTTCTCCATGGCCTTCGACCTGATCGGAATTTTGTTTTTTTCCAGGGACATGTTAGATCCGAATTCCGGCGCCGGCGCCGAGTTCTTCTCTGTTACGAAAAAGTTCATGGAGTTCGCCGGACGGCCGAACGTTGCAGATTTTTTTCCGATTCTGAGACGGTTGGATCCGCAGGGAGTGAGGAAGACGACTCAGCTGTATGTGAAGCGAGGTTTCGACATTGTCGGAAAGTTTTTGGAGCGGCGGAGCGCCGCCGCCAGAGAGTCGAATGTTAGAAATTATAGGCGGAGAAAAGATTACGTGGACGTACTGTTGAAGTATAAAGAAGATGGACTTCTCTCTGCAACCGCTGTCAACGTTATTGTCTTTGTAAGTCACACACAAAAACTTCATTTTTGTTTCGAAATTTTGCACGCATTTTATTAATTTTAATTCTTTAAAATTATTATTATTATTATTATTATTATTATTATTATTATTTTAGTGATTTATTAATATTAAATATACTTATAAATATATATATCAGTTCAATTAATTTTTTAATCTCGACTATTAAAAATCTTTTTATTTTTATTTGTTTTTAATAAATAAATATATTTATTTATACTTAAAATATAGATAAAATTAATTTATATATAATCATAAATAAATAAAAAAATTATCTAATTGTATTATATAAATTTATATTTACAAAATTATATTTATATTATATACTTCATCCGTCCTACCTAATTTGTCCATATTTTCTATTTTAATTCATTACACATTATTTGTCATTTCTTTTTTTTTTTTAAATTGATTATACACTTTAATCATATTTTAAAATTTAAGATTTAATTTTAATTAAACTATTTAGTTATTTTAATCTTAATCTATAATTATTTTTACAAATACACTTTTTAATTATTTACTAATTATAATTTATTTAAATTCTCTTATCATGTGCTCATCTTATCTGGAATGGAGAGAGTATTTATTATCTTAATCAAAACTATTCATTTGACTTTCACAAAGAGATTTATGTATATTAATTTATAAATATATAAATGTAAAGTATTTTTTATGGTTTTTTAACAGTATTGAAAAAATAATTTTAAAAAATTAAATTATTTTAATATTTAATTTTGAGATATTTTTACTTAAAAAAATGAAACATATACCTTTTATTTAGCTAAATAAAAATGACAATAAATATAATTTATTGAAATAATAGTAATTAAAATATATGAAATATGTATTTTAAAATTTCTTAATAATATATTTTATTTTTATTTTGAAAACAATAGAAGTATAATTATAATTTTATTTTTTTGACGTAAAAATTCAAAGCCGTTATAAACTAGAGCCATAACCAACCAATCACAAGTTTGACTCCCAAAGCCATCAAATCATCTATTATTATTAATTCATTAAGCTATTACTAATCAAACATTAAATATTGAAGGTAGTATTTAATTTAATATTTTTCTATAAACAAAAATTCATAAATAAATAAAAGTCTAATAAATAAAAAACTACAAACAAACACAACCTTAATTACCCTACATTACCGGCACTGTTGCAGGAGATGTTCGCGGCGGGGACCGACACGACGACGAGCACACTAGAGTGGGCAATGGCGGAACTCCTCCGCAACCGAGAAATCCTCCGGCGAGTCCAGGCGGAGCTCCGGTCAGAAACCGACCCCCAAAAAAGCCTCGAAGAAGACGACCTCGACCGCCTCCCCTATCTCCGAGCAGTCATCAAAGAAACTCTCCGGCTGCACCCGCCGCTGCCGTTCCTCGTGCCGCGGCGGGCGGCGGCGCCGTGCAGACTGCGGGGGTTCGACATCCCGGAGGGAACTCAGGTGCTTGTCAATGCTTGGGCGATCGGAAGGGACGCCGGCGCTTGGGAAGAGCCGATGAAATTCCGGCCGGAGAGATTTCTGACGGCCGGCGCGGCGGATTACAGAGGCCGGAGTTTTGAGCTGATACCTTTCGGCGCCGGAAGGAGGATTTGCCCCGCCATGCCGCTGGCGTTGCGGGTGGTTCCGATGGCGTTGGGAGCGGTTCTCCGGTCGTTTGATTGGTTGGCGCCGCCACCGGCGGAGATTGATATGGAGGAATCGATGGGAATTACGCTTAGGAAAGCTGTTCCTTTGAAGGCTATTCCACTTTTGTATAATTAAAGTAAGTAATAATTTTATTTTACGGAGTAATATTTGATGCTACAAAATATTCAATAAAATAAAGTTTTTATTCAATATATATCTATTTTTAACAAAAATAAATGACGTTTTTTTAATGTTAGAATTCACAGTTGTTACGGAAATAAGTTACAATACCGGCCATTGTATAAGGATTGCTTACATTAGATTTTCGGGTGGTGGTTACGAAAATCAGTATTGTATTGATTTTTAACCCCGTTTAATCAAAAAAAAAAATATTCAAAAGTTTAAATAGCACAAATTTTATAAAATATAAATATAAATATATTAATAAAAAAATTATATTTTCTAAATTTATTGATCCATATTTTTTAAACTTTTAGATTGATGTTACTTTTAGAAAAATATTATGGCCATTATTTTATTTTATATTATATTAATATAGGTAATATGCTATATGATCGGTTGATCGATATGTTCTAAACTATTGGGCAAAATTGCATAAAATTTACCCGTGATTTCATGTAATTGTGTCCAATTCCTTATATTTCTAAGACTACGTCAACTCTTTCGTGGTTTCATAAACTCTGCATCTAACGCCTTCGATGATTCTTATTTAATGGTATTTGACATAAATACACCTTGAAATTTCAATTTCTAAACTCTTAAAATTACAAATATATTCATTTTTCTTATATTTAGCCTAAAATAAATATATTTATAATTTTAGGGTTTAGAAATTAATATTCTAAAATTTATTCGCAGTTTGGACTCATCTAAGCCGAATATCGTTAAATAATGACCACTGAGAAGGTTAGATCCAAAGTTTATAAAACCACGAAAAAATTTGAAACTATTTTAAAAGTATCGAGGATTTGACGCAATTTCGTAAAACCACAAGTGAATTTCATACAATTTAGCTAAAATACTGAAATGTACTAATTTTTCTAGAATCGAAATGAATATAGTGATTCATATTTGTGAAATTATTTAAACATATTTCATAGTATTCATTATTAATCTGTAATTCATATTCAACTTGAAATAATGTGTATTGGGAAATATTTTAACAAATCAATGGAAATTTATTATTATTTTCAATTGAATTTGTCTGATATTTTGATATATATATATATTAATTATATATCTTTATTGAAATCAAATAAATGAATATTGAGAATATATTCGGCCACCGGAAGCAGATGACTGAGTTTGAGATAGAATATGAAACTAAAGAACAACACAAGTAAAAATAAAAGTTTAAAATAATAGAGTAAAAAAACTAAAACAAAAATTCTAATTAACACGGTCATTGTAAGATAATTAAATTTAAAATTATGAAATAATAATAATTTTAAAAAATATGCATCAAACTTATTTATAAACATGCAATGTAGATTTTGTATTATTAATAAAACAATTAAAAATATCAATAAATTAATTAGTTGTGTTTTTAGTAAGAAAAATTATCAAGATCACAGGGCCTCCAAAAATTAGCTATCACCTTCGAATAATAGCCCCAGTCTGGATGCTCCGTCGAGATGCTGTCCTGTCCGAACGGATGTTCCTTCACGTACGTCGGAACATCGCCGGCAGCGTCCGCAAGCCCCTCAAAATACTTCCACATTTCCCCGTTGGGAGCTATTAATTAAACAACAAATTTATTATTATATTTATATATATATAGACATAAAAATAATATACTCCTGCTTATAAAATTAAATATTAATTGTTTTTATTTTAAAAATATGTACGTTAATCACTTGCATAGAAATGTGTCGTCGGGATTGTGGGTTTTGTAAGCGTGGGGGAAGATTGCTGTATCTGGCTGGAAATTAATTACAATTGCAGTAATAATTAACACTATGTTGGACACAAACATAAAAAATTTGAAGAGAAAGTTTGGGCTCAATTAAATTAACCGTTATGCTTAAACAAGATCCTTCCCCCATACAAATGGTGGGTGTGTTTGGCAGATTTTGTAGAATTGCTATTATTCTTTCTTTTTTTTTTTTTCTTTTTTTTTTTCAAAATATCAAATTAAATATTTATTTTTTATTTTTATATAACGGCGTACCATTGTTTCAATTCAAAATTTTTATTCAAATTTGAACTCAAAATCTAAACTCCAAACAAACACCCTTTATTGGACAAAATTTTTTATAATTATTATTTTAATTTCTTATGGGAAAATAAATAGGCTGCGGTTCCTTTACTAATTTCAATCAAATCAACATTAGATAACATAGAGCATAAATGATGTGTTCTTTTGACAAAATTCACCAAATTTTTACTTATTTGATCTCATATCTATCTTATTCATTTAACTTTTACACGAATTTTTTAAAATATTAGTAGTAATATATTATGATGTAATCCTTATTATTTATTAGTACTGTATGATATAAATATAATGATATTTGTGTAATATATTAAAAATTAAAAAAATATTTTCAATGTTAAGTAGACATCACAATTACTAATGAATACTTATTATGGGACACACCAAAATAAAAAATAAATATATTGTTAAGAGACGAAAACAATATTATTTAATAATTTTTTTTAAAAAAATATCACAACAAACAAACTATTTCTTATGTTTTATATTACATTAAAATGTATTAATATTATTTATATCTCATTGTATAATTACTCAAATTAAATTTGTTTACTTATGAAAATTTAGATCAAAATCCAAACAGCCAACAAATACACCAAGATAATCGACATATATATAATTTGATTGGATCAGGCGCCCAATTGATATATATACTGACCGGGTTAAGAAGAGCAGTGTGGGGTTCATTGTCGATTAGGAGAGTATTGGCAGCAGAATATCGGGCTTTGAAGGTTTTGTTGTACCAAATGCGTTTGAGTTCCTTCACGAACAGAGGCTTTTCGTCTTTGTGAAGGCTGTAGAATCCTGAATCACTGCATTCGGATTGGCTCTGCCAATGCAAATTTATAGAGAGAGACAGAGGTAATCAGCACTGTAATGAACTGAGACTCAGGACTATTTGGATTTCAGAAAAAATATCAATTACCCAAACAAACACGAATTTATTCTCTTCTCCGTCCGCGACGCTGCTCAGAAAGCATTCGATGTTGTGCCTGAATCAATTCAAACAACTACTCATCAACGTTTACCGATCGAATTGAACGAGTCACGGTTAGGAAATAGTTGGAATTCGGAAATATATGTCTAATCTGATGGAATGGAAGCAGTTACAAACTCTCTCGCAGAGGACCACAGCGCGACATCAAATCGCTCGAAGCAGAATTTCAGAAAATCGGTGCAGAAAGGCCTCTTGAACACTGATCAGGAATGGAAAACAAAGAAAATCATCAAATCCGCAGCAGAATCGAAATCGAAATGAAAAAAAAAAAAAAACAAAAAAAAAAACACACAACTAGCAAAACACGATTGCGTACCTAAAAATGCTCCGTACGTCACATCCGCGCGGAGGCCTCGGACGGTCCTTTTCTCCTTTTTGTGGACTCTGTGCACCAGCAGGCCTCCTAAGGAGAGCACGAGAAGCTTCTTCTTACGACCTATGGAGAGTTTGTCGAGCGAGGGACTGAGATCCTCGTCAATTGCAGCTTCCTCTTCCTCTTCCTCGTCGGCGATCGACAATTTACGATTTGCGTCTTTCGAAGACTCCGCCATGGATAGATGCTGCTGGTATTGCCAAGAGAAGATATGATTCAGTGCTGCGAGTGCTGACTAGAGAGAGAGGGAGAGTGAGAGCGACGTCAGGGAGAGTGATGACGGTTACGCCGCCCGGCGGTGGCTCGCTACCTTCCGATGCATTCAATTTCAATTTTGTTGGAATTCCAAATTCAAGTTCGTAGTCGTTTGGTATGATTGAAAATACAATTTTGTTGAAATTTTGGAGTATTAAAGTATAGTTTATTTATTTATTTATTTATTTATTTTTTTTTTTGTCTGAACATATCTTACCATCATCTCTTTTTTGTTACATTTATTGCTGATTTTCAGTTTTTACTATAACAAAATTTATTAATTAAAAAAAAAACACTTATGAAATTTACCTATTACCTTCAACAATAAATAAATAAATAATATCCAAAAAATTTTTGTTTAAATTTAATATAAATTATCTATAAATAGTTAAATATATTTAAATTTTATTAATCAATTATCTATTTTTTCATATTTAATTAATATATATTGATTTATTTTAAATAATTTCAATTATAAAAATTTATATAGATTAATATTTAAAATTTAAAATAAAATATTATATAAAAATATTATTAAACAATAAAAATATATAAAAATATATACAAATAAATAAATTGTTTATATATTATTACATAATAAAAATATATAGAAATAAATAAATTATTGTGGATTTATAACAAAGTAAAAGTAATGTTTTGGAGGTGATTTGTAATAAATGAAATAATTTGAATATTGAGATGTATATGATGTTAATGAGATAAATAAAAAAAACATAAGTAAAAGTAACGGATGCTCATATTAGTACTATTTAAAAATAATTATCAAATTAATCCTACACAAAAAATAAATTACTCCATCCGTCTCATATAAAGAGTAACATTTGTTTTTTTTTGCATATTTTTTAATATTAGTATTATATTAAGTTACAGTAAATAAGACAAAAATATTCTTATATAACATTTTTGTTATGAGAAAACGTTTAACAATTTTATTGTATTTTTAGTAAAAATGCACAAAATGTCATGTATTTTATTTATTGCGTAAAATTCTTTTGTGTTAATATAAAATTTTCACGAAACAACATATCTGTTTGGTTCTAAATAAAAATTTAAATCAATCAGATTTTATACAAATATAAAATATAAAATGAAATATTAACCAATTATTTTTTTATTTATTTTATTCAAAAAATTGTTTAAAATATTTTACTTTTTTATTTGTATAAACCTGCCTAGTTTTGAATAAAGAGAATATTTCGAGTAAATTTTTACATTAATAAATAAATAAAGTATTTTGGACATTTTTATTAATAAAAATTCTAATTGTCTAAAAATATCGTGTAAATATTAAGGGTGTGTTTGTTTGGGGGTTTGGATTTTGAGTTGGGATTTGAATAATTGTATAATGTGATATAAATACGTGTTGACGTGATATTTTGAATGTAAAATTAATTTTTAGTATAATATAAAAAATAAAAAATAAATATTTGATTTTATATTTTTTGGAGAAAAAAAATGAGATGAATAGTGAATTAAAAATCCAATCACCTACCAACACACCCTAAATGAAACATTAAAAAAAAAAAAAACAGAGAGAGTAAAACACAATCGGTGTTATATAAGTTAACCCATCTTTTATATAACTGCAAAAAACAAGATGCAAAAGAAAATTACAACCAGTTTCACGACATAATCAGACCAGGCATACATAAAAATATATAAATATAGAGAGAGAGGGGAGAGAGAAGTGGCCCAGGGGTACGGGGTCAGTCGGAATAACCGCCAGAACTATAGGTCTTCCCAAAATCAGCAATAACGTTTTCATAATAGGTCCAATCAGGGTGCTCCGCAGTGATGGCAGCCTGCCCCGCGATGGAATGTTCCTTAACGTAGCTCGGGACATCCTTTGCGTCCACCAGCCCATCCAGGTACTTTCTCAGCTCCCCATTCGGACCTAATTATACATACACACACAATCAAAGTAGTATAATAATTATAGATAGATAAAATGGCATGTTAATTAATGCCATTGAAGGGGAGATATGAGCAGAGATGGCTGGATATCTACATACCCAAAACTGTGTCGCGAATGTTGTGGCTCTTATATGGAGATGGGAAGATCGCCGTGTTTGGCTGGAATTATTATATTGCGAAATTTAGTAATTCATTAATTATTATAAAATTAATTATCACAATTATATATATATGTATGTATGTATTGCTGTAGGAGAATTTAGGGTTTGTCACCGGATTGAGAAGAGAGGTGTGAGGTTCGTCGTCGATTAAGAGCGTATTGGCAGCAGAATATTTGCCTTTGAAGTTTTTGTTTTCCCAGATGCGTTTCAGTTCCTTCACGAACAGAGGCTTTTCTTCCTTGTGAAGGCAGTATGATCCAGAATCACTGCACTCAGATTGACCCTACGGAAACAGAACAAATTCAGTCAGACATACAGACTTCTGTGAAACTGTATTCATTTAATTTACTCGCTATCGCTATCACTATCACTATCAGCAGTGTTGGAATGGAAGGAAACTTATACTTTATGAAAATTACCCAAACAAAAACGAATTTGTTCCCCTCTCCACCGGTAATGCTGCTCAGAACACCTCCAATGTTGTGTCTAAACCATTGAGAAAGCAAAAACATCGAAAAAAATATCAAATTACCAAATCGTTACCCAACGGATCACAATTATCGAATGAATCGGATATATGTTATATATCAGAATGAATAGAAGCGGTTACTAACTCTCTCGCGGAGGACCACAGCGCAACATCAAAACGCTCAAAGCAGAATTTCAGAAAATCAGTGCAGAACGGCCTCTTAAACACTGGTCAAAACTCAACAGATACCACAAAAATTTAAAAAATAATAATAAAAAACCAACACGATGTATCGCAAACGCATTCATCAGAATCGATCTCAAAAGCATGACCAGAACAAAAACAAAAAGAAAACACCGTTACCTAAAAATTTTCCGTACACCACATCCGCGCGGAGGCCTCGGACTGTCCGCTTATCCCTCACGTGGACTCTGTGCACCAGCAGACCTCCGAAGCAGAGCACCAGAAGCTTCTTCTTCGGACCTAGAGAGAGCTTGTCCAACGAGAGACCGAGATCGTCGTCAGTTGCTGCTTCCTTCTTCTCGTCGTCGCTGCTTTCGTCGACGATCGGCGATTTCAGCTTCGCGTCTACGGAAGAATTCGCCATAGATTAGATACAGTTCAGTGTTGTGTGTACTTGTGGTGTGGTGTGGTGCGGTGCGGTGCAGTGAGCAACTAATTGGCTTAAGCTTTATATAGACCAAGCGAGGAGTGTTGGGACCCACAGCTGCTCGTAGCCTACATAGCTATTGAAGCATGGTGGAAAATTTGTACGTGCTTCTACGAAGCTTCTAGAAATATTAGTTTGTTTCTTTGATTCAAAACTCCAAAATTTTTATTATTTCAAATTTTCGTTTTTTTTTTAAATATATTTTTTTCTCTTACAAAACATTCTATTATATATTATTTTAATATCCAATAAAAATAAAAAAATTTCAAACTATATGAATAGAAACGTAGCCATAGTGTGTGTTTCTTCTACTTCAAATTTGAGGTTTTATTGTGTAAATTAGGGTTGCCTACAGTCCAACCTGCAGGCTGTACTTTTTTTTTTAATTAAAATATAATTTAATATTTATTATAATTATTGAGAAAAAAATATATACAATATATATATCATTTTGTATAGTATTTTAAAATTTTTTATAATAAAAATAAATAAAAATTTAAATATATATATATTGGGTATATATAAATTCATAAATTTTATCAATTAAATTTAATATTCCCTCCATCCCATACAAAATATCTATTTTCATAACAAAATATTATTTTTTTTTTCAAAATAATTATACTATCTATCTAACATTACAAATATCCTTACAACTTACAATATATTACACAAATATCATTACCTTTATATCACACGCACTAATGTTATTTTAGTCATTTCTATTTTATTCATATTATATTCCAATATAATATTAATATTTCTAAAATTACGTGCAAAAAGCAAATAAATACTTTTTTATGGGACAGAGGGAGTACATATTTATATTATTTTATTCATTATCCACCAAATCAATATACATCAAAACTCCTCAAACTCCAACCAAACCTCAGTACAAAAGAAATAACAAAATAATTCAAATACATCCCAAAATTCAAACACAAATTCAAATTTTCTCGAATCCTCCTGAAGAAACACACCCATAGACATATATACATATGGTAAATTATAACTATATATATATTATTGTACTATTTATGTTGAGTTTGAGTATAGAATATATTATGTTTGACAATAAGATACTATGATATTGTTTTTCTATTCCATTTCAAAATATTTTTTTTATTATTTTTGTTTGTTCAACTCTAAAATATATTTTTTTATTTTAATAAAAATAATTGTCCATTAATTTAAGAATACCAACTTTTATTAAATTATAAATATATTATTAAACATACAATTATTTTAATGAAACTAATTTTTATTTTTTCCCCAAATATTATTATTGAAGGGTCTTTTGAAGTAAGACAGTAGAAATATAATATAGATGCAACACATAGAGGCAAAATCAGATTTTTCGAACCTTGGGCAAAATTACAATTTTCTATCACCAATCTACCATTGTATCTTTTTATTTTCTTTTGACCATATAAGAAAAGAAAATGTAAAGAAGAAAAAATATATATATATATAATATTATTTTATTTTTAAAAAATATTATATAAAAATATTATTTAAATAAAAATTTAAATTAATATTCAATATTTCAAATTACAATTAAAAAATATATATTACTATTTACAAAGGGGAGAGACTCTTCTCTCTTACAAAAAAGAAAAAAAAAAATGATAGTGAAATTTACATTATAGCAACCTGCTTTACCTTTATTTATTATTAATCATTATTGTTTTTTTAAAGTTTAAAGATGTGTTAACTTTATAAAAAATATTATTCTATTCCTTGTCCCATATATTAATACTATATTAACTTTAATTAAATTAAAAAATGGTTCAAATTGATGAATAATTCATACAGTAAATTACATTAAACGCGGACGATGAATTAGCATTCTTTTCTTCTTTTATGTGTTTGGTAAGGATAAATTGCACATATTAATATAGATACACAAATTTTAGATAAGATACAATCACTCTGTTCGTTCGAATAATTGCGATTTCCTAAATATATATATAATATTTGTTAAAAAAAAAAAAAAAAGGTAAATTGCATAACATGTGGTTTTATGAAATTGCACCAAATTTCATAAACTCTGCGTATAACCCTCTCGACGGTCCTTATTTAACGATATTTAACTTAAATGCACTCAAATTGCGAATAAATTTTAGAATCCCAATTTCTAAACCCCTAAAATTATAAATATATTTATTTTTCTTATATTTAGTCTAAAAAATAGTAAATATATTAAAAAATAATTAATTTTCTCAGGTTTTAAGAGTTTATTTTTTTTTTGGGCTAAATACAAGAAAAATAAATATATATGTAATTTTAGATGTTTAGAAATTGAGATTCTAAAATTTATTCGCAATTTGGGCGCATTTAGGTCAAATACCGTTAAATAAGGACCGCCGAGGGAGTTAGACACAGAGTTTACGAAACGATAAGGGACTTTGATACAATTTTAAAAGTATTGGAGATTTGGTGCAATTTCATAAAATCACGGGTGAATTTTGTATAATTTAGCCCAAAAAAAATTAAAAAGTAAAACATTTAAATAAAATTTAAATATTTAATTTAAAATAATATATTTTATATGTTTATCACAATTCCCGTATAAAAAAATTAATCAATCTAAAAACTCCGAATGAACAGAATCAATTATTAATTAATTAATAAGTGTATCAGTAAAAATACTGTTTTTAATTATGAGATACTTGATCGAACCCCAACTTCAAGTATATCAAATCAAACCCCAACTTCAAGTATATCAAAAAAAGAAAAAAAAAAAGAAAAAAGATTTTTTGGGTAACGATTGCAGATTGTCAGATTATATATATATATAAAAAAAAAAACTCAACTAATTTGTAATCATGAGATTATGAATTTAAACCTCGAATACCTTCAAGTCTCATGTGCACACATAGTTTCTTTAACGTGACTTACAGACCTAATGTATCATACAATTATTTTAATTTAAAATTTTTGTTACTTATATGTCAAATTCAAAATACAAACATTAACAAACAAACCTTGACAATTTTATTTTATTTTATTTTTATTTTTTAAAAAAAGAGCTTGTATACTCTCTCCCTACCAAAAAAAAAGGTGTTACCTTCATTTATATCCGGCTCCATATTTTTTATTTTTTTAATTGTATCATATATCTAACATAATAAATATTATGTTAGATATATATATAATATTATTTTATTTTTAAAAAATATTATATAAAAATATTATTTAAATAAAAATTTAAATTAATATTCAATATTTCAAATTACAATTAAAAAATATATATTACTATTTACAAAGGGGAGAGACTCTTCTCTCTTACAAAAAAGAAAAAAAAAAATGATAGTGAAATTTACATTATAGCAACCTGCTTTACCTTTATTTATTATTAATCATTATTGTTTTTTTAAAGTTTAAAGATGTGTTAACTTTATAAAAAATATTATTCTATTCCTTGTCCCATATATTAATACTATATTAACTTTAATTAAATTAAAAAATGGTTCAAATTGATGAATAATTCATACAGTAAATTACATTAAACGCGGACGATGAATTAGCATTCTTTTCTTCTTTTATGTGTTTGGTAAGGATAAATTGCACATATTAATATAGATACACAAATTTTAGATAAGATACAATCACTCTGTTCGTTCGAATAATTGCGATTTCCTAAATATATATATAATATTTGTTAAAAAAAAAAAAAAAGGTAAATTGCATAACATGTGGTTTTATGAAATTGCACCAAATTTCATAAACTCTGCGTATAACCCTCTCGACGGTCCTTATTTAACGATATTTAACTTAAATGCACTCAAATTGCGAATAAATTTTAGAATCCCAATTTCTAAACCCCTAAAATTATAAATATATTTATTTTTCTTATATTTAGTCTAAAAAATAGTAAATATATTAAAAAATAATTAATTTTCTCAGGTTTTAAGAGTTTATTTTTTTTTTGGGCTAAATACAAGAAAAATAAATATATATGTAATTTTAGATGTTTAGAAATTGAGATTCTAAAATTTATTCGCAATTTGGGCGCATTTAGGTCAAATACCGTTAAATAAGGACCGCCGAGGGAGTTAGACACAGAGTTTACGAAACGATAAGGGACTTTGATACAATTTTAAAAGTATTGGAGATTTGGTGCAATTTCATAAAATCACGGGTGAATTTTGTATAATTTAGCCCAAAAAAAATTAAAAAGTAAAACATTTAAATAAAATTTAAATATTTAATTTAAAATAATATATTTTATATGTTTATCACAATTCCCGTATAAAAAAATTAATCAATCTAAAAACTCCGAATGAACAGAATCAATTATTAATTAATTAATAAGTGTATCAGTAAAAATACTGTTTTTAATTATGAGATACTTGATCGAACCCCAACTTCAAGTATATCAAATCAAACCCCAACTTCAAGTATATCAAAAAAGAAAAAAAAAAAGAAAAAAGATTTTTTGGGTAACGATTGCAGATTTTCAGATTATATATATATATAAAAAAAAAAAACTCAACTAATTTGTAATCATGAGATTATGAATTTAAACCTCGAATACCTTCAAGTCTCATGTGCACACATAGTTTCTTTAACGTGACTTACAGACCTAATGTATCATACAATTATTTTAATTTAAAATTTTTGTTACTTATATGTCAAATTCAAAATACAAACATTAACAAACAAACCTTGACAATTTTATTTTATTTTATTTTTATTTTTTAAAAAAAGAGCTTGTATACTCTCTCCCTACCAAAAAAAAAGGTGTTACCTTCATTTATATCCGGCTCCATATTTTTTATTTTTTTAATTGTATCATATATCTAACATAATAAATATTTTTATAATTTATTAAAAAAATATAATTAAATTTATATTATATAATACTAATAAAAATATTTTTATTTATTTATTTGTTTGTATTACATATTAATATAATTTTAATATTTAAAAATCTACTTTTAAAATACAAATGTTATTCTATTCTATCCTACTAGTATTTGTAGGTTATAATTTTAGTACTGCTATTTAAATAGTAAATAAATTTGTAGGGATGGAAGAATGATTGGCTTGACTTACGTCAACAAGATGACGTCAGTACGATGACAGACCAACTATAATTCCAAGTGGGCCCCGGCAGGAGCGTTGTTAGATGCTGCTAATCCGTCATTTTCATCTACTCGAAGGGAGCAAAATTAGACACGGCTTTTGGATGGACGAGGTGCATCTTACGTAATAATCCTTCCGTCCCATGTATTACGGTAGACATGAAATTTAGATAAAATATAATTAATAAATAATTAAAAAGTGTATTAATAAAAATAATTAATATTTAGTAAAAATAATTATAAATTAAGATTAAAATAAGTAAATAATTTAATTAAAATTATAAAATTATAAAATTTAAAATTTAAAATTTAAAATACGATTAAAGTGTATAATTATATTTCCAAAAATAGAAAAGACACGTTACGTGGAACAGACGAAAACAAAAAATAGAGACAAATTATGTGGGACGGAGGAGTACTCCATTAGTTGCATAATTATCTTTTCATTTACTTTTTCACATAATTTTAAAAATATTAATATTATATTTAGATATAGTAAAAATAAAAATTAAAAAATTAAAAATTAGAAAAGTATTTATAATTTTAGATATATTACAATTATTAAAAAAAGAAATAAATACTTTGTTTTGAGACGGATCAAAATAGAAAAATAGATAAAATATTAAAGAAAAGAGAAAGTACTGCTCGGTCCATTTTTAATATGTACATATTCTAATTTTTATCTAATTATTTCAAAATTTTATATATTATAGAATGTGTTCTTCCATTGATTTTTTTTTTTTAAATTTCATATATTATGAAAGTTTATTATTTTTTTTTTGAATTATATAAATAGTAATATTTTTTTTTTACGTAAACTTTTAATATTATTATTTTTTTAGTTATAGTAAAAAATACAAAAATACCTCTACTAATATTGTGTAATATAAATGTAATGGTATTTGTGTAATATAATATAAGTTAGAAGGATATTTATTATGTTAGAAATATAATATAATTATTAAATTAATACCCCTATTTTGAAACGGACAAAAATGACAAATAAAACTATTTTTATAAAACGGAAGGAATATTTTTATATTATTATCAAAAATTTTATGCTTCATATAAAAAATATTTTCTTCAAACAATTTCGCTAAATAAACACACTCATACTCTTTTCGTCTATCGCAAATAATTATATTTTTTTTTTACTTGTTAATTTTTTAATATAAATTAGTATTTGTATTAAAAATGTAGTAAAAATCAAAAGAAAAAAAAAATAAAAATACTCTCATTATCTTATAATACAAATATAATTATATTTGTATAATAAATTATATAAATATAGAAATATTTGTAATATTAAATATAGCAACGCAAAATATAAATATAACTATTACTAGTTGTAAGAGAGAGCATAAATTTCATTTTAGTAACTATGAATTTTAATCTTATGATTAATTATAAATTCTCATATTTTTATTTATATTTATAATTATATTTAGTGTGTTTAGGCCATCTCCAACCCATCATCTCAATTTATTCAATTTTAACTCCAAATATGGAGTTGCTACAGTAATTTTACTCCAACCATAACTCCATTTTTTACTTTTATTTTTCAAATATTCAATTTTTCCTATTATTGTAAACAACTTTTTATTTTTATAATTTAAAATAAAATTTAAAAAATTTAAAAAATAAAAATTAAATTTAAAAATTAAATTTATAATTTTAAAAAATAAAAAAAATTTTAAAAAAAAAATAGCGTTTTGTGTTGCACTGTAGTAAACTCTAAATTTGGTGCTGGAAATGGCGCTGGATTGGAGCGGCAAAAATGGTGTTGGAACGCCAGATATGGAGCATGGTTGGAGATGCTTTTAGGAGTAGCAAAAACAAGTATGATCCAAAAGTTCCGTACGAAAAAATTGTGTTCGGGCTACCGATAATAGACTTGAAAATTTTCAGATTATGCCTGGCCCGATCCGATTTTTTAAAACTAATATTCCATCCGTCCCAATTCTGGCATATTTTAGAATAATAAATTAAGAAATATTAGTATTTTATTGGTTAGCATAGGTGTGTAAAATTTTTTAATATTTTTGTCATTTTATTTTATATATAAAGTAATTGTATGTATAATAATATATTTATAATTTAAATAAAAATTAATATTATTTTGGTATTAGTGTATGATTAATTTTTTAAAATATAAAAGAGATACTTTGAATATTAATAAATTTATATACATATATATTAAATGATTTAATCAATTATTTATTTATTCATTTTATTCAAAAACTTATTTAAAATATTTACACTTTTTTTATATATATAAAACTTGTATAATTTAGGTATTTATTCAGTTTTGAATAAAGAGAGTATTTGATGCAAATTTTATACTTCCTCCGTCCCAGAACTATAGTTTGGATTGGGTTTCACACGGAATTTAAAGAATATTGATATTATATTGGGCCATGGCGGGGCAAGCTCTACATTGATATAGAGGGTCGCAGTGGGTAAAATATACGGGTAAAAGACTTTTTTGCTCTTGTGAGTGTATTAGTGTAAAAAATAGTGACAATTGTGTAATAATAATGAAAAGGTAAAGGTAGTTTTATAGAGATATTGTTATTTATGAAAATGAGACTATTGTTTTGGGACGGACAAAAATGGTAAACTAAGACCATTGTATTGGAACCGAGGGAGTATTAAGTATTACAAAATATATAAAATACAACGTGTTTTATGTATTTTTACTAAAATACAATTGTTCTATTTACTTGTAAAATTTTACCTATAATTTTACTATTTAATTTTATTTTCTCTTAAAAACATCATCTCAAATCTCGAATTTTACTACTATCACATGAAACAACTGTTAATAACGTGACAAGTAAACACACCCATATAATTTACCCTCGCAATAATTTGCGAAACCCAAGGCAGAAATGTTATCCGGATCGGCCCACATATGTTTTCTGACCCGGGTCCGATTAAAATTATTTTAATTAATAATAATAATATTAGTGGAACATGTCTGGACGCAGAGGAGGCGGTTAGACAGAATCGCCGTGGAAATCGACGGCTGTGATCAGCGCATTCCCATCTATATGAATATGCCTTCATTTTCTAGTAGCCGCATAAATAAGTGTTGTTCACTACCTCGCTTTTTTTTCCACTCCTCTACCATTCTAAACTCTAATGGCGACAATCAGGAGCGTCAAGGCCAGGCAGATCTTCGATAGCCGCGGCAATCCTACGGTCGAGGTTTGTACTGTTCGCCCATTTCGTGGCAATCGATTTGCTGTAATTGTAGTGTTGGCAGCTAAGTGTTTGGTGTTAGGGCGTCCATTACCATTTGCTAGAAAATCTAGCTTGGTAATTGACAGAATTGTGGATGTGATATTGAGATAGTTTGATTCGAAATCCTTCGGCGATATTGTAGGTCGACGTGCATCTATCGAATGGAATTTGGGCGCGAGCGGCTGTTCCTAGTGGCGCATCAACTGGTAAGATTTATAGACATGCACATTTTTGTTTCCTTAATTTTCCCATCGTCTTTGGATTTTTTTTGTTAGAGAAAATGAATTATTTGGATATGATACTGCCATGGCCTATGCATGTCTTCGTTGATGTTTGAGATCCATCTCTGTACACTAACTATACTCTAGCTGACGGAGTGGATAGAATCTAGAATGTTTTCTAATTTCGATGATCGTCTATCGGCTATACTTCAGGAGTTTACGAGGCTCTTGAACTGAGAGATGGTGGATCTGATTACCTTGGAAAGGGTGTTTCAAAGGTAATCTAATCTAGCTGCTAAAGATGATTATTCATTAGCTTGCTATGTAATTCCAATTGTTATATGTTGATCCTCAATGATTTGGTATATCTTGGTAGGCTGTTGAAAATGTGAACTCAGTCATTGGACCAGCCCTAGTTGGAAAGGTTTGTTTTGAAATCTCAACAAAAGTCTTATTATTGTTATATATGTATTCTACATTGGAAGAATTTTGAAATACTGGTAAGAATTAGGTAGAGTTAAATGTTTTTTATTCACGTATTTTTTATTTTTTTTTGGCATGATACAACTCTGAGGGCTTAAATCAGCTCACTGTGGTTTCTTCTGCAGAACCCAACAGAACAGACAAACATTGACAATTACATGGTTCAACAACTTGATGGAACTCAGAATGAATGGGGCTGGTGCAAGCAAAAGGTATTTTAACACAGAAAATTGCATGTCTTCGTGATAATTGTTTCTTCGAAAGGATCATACTTATTGTGAAAATGATACAATCTTGGCGCTTTTTAGCTTGGAGCGAATGCCATTCTGGCTGTGTCGCTTGCTGTGTGCAAGGCTGGTGCTGCCGTCCTCAATATCCCTCTATATAAGGTATTTAAAGCAATCCATCTCAAGCCATTCGTTAATCATCAATCCCAATGTGTAGTGCATCCACTTGTTTATAAGCTATTCTCGCTGCATTTTGGAGTTGCCATAATAGTGGCCGTGCCATGTCTCTGTTGATATAATTGCTTCCCTTTTATTTCCTCTTCAGCATGTTGCTAACCTTGCTGGTAACAAGAAGTTGGTCCTGCCTGTTCCCGCTTTCAATGTCATCAATGGTGGATCACATGCTGGAAATAAACTTGCTATGCAGGCATGTCTAATAACATATTCATTTGGGATATTATGTGTTGCTATTTGATTGTGTTACCCACTTTTTTTCCTTTCAGGAATTTATGATTCTTCCAGTTGGAGCTTCATCATTTAAAGAGGCCATGAAAATGGGTGTGGAAGTGTATCACAATTTGAAGGCATGTCAATATCTTTTAATTTTTGCACTCATATTGTCACTATTCCAAAAAATTCTGGTGCCATTTTGAAATTTGAAAGCTCAGAAGAAGTTCAGTCATTTATGTTATGCATTACATAACCCTGTGGTGTCCCTTTTATAATGTTCCTATTATCTATCAGCAGAATGTTCATTATGAACTCAAGACATTATTTACTGATAAATTTTTATTCCCTATGAATTTTAGTCTGTCATCAAGAAGAAATATGGGCAAGATGCCACCAATGTTGGTGACGAGGGTGGCTTTGCTCCAAACATTCAGGTTATATTTGGTTCTGGGCTGTTCTCAGCATTAGATCATTCTGTTTGTACCTACATATGGACAACTCCACCTTGCGTTGATACCTCAGGAGAACAAGGAAGGTCTGGAATTGCTGAAGACAGCCATTGAAAAAGCTGGCTATACCGGAAAAGTTAGCTCCTTTCTGTACAGCCTTGATTCTTTATAACACCCGCAGACGCATATAAATTGGTATTTATCTCCTCATTATCGCTTCTGGATATAGGTTGTTATCGGGATGGATGTTGCTGCATCCGAATTTTATGGATCTGATAAGAAATATGATTTGAACTTCAAAGAAGAGGCAAGTTTAAAGTCCCTAACTAAGAGATCTCTCTCCCACCTATACAATAATAGCTTATGTAGTTGTCGCCATTACTCTAGAAAATAATTATAATGATATGCTGCACTTACCTCGGCAGAAAAATGATGGATCACAAAAGATCAGCGGTGACCAGCTCAAAGATTTGTACAAGTCATTTGTGTCCAGCTATCCAATCGTATCGATTGAAGATCCATTCGACCAGGATGACTGGTGCACTTATGCAAAGCTTACAGGTGAAGTCGGTGGTCAAGTGCAGATTGTGGGAGATGATCTTCTTGTCACCAATCCAAAGGTAATCGAAACTTTTGTCCAAAATTTTCGCATACTGTGGCGTGGTATTAGATTGCATTATGTATTTTTTTCATTCCTGGACTTGTTTCAGAGAGTTGAGAAGGCAATCAAGGAAAAAGCATGCAACGCCCTCCTACTCAAGGTATTGTTCTATTGTTGTTTCAACCTTTTAACCACAAACCCTCTTCTATTGAAAATTTTTAAAACGAAAATAACTCAAATGGGTCTGTTTGGTTACCAGCTCGATCTGTTGGCACTATGCTTCCATTTTTTATTTTATTTTTCTCAAAATATTGGGACTCATTCAAAATTTTCTATTTTTATCTCTCTTCAATAAATAAATATATTTATATACATTCAAAACTCTCTATTTATTAGTAAATTAAATTTATGTTAATTATAAATAAATATTTTTATTTATTTATATTATATAAAATTTTATTCTAAAATTATATCGGTATGGTATATATTTTTATTAATATATAGTTATAAAAATAATATGGGTGTGTTTGTTTGGAGTTTAGATTTTGAGTTGATATTTGAATAGTAAAAATTTTGAATTGAAATATTTGTATGATGTGAGATAAATACGTGATTATGTGATGTGTTGAATTTAAAATTAATTTTTAGTATGATTTAGACAATAAAAAATAATTATTTGATTGATATTTTAGCTGAAAAAAGATTGATGAATAATAGAAATCTGGATAAATCTCCTAATCGAACACACCCTAACTTTTTTCTGTCAGGTGAACCAAATTGGATCCGTGACAGAGAGCATTGAAGCAGTAAAAATGTCGAAGCAAGCTGGCTGGGGTGTGATGGCCAGTCACCGCAGGTATGAACCCACGCTCTTACCCCGTGGTACATCTCCGACATAGCCTTGATTGGATAACACCAATTCATTCTGTCGCTGGATGCAGTGGAGAGACTGAGGACACTTTCATCGCCGATCTCTCTGTTGGCTTGGCCACGGTATTCTCCTTTGCATATGCATATGCTATTTTACATGTTCCATTCATAGTAATCTGAAATAATTTGAACTTATATCCATATCCCTTTTGCTGAAACTCTTCAGGGCCAAATCAAGACTGGAGCTCCATGCCGATCAGAACGTCTTGCTAAATACAACCAGGTCGATCTTCCAGCCTCTTTCTTGTACCAACACTTTTCTATTTAACCATCCAAACTTACGATTTATATATATCAACAACCCGTATATTGTGTGCAGCTGTTGAGAATTGAAGAGGAACTCGGGTCCGAAGCAGTGTACGCGGGATCCAAATTCCGTACGCCAGTGGAGCCTTACTAAACCAGCATTGCGGATAAAGGGTGTAGGATGAATGAATAATTCCCTTCGTAGACAGAGCCATCTTAGGTAGTTTTAATGATGGTCGTGTTGAGTTCAGAGCCAGTGTGTGAGGCTCATTTTTTTATTACGGTATTTTAAATATACTAATTATTATATTGCATTCTTTTAATAAAAAATTTCAATAATTTCTCTTTTTAGTACATACTTTTTATTAATTAATAATAGGTAAATTATATAATTTTATTTTAGTAAAAATACACAAAATATTCTGTTTTATTTATTGTTTGAAATACTTTTTTGTTCAAAATTGATATTCTTATCTAAATTAGACAAGTTTTACACAGATAAAAAATATAAATAAACTCTAAAATAAATGATTGATAAATTATTTTATTTATTTATTGTATTAAAAAAATTATTTAAAATACTTTTTGTTTTTTATTCATATAAAATTTGACTTTTTATAATTGCAAATTTTATATTATCACAGTAAATTTCAATAAAACAATGTAATTTGTTTTACTTAAACATATCATTTACCCATTAATAATTTATAATGCGGATATTGTCAAAGATTGCCTTTTTATCCTTTTTGTCATTCTTCACGATCGAGTTATTGACGAGGGAATTGCGGCAATTTGACTGCTTGGGAATCACGAGAATACCGTGACTGCTTCAACATTCGAAGGTGTCCACTTTCCGGCGAGCTGCAGAGGGAATTTGACGGCGTCTAGCAAGTGTGAAGTGGAATAATTGTTGAAAGGCAACAAAAGGCTGAGCTTTCTCGGTTATTTGGTTTCTATGAATTTCGATTTCAGGTTTTATGCTGAGAAAATTTGATGGGATTTCCAGACAGTCGGTTCAAATATACAGTGTTAGGTCAAATTCCGGGCCAGCGGGTGAAGCACTCGTCTGCAGTAGGTGGAGCGGCGGCTCAACAGCCGAATTACTATCAGTCTGGAGGGAGTAGTCAGTTGAGTTCGGTTAGAGCGGAAGCCTTCGATTGGGATATGATGGATCAGCGGCTGATCGCGCAGCCGAGCCGGAATAATCAGGATTTGGCGGATCGCGGAGCATTCGACCGACGGAGGCAGGCGAGTGGGAGTGAGAGGTCGATCGCAGTGGATTGTTACGTACCGCCGCTGTCGAACATTGAAGGGGAGCTTATTCGATTAGGTGACGGTGAATTGGCGGTGGAGGCGGGCGGTGGTTCTTCTTGTAAAACGTGGACGCAGCAGACTGTGGAGAGCTACCAGTTACAGCAGGCTCTCGCTCTTCGTCTCTCTTCTCAAGTTACCTGTGCTAGTGCCCCTAATTTCTTGGATGTTGTGCAGGATCAATCTTCTTCTCTGACATCTGGCTATGCAGAGGCCATTTCTCATCGATTCTGGGTAACATAATTCACTCAGCCAATCATTATTAGGGTGTGTCTGGTTGTGTTTTTGAGGATATCTTTGTTTTTACTAGGAACAATAGAAATATGAATTGATAATAGCTTTACATGAAATGTTCGAATATAAAAAATGGGTTAGTGATGATATTTTGAATGTAAAATAGTCTTTAGTTACTTTCCAGCGAACAATGATCAATGTGTTTATGCATTGGGGAAAAGAATCTCAGTGCTTTGAAAAACTTGTTACTTTTAAGAATTGGGGCACATATTGTTTACTCAGCTCATTATTATTTTGGCCTTTTCCTGTTTTTGCACCCGGAAGATCCCAAACACTTCCAAAACTTTATTATTTCACTACCTCAATTTTTGTAGGTAAATGGTTCCTTATCATATTCAGACAAAGTTCCTCATGGGTTCTATGCTATTTGCGGAATGGATCCATGTGTTTGGGCTGTGTGCTCTGATCCTCATGAAAGTGGCTTGATGCCATCACTTGAATCATTAAAGACCATTGAACCTGCGATTGTGTCTTCCGTGAAGTGATTTCAGTAGACCAGCGAAGTGATTCAAACTTGATGGAGCTGCAAAATCGTATTCTTGACGTGTCATTGAGTTGCATGACCACACAGGAGCTTGTTGATCATCTTGCAAAGTTTGTTTGCAATCATATGGGGTGAGTATGTGATGTTTCTTGTCATGTATTCCTGCAAAGTCTTCTTGTTGAAAATTTGTACTTTCTTCTTTCCAAGGGGCGCAGCTTCTAGTGGGGAGGACGAGTTAGTTACCATCTGGAGTCGGTGCACTGATAAACTAAAAGCTTGTTTGGGTTCTATTGTACTTCCCATTGGCAGGCTGCCTGTTGGATTATGCACACATCGGTCACTCTTATTCAAGGTATCTCTATGCTCTTTGCAATTTCTAAGAGAGAAGATTGATAATTAAATTCTTAATTTTTTACATAATAGCATTTTACATTCGTTAAGTTATTAAATTCTTACGAAGATTCTTGTGCTTTGCCATGATTTCAGAGCGCATATAAATGCACTATTACCTTGTGTTGTCCATCATTTATAGAATTATATTAAAGTGTATTTGATGACTAAAAATGTGTGTGTGTTTACACAATTCACAGGGAATTTATATTCGAAAATCAGTGAGTGGAAGTTTATAGAAAACGATCAGATATAGTAATTTTTGTGGTTGTAGACCCTGAGTAGTTATCACAATTATTTATACTCTTTTTACTGGTGAGTTTCCAGGTCAAACACAAGGATTTTAACTTATGAATTTCAACGGTGAATATCTTGAAGAAGCGACGAAAACTGCAGGAAAGAATCCAAAAGATAGGCTAAAGAAAGCAGTAAGCGGTAAAAGTGAAGCGAGCGGAAGCGAGTGAAGCGAGGGCTGAAGATGAAGTGCCAGCGCTGACCAGATGTTCGGGGCCTGAGCGGAAGTGGGGACCAGATGAACGGGACATGGATGAATGGCGGTTACCGAGTGAACGGGACATGAGCGAGCGGCACATTATATATATATATAGGCGACAGAGAATGGATGAGAGATGTTGTGTCTGAACTGTGCGTTACTAAATGGATAGATTTCCCTGGAGGCAATGAGCGAGTGATGCAAGTGTGTTATCAGAAATATATGTATTTTACGAAAGCGGTGAGAAGAAAGTATTGTAATTTATATAAACTGAATATAAAGAATTCATAACACTGGAATTTTTGACCTTAAGGATTTACAACAAGACTTCAATGACACCCAGATTCAAGACATTATAGGAAAGAAACTCTACTGTCACTAGGAATCTCTGCGACCTAATAGACCACTGCCTATGCCCCGTTAATTTTTTCAAAATCTGTCTCATTAGTGGCTTTACCCTTATGTTACCTCTTTTTAATCAAAATTGAATTCAGAAGAGCAGTTAAGCAGGTCGACAAGGCTCCCGCGTACTTAACTACATTGAACTACCTTGAGACTGCTTTTGGCGCATAACAAGGCTCAAATAATCAATTCTTCTCTGGCTCTAAACCAGTGAAATAAAACTCTCTAAATTCAAACTTTATATAAGTGTGTAAAAAATGTGGAAGAAATGACGGTGAAGAATCGAATGATATTTCATTATCTACTACGAAAGTAGTAATCTAATCTAAGAAAGCTGTAAAGACTTGGCCAAGGGAGGAGGGAAACCCCTACTTCCTTGGCCATTTCTGTGGAGAACTCCCTTAGCGGGTTGGAGCTCTCGGAGACAAGAAGTCGGCTCACTTGCGAAAAGTAATTCCTAAGAGTGTTTAAAATCGAAGTATCGATCCTATTCATAAAGATATCTGGCCCTATTTATAGCAGGTGGGACGGGGCGGTTGCAATCGGTTGCTGGGCGGTTCCAACCACTGGACAGTTAGGCGGTTTCTGGTAGTTATTCTGTTGAAGCAGTTGCTGGCCATAACTCCCAGGGCGCTTGCTTTGATTGCACTGAACCGTAAGGGCTCAAATCTTCCTCGCTTGCCGAAGAGCTGGAGGGTATCAGCGCAGTTAGGCTCGCTTGTGCCGGCTCGAAATGAAATGGCTGTACCGCTGCAGTTGGAACACTTAGTTGGAATCTGGTAATAATCTGCAGCGGTGGGTGTTTGGGCTGTCGCTTGCAAGCGGGAGAGGCAGTCGCTTGCGGTTGGTGAAGGCTGCCGCTTGCCTCTCATGCTTTAGTATTTTTTAGGACATATTCTGGGCGCTTGCGAGCGGAAGTGGCTGTCGCTTGTGGCGTCTGCCTTAGCTTTTCTGGCACCAGACTACCGCTTAAAAAGACAAAAATCGTTAATAATCTCAACAACGAATTCTGGATCATGCCAAGCGATATATATCAATAATGTATGCCATGAGTCATTGTGATGGTTCTTATACAAAAATTCGAGTAATACACAATTTTGTCAAGCTAAGAATATGCTCCTATTTGGAGTTATCAAACCTCCTCACACTAAACCTTTGTTCGTCCTCGAACAAACTGCATTAAAAAATCAAGAGGTTATAAGGTTCACTGCAATTAAGAAGTGTTAACAACCAGTGCCATGATTGTGAATAAAGTGAATCTCAAAATAGGAACAAAGAAGCCATAAGTATTCAGCTTGTCATTTGATTTAACAAGATTGGAGTTATCCAGGTATCGTCAACTTTGTTTGCTTAGCAGGGAATATTTTTTTGATTTAGGAAACCTTCAGCCGAAGGGCGCGGAGTTTTTTTTTTTTTTGGATCGAGAGTTTCAAACAAACATTGTGTCTGCTCAAGATCTTATTTGATTCTCACACGCCTAGGCCTTTTCAGTTCCTTTGTAATGATAGGTCCTCCCTGCTTGCTTGCATTGTATCTTAAACCATATTTAAGGACTTATCTTTTCGAGCTATTTCTTATGAACAAGTCGAAAAAAACATAGGTTCGCTTGCCCTACTGAGTATGGGAAAGTTGAAACGAAGGGGGCACTAATCTTCACAAGTCTTATTCGTTGTTACTTAATTTAACGCTAATGTTCAAGTTATTGTGAAGTTCGAAGGACAATTACTTGGTCTGATGTGCTTAAGTCATCTAACTCTACTCTAAAACATATCACGGAGTTAACTCAGCAGGATATCACAGGCATTGCACATAAGAACACATACTTCAGGTTATGTTAGGCATACAATAAAGAAAATTTGTCACTTGTTACCAAAAAATGTTGTGTCGTTGATCAATGATATGTACAGCCCTTGCCATTCTCAAGATGTGTAAATGGGGGAGGACCTTTCTTCATTTCCTTTTCTCGCTTGGTGGTCC